ACATAATGAATAGGTTCATAGCGTTTGAACATCGGTTCCGGACCGTTATGTATTTCGGAACTGCCATTATGTCGCGATGGATAATCTCTGTTGCTGTAACATGCTACGTTTTCAGAAAGATTTTTTCAAATGTGATTTAAACTATTTACTATAAAATATTGTAAGTATATATTTCATAGACAGATATGTGTATTGTTTCTTAATACACATTTTTACATGTTGGACATCCTCCTGTATATTATGAAATAGCCTATCAATTCATCCTCATGCCAATGGTTAGTTGTCGTCCGCCATGTAAGTAAAACTGATTGATTAGTAGGCCACGCCCCCTCGTAAAGTTTTGGCTAAGAAAAGTCCACAAAGCCCAAATTTTCACGTTTTATATTGAAAAAATAGTGATTAAAGTATTATCACATTTGACGATTCATTTCTGATTTTATTTTGCTAGCGAGTTGTAGACCGAGAGATGAAAAATCAACTTTATTGAAATAGTTTGTGTTATAAGAAAGAAGTTTACCAAGAAATATGGCTCATTTGAGAAAAAAAGGGTCATACAATGAAAACTTAAAACTAACCCTTTAGAAAAGATGTACACATAAACACAGATGCCCAACACTTTTGCACCATGAATGTGCTTTGATTTTCATTTTCATCAAAATATTATTCCAGTTCAAATGATGATTTATGTAATACTTGTGTCACACAAAGCTAACTCAAGCGTCTCTGTGATTGATGTCATCAGAAAAGAAAGCGCAGTCACATGTTCGATACACATGTCAATCCTTTCAGGTTTGCCATTTTGAGATCATATCTTTTAATTTACCGACATTTTAAAATAAATCTTATAGTATGAACACATTACAATGCATTTATGTATTTGTTAAGTGTGGCAGTTCATCAACATAGCGTAGCTAGCGAAAAATTATTCTTAAGGGGACCGACTAAGTAATGTGCAAAGGGTACCTTTACAATAGCAATTAGTAAGAATTACCTAATATAGTCACACGTTAAACACATCCTGGGAAACAAGTCATACCCTGTCTCTTTCATCACTCTAAATGAGACAAATGAATAAGACTGCTCTCCTCCTGGAGGAACAATATTGTCTCTAGCACACGAAAGCTGTCTATTATCTAGTTAAAAAGATTTTCTCTGCGAGTATTGTTCGACACTATAACACTCCAAATTGTATCTTTCAATACAAATTTGAGATCTTGCATTGAATATATATAGAGGAGCTACATGTGAAGTGAGTTAAAAATCTCCGATACAAGTAATTCAGTCTAGCAAAAACTGGAGGGTTGGTCAAGGATGAGTGATGTCATCTTGGATTTTATCTATTTATAGACAATTTGATATATGAATTAGAAAATGAAAAAATGGTGTGGTTATAGGACCACTGCACATTTCAGCAATACTTCTAGCTGATGATACATCTTTCATAGCTTCATCATTAAAAAATCACAGTGTCAGTTGGATTGTGTTCAATCATATGCTAATATGTGGAGACAAACTTACAATGGAAAGAAAAGTACTGCGGTTATATCTAGAAATAAAAATTTAAAAATGGTAACAGTGTAAATCATTTACATCTGGGTAATATCAGAATATTACAGAAATTAAGAGAAAATAAGGAAACAGAGGCTGCATTCTCTGTATGGTATTGGAGTGAAACCTGATGGTATGACACCTATATCATCATTATCAAAATGCATATGGGAACGAGTTTTACTTCCGACCGCTCTTTATTCCTCTGCAATGTGGGGAAAAGGAAATTCTGGAAATTTAACAAAGAGTATCATTTTATGATTAGAGTCAAACCCAACTTTCGATACTACAATAATTAACTTTGGCCTATGGACAATAGAGACCAAAATAGATAAATGTAAACTATTTTTCTTGGAAAGATAATGTAATATAAATAATATGTATATACATAAATAAATGTTCAGTTACATTGTAGGAGCTACACATATCAATTCTAACTTGAGATTCAGTTACATTGTAGGAGCTACACATATCAATTCCCTGAAATTCAGTTCAATAACATTTCTTTTCAAAACCGCCATAAAATATGGGCAAACATTTGTTATAGAACAGTTTATTGGAAGTTGTTATTTTCCACCAAAACAAAATTGGAAATCTTGTATAAATGAAGAAGAGTTGTGGAGGGAAACTATAGCCAAAAGGTATGCCTTAGAATGTTTCTTTCTGACACATCATAGTCTATAGGAACACTGTATCCTTATGTCTGATAATGTTAGATAGAAATCAGCTGTAATGATAAAAATTGCAACTATACCGATCAAAGCAGAAAAATGTTAAAACTGCGGAATAGCTGTGATTGATATCATAAAACATATTTTCATGAACTGCGGTGATTTGTTAGAAGAAAGAAATACAATAGATTATATGATTGTAGATATGTTACCTGTTCATGAATCTGTAGAATTTTTCAATCAAGATGATTCTGATATACTTGTGTTTTTGCTTGTTGATAATAATCAATTTGCAAGGCAAATGAACAGTCAGGAATATCTGAATATAATGCTTACTATATCTCAATTTATCTAAATTGCCTGTTTATATGACATCAAAAATACATTGGAAGAGAATAAGAACATCAACCTTAATTAAATGTATGTGGTTTGGTGAGATTGTGTAGATAGATAGGTAGTTTGGCTTGGTGCGTTTGTATGTAAGTGTATATTCTACTCTCTTATTATGTACTAAGATGTCTTGATTTGTATATGTAAACAGTTTCTGATCAGTGCAAGGACGTATGATAGCATATGCATTAGGTACGTCCCTGATCAGTGTAGGGACATATGATATCATATGCATTAGGTATGTCCCTGATCAGCGCAGGGACATATAAATCATCTACATAAGGTACGTCCCTGATCAGTGCAGGGACACATGATATCATATGCATTAGGTATGTCCCTGATCAGTGCAGGGACATATGATATCATCTGCATTAGGTACGTCCCTGATCAGTGCAGGGACATATGATATCATATGCATTAGGTACGTCCCTGATCAGTGCAAGGGCATATTATGTCATATGTTTTAGGTACGTCCCTGTTCAGTGCAGGGACATAATGATATCATCTGCATTAGGTACGTCCCTGTTCAATGCAGGGACGTATGATAGCATATGCATTAGGTTTGTCCCTGATCAGTACAGGGACATATGATAGCATATGCATTAGGTACGTCCCTGATCAATGCAGGGACATATGATAGCATATGCATTACTTACGTCCCTGTTCAGTGCTGGGACATATAAATCATCTGTATAGGTACGTCCCTGATCAGTGCAAGGACATATGATATCATCTGCATAAGGTACGTCCCTGATCAGTGCATGGACATATTTGTCATATGCATTAGGTACGTCCCTAATCAATACAGGTCTCTGACAGTGATAAATTTGAGCATCAGCAACGGCTGAACAAGAACTGTATTGTCATAGGGGCAGACTTTGACATTTTCTAATTCATTTTGATGTCAAGCTGTGATGAAAATATTGATTTAACGAGTTTAGACTTTTAAAAAGTCTTAAAAATTCCATTCTGAGCCTCAACACATTGTGTGCTGCCCTCCATACGAGTAAATTTCCCTTGTGTACTGTTGTGTGAAATGGCTGTACTTTGTCTGTATCTGCCATTACATAATACGTTAATTATACATTCACTGTAATTCCATCAATGTTCCAATATTGTTCTTTTATAATTTTACCTTTGCATGTCAAAAATCTTCCCCAGTTACTCTTGATTACCAAGACAATTCCCCTGAGTAAATTTAACCTCTACACCTCAAAGTTACACATAAACAGTTATCAAACCATTACAAACAATAGCTGTCAATATTTCATCAATCTAATTAGACTTGTAATTTCCGTTCCTCCATGATAGGTTACAATATTTGTATTAAAGTCTTCAACAGGTCTATCATCAATCTAATTAGAATTATACTGAGCTTTCCTATTTGCAAAGAAATACTTAACATCCTATTTGCTTTTAATATACACCATATAAAATGAACCAACATCTTTATTCTTCTCAAAAAACACCAAAATGCTGTGTAAACATTTTGAAAACGAAGGACAACAGTGACTTGGTCAGAATTTTCGCAATATAATGTGCAACAAATGTGTCCTAAAAACGAATTTTGCTTGACAGAGGTTAGGTTCACAATATTGGTAGAAATTCTTACTCAGAATTTTTTCTGACCATATGTGAAATAAGCTCCAGTAACATTTCAAGAGAGTATTTAACTCGCAAACTTTAAAGGTTAAAATAAAGGTCACAGTAACTAACCACTCGTTAATGATGCAATGTTTTTTAGAGGTGTACCTACTTTTAAACAAATGTATCTTGCAGACCATGTGATATAGTATTAAGAGATTTGCATGCAGCATCACTTTACTTCCATTCACAAATACATGTATCGGTAAATCAATGTAGTGATATCACCTCATTGTTTCAACTACCAGTAATCATTGAGGGGTATGTGAAGTAAGCAGAATAAAACTGTCTAATACTTCCTATAGTGATTTTAACAAAGGAATGAGCAACATAGTCAATATGTTATGCTGATGTCACCTACATGTTTTGATGATAACACTTGTGTTGTCTGATAAATACGGCCCACCCCTTGGATATCGCCCATAAACCTCCAAGTGTAGAAAGAGGTTACATTGTCCTACTTTTAACAGGATACAACATTTCTGCCCAAAATGTAAAGGTAGAGCAGATAACATGCCCCAGACTCAACCTGAAACAAGAGACCATTGTTATCAATATGTTCCACTATCTGCTCAAAGAACTAAACCACTTTACAGTTCAGTTATAAGCACTCACATCTTCAAAACCACCATTAACTGCAGAAACATATTCTCATAGCTGTATTTCACACCTGTTTTAGTGGTTTAATTTTTTTACAACAGTTTTTTTTTCCATTATTTAGTATGTACATCAAGTATGAAACACGCATTTGGTTAAAAAAATCTTTAATAAAACATAGCATCATATATACATGGCCAACTGTGAGTTGTGATACAGGTCTAGATATGTAAAAGGTTTACCTTGGTAACTAGTTGTTTTAAGGGGAAGTACATTTCTCCCTCTTCTATATACAACTGGTAAAGTTTATATGTGTATTGTCACTCATTGATTAGGAAACACTTCTGCCATCTTTTTATTTGTTTAGTAAAACATGTTTTGGAGAAGAAACAAACATGTATAGTTGAACTTTGATATGAAGGCAATTCAAAGAATGAAAACAAACTTTAGCAAGGCTTTACGTGGTAGTGGTCACAAACGTATAATCCTATTCTACATTAAAACAACATTGTCAGGGTCCTATGTGTCCGACTCCATATCCCCCATTGGCTGTAATCACCACTAAAATAAACAACGTGTTGGAGGTGTATTTGTCTGAAAACGGAAGGGGCATAACTCTTATATTCATCAACAATATTCATTGCAATCTGCACCAAGACAAGGTTAAGCCTTATCAGTATTTAAGATTTGTTTCCATGGTAACTGAATGATTTTTCCAAAAGTATCTCACAGAAATAAAATCTATCAACAATCTGGCATGACAGCATTAACAGGGAAAAGTGTGATTAACTTTTCCAGGTTGTGCCTGTGATGGTCAAAATGATGGTCAGTCTCATCATCTGCTGGTCAGTACTGATCATCACTTCCTCTAGGTAATGATGAGGAATATTACAGAACATAAACAGTCACTTCCTCCATGTCACCTCCACTTCATCCGTCCTGAATCTGTAGTAAATAGTTGACATTATTTATAGAATTATTGAATAATGCATCATAGATATGTACCTTTCTTAAAACACCCATTCAAATTAACTGAAATGGATAATGTTTAGTAGAGACAAGACAAATCCTGAACATGAAGCCATTTTGTTATCTTTCTCTTAATTAATTAGTTATAGGTTACGAAACTGAATCCTACAACTCCTAGTTTAGACAACTTTTAACTGAGTTTTTTGTACGAGTTCGCATGAATAAAACAGATGTTTCTCTGTTTTTCAAAATGAATTAGAATTCAAGATATACCAGTAGTGCCTGTTTTACTGTTCTTTACCTGTTTATGTGATTACATCAAATTCACATTTCAATAAAACTTAACAACATGCAGAGCAACACTTTTGGATATTGGCCTTGAAAAACTGGATAAAGCTGAGGCCTTAGAATTACCATTAGATGAAGAAATCATTATACCTTTGTGTACAAAATGTGTCTTCTAATGGGGTGACTATTCCTGCTCGGAACATCTCCCAGCCGGCCTGCGCAATCATAGCTCCATTGTCTATACAGAATCTGTAATAAAGATCATTAAACTTTGTAAAATCTGGAACAAGACGGACTGTGAATGGAACTTTTCTCAAGACATCCTGGCTCCAAGATGAAAATAGCACTATTGATTAGTGAAGACAGTAGTATTTTCACCTGGGATCCAGGATGTATATCACAATGCTATTTGATTTCAGGCAAAAGTGAAATATATATATGATATATGACAACAATGATTGCTACATTTAATTCATCCCTTAACACTTAGGTTTCCTTTTTTTATACACATACCTCATATCTGTGGCAAATAGAGTGGCCCCTCTTTCCTCAGCCATCTTGCCCATCATTTCCTGTAGTCTGAGATTACAACCCACTCCACCTACTATGAGGACTTCCTGAGAGCCACAGTGGGCCATGGCTCGCTCTGTAATCTCAATCAACATGGCAAACACAGTCTCTTGTAAGGAGAAGCAGAGGTCTTCTGGTGTATACTGTCCACTCTCCACCAGGCTCGCTGCTCTCTCCTCTATAAATGACAAAAGTCCCGAGAATGATACATCCATGCCTTTGACTGTGTAGGGCAGCTCTAGAAACTTTTTACCACCTTTTGCAAGTTGTTCTATATTGTATCCTGGGCTCGGATCATTCGACAACTTCAACACCCGCGCAAATCTATCCAGACAGTTCCCAACAGCAATGTCAATGGTCTCACCAAAGATTCTGTACCGTTGTTGAGAATAGGCTATCACCTGTGAGTTTAACAACAAACACATACATCTGTAGGCTCATTATTACAAGTGTTAACAACTACACAGATGTTTACTGGATAATGTATGTTGTATACAAAGCCTTTTCCATCATAAGTCAACCACCTTCTTATTTGATTGTTATTGATCTTTAGCAATTGAAGAATTAGCACCTGGGTGAATCCTAAAATTTTGGAAAAGTGAAAAAGGGTAGGAATGGGGGTTAAGGGTTAGGCCTTGGAGAGGGGGCTTAAACATTTTTGGCCATTAACTCTATAATTTCCCCCTGATCCCACACAGAAACATTACACAAAGGTGAGGCTACATCACCACTGATATTAACACACCTGTGTGTTACCTCCACTGACATATAACACAGCCGGGTTGTTTGCTCCTGTGATGAGGCGCCCCATCTCTATATCTAGCAGTTGTTAAAGATACAAAAACATCATTTGTTTAATAGATAATATAAACACAGAAAGTAAACTCTAATTGTATACACCCTAAACAATACCTAATTCCTATGATAATGAACATGTCAGTACAATGTTTAAATCCTACTATAAAGTATACCCCGGTATACAATGGTTGACCTCTATTATAAAGGATATGCTCAGTACAATGGTTGAACAGTGTGATACAGGATATACCCTATAAAATGATTTTCCTCTTTGACAGGAAACACCTGTATAAAAACTGACCCTTCTGATAAAGGATACACTCTGTCAGAACTTTTTCAGGGAGCTGTGTAGAGCCAAATTTGGCCCCTTTCCAGACTAGATTCATTTCACAATATGGCCAAATTACAAAAATATGTAGTTTACTCCTGAAAGCATTCTTCCCAAATTCTCAGTCTTCTTCCCAAAAGACATGTTTGAACTCTGTAATGGAAGACATGCCCTATAGACTTTACAATGTTTGACCCCTATAATAGAAGACATGCCCTATGGCCTACATAATGCTTGACCTCTATAACAGAAGACATGCCCTATGGCCTATATGATGTTTGACCCCTATTATAGAGGATATGCCCTTTGGCATATACAATGTTTGATCTCTATGATAAAGGATACGCCCTATACAATGGTTGACCCCTATGATAGGTTTCCTCCACAGCTGGGCCACAGTTCTGGCTACTACTGCAACAGACACGAGAGGAGCTGCCATTCCTGGACCTGTAACCCAAAATTATCAATTCAAGCTTTTCATGAAACAGAGGTCTATGGTAGATTTGCACTGAAAAGCAGCGCTGTTATATGAAGGTGTGCTGGGTCATTACCTTTTGTGTAACATACTACATCCAGATCTTTGGGTTCAATGTTGGCCTCTTTCAGGGCTTGTCGGAGTACATCTAGGATATGTTTGCGGTGATGTATGGCAGTATCTCTTGGCAGGAATCCTGAAAAGTACAGAAACATCTAGTCAGGGAAAATATGACCATTTTCTTACAGTTTTGCCTGACTTTTAAAGAGTAGATGTTTTTCAAAAGATTGTCTTAAAGAAACATTTTGTTTGTAAAAACTTGCAACGCAAAAATTGTCTTCTTTTGACTAACATTTAAAATTCAGTGTAACAAATAAGGGGTTTGGTAATAGAATCCTATGAATATTTGATTTCTATGAATCATACCAATAATGCAACAATATCATCTACAGCAAGACAACATCACCCTGATTGGAGATGACTAGGACAACATTGCCTTGACTGGAGATGACTGGGACAACATCTTCTTGACTGGAGATGACTAGGACAACATTGCCGTGACTGGAGATGACTAGGACAACATTGTCTTGACTGGAGATGACTGGGACAACATCTTCTTGACTGGAGATGACTGGGACAACATCACCCTGATTGGAGATGACTAGGACAACATTGTCTTGACTGGAGATGACTGGGACAACATCTTCTTGACTGGAGATGACTAGGACAACATTGCCGTGACTGGAGATGACTAGGACAACATTGCCATGACTGGAGATGACTAGGACAACATCATCTTGACTGGAGATGACTAGGACAACATTGCCTTGACTGGAGATGACTAGGACAACATTGCCGTGACTGGAGGTGACTAGGACAACATTGCCTTGACTGGAGATGACTACGACAACATCACCTTGACTGGAGGTGACTAGGACAACATCACCTTGACTGGAGATTACTAAGACAACATTGCCATGACTGGAGATGACTAGGACAACATTACCTTGACTGGAGATGACTAGGGCAACATCACCTTGACTGGAGATCACTAGGACAACATCATCTTGACTGGAGATTACTAAGAGAACATAGCCTTGACTGGAGATGACTTAGACAACATTGCCTTGACTGGAGATGACTAGGACAACATCACCCTGACTGGAAGTGACTAGGACAACATCTCCCTTGTAGATGACTTGGACAACATTGCCTTGACAGGTGACTACTGGGACAACATCACCTTGACTGGAGATGACTAGAACAACATTGCCTTGACTGGGGATGACTAGGACAGTATTGCCCTGTCTGGAGATGACTAGGACAACATTGCCTTGACTGGAGATGACTACGACAACATCACCTTGACTGGAGATGACTAGGACAACATTGCCTTGGCTGGAGATGACTAGGACAACATTGCCTTGACTGGAGATGACTACGACAACATCACCTTGACTGGAGATGACTAGGACAACATTGCCTTGACTGGAGATGACTAGGACAACATCATCTTGACTGGAAGTGACTAGGACAACATTACCTTGACTGGAGATGACTAGGACAACATCATCTTGACTGGAAGTGACTAGGACAACATTACCTTGACTGGAGATGACTAGGACAACATTGCCTTGACTGGGGATGACTAGGACAGTATTGCCCTGTCTGGAGATGACTAGGACAACATTGCCTTGACTGGAGATGACTAGGACAACATTGCTTTGACTGGAGATGACTACAACAACATCACCTTGGCTGGAGATGACTAGGACAACATTGCCTTGACTGGAGATGACTAGGACAACATCATCTTGACTGGAAGTGACTAGGACAACATTACCTTGACTGGAGATGACTAGGACAACATCATCTTGACTGGAAGTGACTAGGACAACATTACCTTGACTGGAGATGACTAGGACAACATCACCTTGACTGGAAGTGACTAGGACAACATTGCCTTGACTGGGGATGACTAGGACAGTATTGCCCTGTCTGGAGATAACTAGGACAACATTGCCTTGACTGGAGATGACTAGGACAACATCATCTTGACTGGAAGTGACTAGGACAACATTACCTTGACTGGAGATGACTAGGACAACATCACCTTGACTGGAGATGACTAGGACAACATTGCTTTGACTGGAGATGACAAGGACATCATTGCCTTGACTGGAGATGACTAAGACAACATTGCCTTGACTGGTGACTACTGGGACAACATCACCTTGACTGGAGATGACTAGAACAACATTGCCTTGACTGGAGATGACTATGACAACATTGCCTTGACTGGAGATGACTAGGACAATGTTGCCTTGACTGGAGATGACTACAACAACATCACCTTGACTGGAGATGACTATTGGGACAACATCACCTTGACTGGAGATCACTAGGACAACATCATCTTGAGTGGAGATTACTAAGAGAACATAGCCTTGACTGGAGATGACTTAGACAACATTGCCTTGACTGGAGATGACTAGGACAACATCATCCTGACTGGAAGTGACTAGGACAACATCTCCCTTGTAGATGACTTGGACAACATTGCCTTGACTGGTGACTACTGGGACAACATCACCTTGACTGGAGATGACTAGGACAACATTGCCTTGACTGGGGATGACTAGGACAACATTGCCCTGTCTGGAGATGACTAGGACAACATTACCTTGACTGGAGATGACTACGACAAAACATCACCTTGGCTGGAGATGACTAGGACAACATTGCCTTGACTGGAGATGACTAGGACAACATCATCTTGACTGGAAGTGACTAGGACAACATTACCTTGACTGGAGATGACTAGGACAACATCACCTTGACTGGAAGTGACTAGGACAACATTGCCTTGACTGGAGATGACTAGGACAACATTGCTTTGACTGGAGATGACTAGGACAAGATTGCCTTGACTGGAGATGACAAAGACAACATTACCTTTACTGGAGATGACTAGGACAACATTGCCTTGACTGGAGATGACTGGGACAACATCACCTTGACTGGAGATGACTAGGACAACATTGCCATGACTGGGGATTACTAGGACAACATTGCCTTGGCTGGAGATGACTAGGACAACATTGCCTTGACTGGAGATGACTAGGACAACATCATCTTGACTGGAAGTGACTAGGACAACATTACCTTGACTGGAGATGACTAGGACAACATCACCTTGACTGGAAGTGACTAGGACAACATTGCCTTGACTGGAGATGACTAGGACAGTATTGCCCTGTCTGGAGATGACTAGGACAACATTGCCTTGACTGGAGATGACTAAGACAACATTGCCTTGACTGGAGATTACTAAGAGAACATAGCCTTGACTGGAGATGACTTAGACAACATTGCCTTGACTGGAGATGACTAGGACAACATCGCCCTGACTGGAAGTGACTAGGACAACATCTCCCTTGTAGATGACTTGGACAACATTGCCTTGACTGGTGACTACTGGGACAACATCACCTTGATTGGAGATGACTAGAACAACATTGCCTTGACTGGGGATGACTAGGACAACATTGCCTTGACTGGAGATGACTACGACAACATCACCTTGACTGGAGATGACTAGGACAACATTGCCTTGACTGGGGATTACTAGGACAACATTGCCTTGGCTGGAGATGACTAGGACAACATTGCCTTGACTGGAGATGACTACGACAACATCACCTTGACTGGAGATGACTACGACAACATTGCCTTGACTGGGGATTACTAGGACAATAACACAAATAAGTTATTTTCCTGAAGATTTCTGGTTTTGTGCAGTCATCAGTTTAATTCCCAGATGTTGTTCATAAGTGTATATCCCTGTGCAGAATGCCAAGACACAATAATGTAAATCCACAAATGTATGTTATCTAACAATCAGTTGTGGCATTTTTATGGCATTTGCTATCACCAAATTTCACACAGTGAAAATATCTAGTTAAAAGTAATCATATATATATGGTACATAGCCAATGAGTCATCTCATACAAGGTCGTTCAAATAACTTTATATCGTCATCTTAAGTTTTCAAAATACAGGAAGAAAGGGAAAACACCCACTTTATTTTTTCCTGCCACACACCATTGTGTAAACAATACACTATAAAAAATGTATATGAATAGGTATGTTTCACTATAAAAGTACTGTGTAAATGAATATATGCATGGTGCAAGTATGCATGTCTTATTAAGTAAATAGAATTTCACTATTGCCAAAGCAATACTTTGATGTCACATGTCTGTTGACTTCAAAATATACACATATTCACCAGATGAAACTGCAGGGAGCAGGACAAGCTTTCGCAGTTGTGTGTGTGTGTTAAAAGAGACAGGATAACGTGGACTACATACATGATTGCATTATGTTTGACTGAAATAGGGAATTAAGAAAAAATGTAGCCAAAACTCTTCAATCTTTTTTGGCACCATAATATACATACCTTGTCCTGGAGGTGTAATGTAAGTGTGCCGAGGGTTAGATAATACCTCCCCATCTTTGATAATGCCAATTCCGATCTTGTTGGCACTGCCTTCGAATCCAATAGCAATCACCATTTTTCACACTGCTAAAACATTTTAAGGAAACCATAAATTTAGCAGATTATCAAAGTATATTGTCATTGTTTTTACTTAAATGAATGATGGTTTATGGAGAAAAATGTAATATTGAGTTGAACCATAGGTATTTGAATTTCGGTCAATAATACACCATAACGTTTGGATGTATGAAGACATGAGGCATTCTCAGCCCCCATCAGCAGTTAAGCTTATTGCTATACCATCTAAACTGACAGAGTGAAAGGAAGTGTAAAAAGGCTGTTATCTGGGATTTGCAAAAATCTCCAACAGAAAAGACCTATACCAATAAAAAAGCATCAGGAGTCTACATGTAATCATTTCTCAATTGTCCAGAATTTCTGATCAATTTCAATATTTCTCTACAAAGACTCTGTTAATGTAGGAGCTCCATTAGAAAGTGTCCACATTAGTTTTAAATTAAGACTTGGTTAAAGTAATTAAAACAGGAGGACTGCAATTGTTTTGAATTTTTCGTCTACCGTCTAATTTTAAAAAGTGTGTACATAGTTGTGGATGATATATATTTCTTACTTAAACAGTGTCGCTATTTTGTTTGAGCGACTGCCAAACCTAACAGTTTATTAATTTAACAGATTAAGCCTACATGTACGTGTTACCTGATAGTTAGTAGACTGTGAGTGGTGACGTAGAACCAGACAAATCGATTACGATTTATTAATTCTATTTACATTTTTTTGAATCTACATATACACCAACGTTTTTATCATCGAATCACGTGTACCCTTATTAGCTGTTAACTGCAGTCGGTTTCTCTATCCCATGTGCTACGCTTAGTCGTTGTTTCAGTAAACAGGAAGTTCTAAACCGGCGTACCGGAAGTACGTAAATCTACTTGCGCTTTCCATATATGAAATGCAGGCAGGCTGCAAATCAACTGAGTGAGTTTCATGGTTCAGGACTTCCTCAGTCGCTTTGAAGTTCCCACTAGTGATAAATAACAAGTTTTACATGTAAAACCTAATGTTTGAAGGCGCTGCTGCACGCAAAATCACTACCTTCTTTAAATCGATTCACTTTATTTACACGGCCCTAAATCCCCATAGCCTAGCTCTCTCATCACGTTGTCAGTGTGTTCACAGGGCGCGTTATGATGTACGATATATATAGATAGAGAGATATGTGAGTAAGGCTTGGCAATCCTTATTTCTGTTAGATTAACCGAATTCAGTCTGGAGTCCACTGCGATAGAATTATACAGTTCTGAAAAAGCATAATCCGTAATAACACATGTTCATTTGAAATTTAGATTTGTATTGTAATATGAAGATTCACATCAGTTTACAGTGTAGAACTCTGGTAGGCCTAAAACCCATGTAATTCCTAACAAAGATTTTACATTATTTTTTTGATACAATTCATTTAACCATGGACTTAGAATAGTTCTACACTATGTCCATAATTTAACATATTCATTATACATGTACATGTTTCTTTACAGAAAGTTACTTATATCACATCATCCATGATTTACGAGAACAGCAATGATTACAGTTGAGTCAAGTCGACCTGATGATGTAGGAGAAGGGGAGAAAAAAGGGAAGCCTCTACAGTGTAAGTCAGTCCATTCAAGTAAAGAGTATTTTGGGAATTGTCAAAGAGGGTAATACCATCAGGAAAGTCACAGACATGGAGATTACAGACAGGGAGGTCAAAGACAGGAAGGTTACAGACAGGGAGGTCACATATAGGGAGGTCAAAGACAGGCAGACAAGGAGATCAGAAAGGGAGGTCACAGACAGGGAAAGTTACATGACAAGATGCAGTTTTGTTTTAGAGTTTGGCAGTTAATACACATGAATACAACTGTTGTTTTAGGCTCCTCTCAGTTTCACCATTTGAATCTTGATCCTCACACTCCTGCACCAGACATTTACTTTTCTATTAGACAGATGTCTGTTATGGGCATATGCCTATTTAAATACCTAAAGCTATGTATAGGAGCTAATGGAAACCATGATAATGCTTTCCTGGTGAATTGCTAATGTTTTAGGGATGACATACAATAACATGGATGTATCTTGGGTCTGTGCTGATTTTGATTAGTGTAATCAAAACAAACCATTATTTACTTCATCATAAATTCTCATTAACTGCTTAATATAAAAGTTGAATGCAAAAAAGATCAGGTGTACTATTTCATTTTGAATCATATTGATGATGATTGTTCTGTATAAAAAAATTTTCAAAGTGGTTTTTCTTCATTTTTGTTTGTATAGGTTGGTCATGTCGTGGCTATGGCCATCGAGCTGGAGATAGAAAATGTCCTAAATTCATCAGTGATGCAACTCAAACTGATCGCTTTAGATGGGTAAGTATAACACACTGAAGTTGACATAGTAATAAAGATACGGAAAACAAGTCACCCCTTTATTTTAACAAATCTAAATTCAGTTTGTTTTTTCAGAAATTTTCTACTAAATGACATTGGCCCATCTTGTCTTATTTGATGAGCAAATGACAACTTCCAGCAGAGACCTGCAGTAAGGATCATTGACATTTAGTCCATATTGCTTTTTGTATCGGTAAGTTATTTGGAGCTTACCTTAAAGATGTGATTTTAACAAACACTAAATTTACAGGGTATTATCTCCCTTTACAGAGTCATGAAGACCCAATGAGAAAGTATATAGAGGATAGGAAACGAAGACAAAAAGAAGAAAGGTAGGATATAAGACTTCAATATCAGAAGTTGCTTAGAGCAATACTCAATATATGCAAAGAAGTTGTTTACAATGTCACTTCAGGCTTTAAAATATTCACTTATAAATGATTTGTTTGTCATTTGACCAATTACAGATTTGGATGATTGGCTACAAAAGCACAATAATTTGTGTTTCTTTAATGGAACAGGACAAAATTTTGTAATTGTAAGATAAGACGAAGATCAGAGAAAAAAATTTCTGATAGACAGCGAAATATTAAAAGCTAGCATTTAAGCATGGGTACCATGAAAATAAATAATTAAAAATGACAAAAGCATATGTTATGACACCATAACAGTGTTACTATGTATAGATATTGTAGCAGCATACACATATACTTAGTACTTGGATCAGGATGTTTAGTTTGAGTATTTAACTGGCTGAATTTTAATTGTTTATTTGTATATTTTTTGTTTTCAAAATGGAGAAAAAAGACAATTGATTGTAAAGTACAGCATATTTTCTTTGGAAGAAAATCAGTTTGATGCAATTGTCAAAACTGAATTGAAATAAGCATCCTGTTGCTCTATGAGTGATGCATTTTAAAGTTAATTTCTGAAATAAAGTAGTATGAATAAATTATGATGTTGTTGACATGTTTTATGTTTATTAGTATGACTATCTTTGTTTAAGAATTCAGCAACTGAAAGATTTGATAGCACAGACATCATCATCTTCAGACTCCGACTTTAGTGAAAAATCCACAAAGAAGAAAAAACACAGAAGTCATAGAAAGAAGAAAGTAAAAAGATTGAAATCCTCTCATGCCAGTGTAGATTATGACGAAGGAAAGGACTCAATGAAACATAGGGGTGATAGAGAAGGTGATTCCAGTGAACAGGAGAAAAGGAAAGTTAAGCATCACAACCACACTGATGAGAGAAAAAAGAAACACAAGCATCTAAGTGACACTGAAGATAGAAAAAGGAGACATAATCATCATAATGATACTGGTCATAGAAAAAAGACAAAACAGAAACACAAAGATTACAAGGAGAAAAAACGTCACAAAACCAAACGCAAAAGAGATTAAAGATGATAATAAAACACTTAATTACTTCGTATGTTGTAATAATTATAAATTGGTAACTGAAAAACAAGTGTACAGCGCATTTATGTAATGTGCCATTTAGACAATAATAATAAGTAATAATAGACTTTTTTTAAGGTCAATGACACTTGGAGTTAACATTAAAATTCAGCGGTTTTCATGTTCTGAGCAAATGAAGTGTAAGTTGATAAGACGCCCATCAGATAATTCACATGTACATTTCTGGTTCTCTCAAATTTGTTATATGAACCACTTTATGAGCGATTCTTACCCGATAACAGAATAAGATGGTAGAATACCCCGTAAACAGCCTATTCAAAATGACATCATCTTGTTAAGCATAACATCAAACTAACTGATGTCAAAGAACGTGCTAAATTTTCCCTTAATTTTTTAACACTGCTTTATTCTATTATGGGTTGGCTCTTTCATTTATAATAAAAAAAAAATTTAAATGGTTTCCGTAGGTTCACTTGTATGACAGAATATCCCAGGTATCTGTATTTTTCATTAGTGTTCACACTCACTGAAAAATATAGATATATTGCAATTGTCATGCTGTGAAATAAATATGATTTTATAGAATACTTGTATCTTTTCAGTATCCACAAAAACAGAAAAACATAATCAAGACCCCAATGTCACCTAACCTAGAGCTGAGCGCAGTATGTCAAATTGTCACATCACTATCAAACTCTGTGCTAATTCAATGAATTCATTCATAATTTCTTCCTTCCTTTGCAAAGCATAAACAATAGCTCCTTCAGAGCCTGCACCAAGAGTTCAGATACACTATAAAAGGAACACCCAAATTAAAGAACAACAAAAAAGGCACCTATAGGGTTAGGGGATTGTTTGTAAGCTAAAACAATATAATTATTGACCAGAAACTTTTCATGTAATGTAAATCGTAACCTTAATCTAAGAAGGTTTTCGATTGGACAATGACAGATAGTACAAAAATTTGGCCATTTGATTTTCTGTTTTAAATGTATTTGATTGGATAATTGATTAGTACTACTGACAAATATGAAGTTATCAGAAAGCTACCATTAAAAGTTCACTTGGTTGAGTGTTCTTGAAATCAAGTACTTTCTTTGACGCGATGGTTTCGGGAAAGAAGTAACATATAGGCGTTGTATAAATGAAAGCATATGAGAGGCGTGAACTCAAGATCAATATTTTCATCACCGCTTATGGCAGAATGTACTTAGCATATCCTATGTTATGCTAAAACGTTGATTAACACAGGTTTACGACTGGCATATTCACAGTTGATCTTTATTAGTCTTGTCCCATCTGGTAACAACCGGATTATCTTCTGATGTTAGGGGTCTCTGTGTAGATATTTCTTTTCCTTTATAGTTTGATTTTAAAAGACGGTGATCAGCAGTTTGGTACCAACACACAGAGTCTAAGTGTTTTTGGCATTGTTTTCCAGTTGGTGTAAACAGAAGAGGCACATGGGGCCTGTAACACCCACCTCCTTTGGTTCGGTAACAATTGGAAGAATCTTAAACATTATTCACAGGAAAGTCAAAATTTTCATTAATGCTAAATCAGACCAAATTTTATAAAAATCAACTTTCATTATAACAGAAGAACAACAGCTATTCCTTGGATTAACCTACTTGACCCCGTTCATCTGTGTCCTTGGGGTGTGACCTTTCATTTATGAGTGCCAGTTGCCTAAAAACGCTTCAGATCAAATTTGGTCAATTTCCCATCATTCCCAAAGAAAGAATTTGCTCTATTTACCATAATGGACCTCACCATCCCGCTGTAGGGGAACAAGATTCACTTTCGATGCATAACTGATATCACTTCACCCAATGATGCTTCAGACCAAATTAGAACGGAACCCTGGCATTCTTACGAAAGAAGAATTTTAAACAATTTTCAAAATCTCGTCTATTGGGCAACGCCCCTCTAGTTCCGGGGAGACCAACAATTTATACAAGAAAATTGTTCCAAAGGATGTTTTTGACCTAATTTGGTCAGTACGCGATTTTAAGAATACAGAAAAAATATTGACGATGGACGCTGCGCTATGAGGATTTATTGAGTACTACGACAAGAAGTCCGAAGGGTGTTGACTATCTTTCCTTCATTCTATTTTTGTCATTGCTGATATTCCAAATTCCAACCCTCATGAAAACATCGACCTCGACAATTACAATATACTAGAACAAGAGTAAACAAGAGGCCCATGGGCCTTAACGGTCATCTGACAAAAAGCAAGCCAAACCTAGAAAGTGGGTTGAGGTCATTCATTTGAACAAACTTGGTAGCCTCTCCTCCAAGCATCTTACAGGCCCAATATCAGCACTCATGGACTTTTGCTTGTTGAGAAGAAGTCGTTTGTATATTTTAACATATTTGACCCCTGTGACCTTGAAAGTGAGTTGAGGTCATTCATTTGAATAAACTTGGTAGCCTTTCCTCCCAGCATGCTACAGACCCAATATCGGCACTCATAGACTTTTGCTTATTGAGATGAAGTCCTTTGTATATTTTAACATATTTGACCCCTGTGACCTTGAAAGTGGGCCAAGGTCATTCATTTGAACAAACTTTGTAGGGCTCCATGCCAGCATGCTATGGGCCAAGTATTAGCCCCCTAGGCCTTCTAGTATTTGAGAAGAAGTTATTTAAAGATTTTGACATATTTGACCCCTGCGACCTTGAAAGTTGTTCAAGGTCATTCATTTAAATAAACTTGGTAGCCTTTCCTCCCAGCATGCTACAGACCCAATATCGGCACTCATAGACTTTTGCTTATTGAGATGAAGTCCTTTGTATATTTTAACATATTTGACCCCTGTGACCTTTAAAGTGGGCCAAGGTCATTCATTTGAACAAACTTTGTAGGGCTACATGCCAGCATGCTATGGGCCAAGTATTAGCCCCCTAGGCCTTCTAGTATTTGAGAAGAAGTTATTTAAAGATTTTGACATATTTGACCCCTGTGACCTTGAAAGTGGGCCAAGGTCATTCATTTGAACAAACTTTGTAGGGCTCCATGCCAGCATGATATGGGCCAAGTATTAGCCCCCTAGGCCTTCTAGTATTTGAGAAGAAGTTATTTAAAGATTTTGACATATTTGACCCCTGTGACCTTGAAAGTTGTTCAAGGTCATTCATTTAAACAAACTTGGTAGTCCTTCATCCCAGCATGTCACAGGCCCAATATCTACACTCTGAGCCTTTTGGTTAATGAGAAGAAGTTGTTTAAAGATTTTAACATATTTGACCCCTGTGACCTTTAAAGTGGGTCAAGGTCATTCATTTGAACAAACTTGGTAGAGCTCCATGCCAGTATCCTCTGTGCCAAGTATTAGCCCCCTAGACCTTCTAGTATTTGAGAAGAAGTCGTTTGAATGAAAAGTTTACGGACGGCGGACGGCGCACGGCGGACGACGACGGACGAAGCATGATGACTATAGGTCATCGGACCCTTCGGGTCAGATGACCTAAAAAACAACACTTTGAACTACATAGCAATTTCAATGAGCAGTGAAAAAACAACGGAGGTTGACTTATCTCTCTGTAATTGTCATGCTACAATATACTATTCTGATCTCTCAGAGTTACTGCCCTTTATTTCACTCTGTCACCCTGTCGGATAGTATAGCGATAATCTTGACAGCCGATGGGAGCCAAGAATGCAATATACTGACATGCCGTTTTTTTTGTAAGATTTCAGATATGATGTCATATCGGAACTCTAAAAAAGAAGGAAAAACAAACAAAACGATACATATTTTATAAATTTATTGACTGACGACAGATTGAAGTGGAATCAAAAACAATACTTTTTTGCGATCAGATTTTTCGTTATGTACATGATATATTGACATTATACAATTGACGTTCGCAACATGATGGATACATCAGTATTAGGTATGTACATGTACAATGTCCTCCATAGATAATGGACTCGTTAGTTGCACGTGCTGTATTCCGTTGTTGCTGAATACAACAAAAATAATGTGGCAGACAACAATGGAACGACAAGTATGTTTACCCAAAAATAGATACAACTCCAATATATAAATATTTGAACTTAAGTTATTATTAAAATGACATTACCACATTAACCACACACGTAACAAGAAAAAAAAATCTAGAAAATACCAACATGACAGCATAACCATAACTCCAACTCAAATTCCGCTAAACTAGGGCAAAATATGAACAGAAGAAAGATTTACATGGTTACATGATTCAAGGAGAATAAGACCAGGTGTTCAAGAGGAGTAAGCGTCTCCTACTTCATCGACGACACCTGCCATGCAAACCTTGGTAAGTACTAGTAAGTAATGCTACAGTCTCAAATGAGAACAAGGTATACAACAACGGAACCAACAGGAAAACTAACGAGCATCAAATACGTCCAGCTTCATGTCGCACAAAGATATAGAATATTTCTCAAAACACATCTTATCCCGAAGGTTTGTATGATTTCAAATTATCCTGAGGTGAGCATCTTTTCATGTTACAAAAATAAATTCAAATTAAAATCAGTGAAACGTAGGAAATCATGAAAATATGAAAGATTTACATGCAAAGGTACATCGATAAAACTGGAGGTACTGATCTCTTTAGATAAAAAGAAATTTATTGACAACGTATATACCTACCAGAATTATAAATCAAAGACACGACAGACTCTTCTACATCAGCTCCTTACCTCGATATTTTCCTACAACGAAATCAACATGGACAGTTTTCCATCAAGCAGTACGAAAAACATGATTAATTCAATTTCTTGGTTGTGAATTTTCTACTCTTGATAGCCACATTCCTGCATCCAAAACCTATGGTGTTTACCTGTCGCAATTGATTCGATATTCAAGAACCTGTTCCCATAATTCCGATTTTCGTGCTAGAGTCGTTAACTGACAGACAAACTCGTACTATAGAGTTTTAAAAAATGCAGTTTCATGAAAAATATGGAGAAGTTTTATTTCGTCATAGTGATCTCATTGAGAAACATTTTACCTCTTCGTGCGATATGAAACTGGATGCGTTTGGTGCTTGCTAGTTTGCATGTTGTTCAGTTATCTTGTTCTCATTTGCAAAAAGTGACATTAACAACTAGGATTGATCAAGGTTTACATGGCATGTGTCGTCGATGAAGCTGAAGACGCTTACTCTTCAGGAACACTTGGTCTTATTATCCCTGTACCTTTTCGGGAGTCTTCTTGTTTCTCTTGTTCATATTTTGCCTTAGTTTGATTGAATTTGAGTTTGGATCATAACCGTGTTGAGATGGGTTTTTTCATCGACCAAACCTGTCATGTAAAAGTTTTTAAATGCATGTAATTAGCGGCACATTCCTAAATGACAACCAGGTTTATAACTACGAAAAGACCAGGCATGGACACACCTACAAAACAACGATATGTATATGTACGATATATAGTTGCACGAACAAGCACTTCTCGAAGACCTGACTTGTGACCGTAACAACTTTTGTTTCTACCACCACCCGTTTGTGAACTTGCATTTGTGTAATTGATAAACAATATAATGACATTTTTTACAACGACATTTGTTCTTCTGTTATTTCAAATCCTCTGTTTGATTTCCCGTGAAGACTATTCTCTTCAGGTGAAGATGATTCGTCCCTGTTTCTACAACACTTGCACACCCCAATAATCTTAGTTAAAACTCGATCTAAAGGATCCAGTGAGTGCAAGGGTTCTGGAAGGAAGTCCCAGTTCCTAAGAATTCTTGGTAAACAGTTATTCATTTTTCTCTGGAGTACATTTATTAAAATGATTATAACAATAGCTGTAAGAAGAGGGACTCCGACCGCTAGAAGAACCATGGTTCCCGCGAGGGACAGACCTAGTACAGTTCCGGGCACTAGGAAGAATGCCACAACTATATAGAAAAAGGAAAACCACCGGTATTGTGACGTCACGTTGCCAAGAATTTTTGCCAAACCAATAGGAATTTTTCTCATGAACGGGAGAGGATAAAACAAGATGGCTCCCGATAGATTGAAGAAGAGGTGACACAGTCCAACCTGGAGCGAGTGTGGAATCTGGTCGGCAGGAAGAGAGAGAGAAGCCATGATGGTTGTTATAGTCGTACCAATATTTGCCCCAACAGTCAGTGGAAACATTCGGTCAAGGGAGACAACCTCTACACCAACAAGTGGTGTAAGGATTGAGGTGAACACTGAGCTGCTCTGTATTATCATTGTCATACCTGTAACAATCAAACCATTGAACATAAAATAATACAAATATATTTTGACGAAATCAAAGAAATGGTCAGGTTTCTGGTCGACAACATGTTCGTCGAGTTTTTTTTTTTTTTTTTTAAAAACTTCCAACAGACAGCTGGCATACCCATAGCAGAGACGTATATATCACATGTGAAATATACGTCTCTGCCCATATGGAATAACTGTGCCCATCTGTTGGCTGGCTTGTTTATGCTTTCGAGCGATGTCTTGTCTTTAACTAACAAGAAATGTATTGACAACTTCCATCGTATATACCAAACAGAATTGGAACCAAGGACACTACCGACTCTTCTACATCAGCAACTTATTTCGATCTACCTATACAACGAAACCAACATAAACGGTTTTCCACCAAGCGGTATGATAACGTGATAATTCCAATTTGTCTATTGTGAATTTTCCATTTTTGGTAGCAGCATACCTGAATCCCTAGCCTATGGCGGTTACACGTCACAGTTTATTCGAGTTATATCCTCATATGACGGACAGACTCATAACACTGGCTTTCAAAACAGATCTTGAAACTTATGGAAACTTTTTAAGTTATCATAGTATTCTTATTGAAAAATAACATTACGGCGGGCAGAAGACTCTTACTCTTTCAGAATACATGGTCTTATGTTCTTTGTACCTCTTCAGGAGTGTCAGTGTCATTCTGTATATCATATTTTGCCCTAATTTTACCGAATTCGAGTTTGGTTAATCATGATGTTCACATCTTGGTATTTTCGTACTATTTTTGTTTAAAAAAAACTCAACGGCAAATACGACCTGTTCGGACCTCTGTTTATCACATTTTGTCTGTTTACTATTACAAATGAACACGTTTGTACATTGCAATCCTCTAATGGGAAAATTCCAAGTGTTTTATTCAGTATAAGAAAGTCATGCTCAAAAAAAAATCACATGGAATACATTCCGTCTTGAATCAACAACAGAGAAATATATTAAAGTTAACCTTATGATTTAATAAATCACAGATTCAATATTTTTTACATTGCAATAGACTCCTTTCTTTGATTATGCCGTACTCCTCTGAATAGTCCAATCAAACGTCACGAAATACATCGATTTATTATGTTATGGAGTCATACCATAAACAAAACCATTAAAATGTTTGTTTCACAGGGAATATGATATCATACGGTAAAAAGGTAATAAAATATTCTGGGGACACGTGCCAAATGCATTTATTGGACCTGAAATTTCATGTGAAATTCTATGTAAGCATATGAGCTTGATCCTAAATTATGTAGATTGAAACGTCACTGATACTTCACCTGTTCCGATCAAGATCGCCACATATCCAGTGAGGAAGGAGAGTTTTCCTGGAAAATTTGCATTTATGCTTTTCTTTACCACTTTAGCCACTGAACCCTTTAACATAGAGTTGAGGAGCTTGACGATAACTACAAGGGAGACGATGATAAGGCCAAACGAAATGACCATGAGGAGGCCACCAGCGGCACTGTCATCTAGATCTGTCAGAGCTAGCAGATTATCACCTGTAACCGTACAAATACAGCAAAGTAACTGCCAACAAGTCAAAACAAAAAATCATAATTCAAACTTTAAATCAATGAAACATTGACGAACAAAGGAGACCACTAAATCTCAGGAAGATAAGACCACGTGTTCCGAGGAGGTAAACCCGTTCACGTTACTGACAACACTCAACATTTAAATATAAACAAATGAGAGTAATGTCACAATCTCAATTGGAAACGTAAACTAGTATAGAAAAAAATAAAACCACCATACTAATTATCCATGAACATTTCCGAATTGATATTGCCTAAAAATGTAGATTTCTTACAATGGCTTCATAACTGCAGTCAGCAAACTTCCCTACAACCTTCATCAATCTGAATCTCTCTTACAACTTCATCAAACTGAATCTCTTACAACCTTCATCAACCTGAATCTCTCTTACAACCTTCATCAGTCTGAATCTCCTACAACAATCATCAACCCGAATCTCTCTTACAACCTTCATCAACCTGAATCTCCTACAACTTTCATCAGTCTGAATCTCCTACAACCTTCATCAACCTGAATCTCCTACAACCTTCATCAACCTGAATCTCCTACAACCTTCATCAACCTGAATCTCCTACAACCTTCATCAACCTGAATCTCCTACAACCTTCATCAACCTGAATCTCCTACAACCTTCATCAACCTGAATCTCCTACAACCTTCATCAACCTGAATCTTCTACAACCTTCATCAACCTGAATCTCCTACAACCTTCATCAGTCTAAATCTCCTACAACCTTCATCAGTCTAAATCTCCTACAACCTTCATCAGTCTAAATCTCCTACAACCTTCATCAACCTGAATCTTCTACAACCTTCATCAACCTGAATCTCCTACAACCTTCATCAGTCTAAATCTCCTACAACCTTCATCAACCTGAATCTTCTACAACCTTCATCAGTCTGAATCTCCTACAACCTTCATCAATCTAAATCTTCTACAACCTTCATCAACCTGAATCTTCTACAACCTTCATCAACCTGAATCTTCTACAACCTTCATCAACCTGAATCTTCTACAACCTTCATCAACCTGAATCTTCTACAACCTTCATCAACCTGAATCTCCTACAACCTTCATCAACCTGAATCTTCTACAACCTTCATCAGTCTGAATCTCTTACAACCTTCATCAACCTGAATCTCCTACAACCTTCATCAATCTAAATCTTCTACAACCTTCATCAGTCTGAATCTCCTACAACCTTCTTCAGTCTGAATCTCCTACAACATTCATCAACCTGAATCTCTCGAAACCCTGTGTTGTCGTGATCTACTAGTATCATGGAATCATGGTTGTGAGAGAAAACCGTAGAATATTAAATCAACTGCGACATGTAAACAACGGTTTAGGAAGCGGAAATTTTACCATATATAAATCTCCTTTTCATGATAAGGGAATGAAACTATGATCAGTACTTAAGATTTCAGATATGTGACATTATTCTAACAATAAACGATAAAATGTCATTTTCATTTATACAGTTTTCACAATATTAATAGATACTGATAATGATATGCAAGATACTTACATCTTTCCAAATTGATTCTTTCATATTTGTCCGCTATCTCCGATGTTTGTGACATATTGTGGGTTTGATTGAAACGTTCAGTCTGCTCTGACGATGAAGCTAAAGGCAAAAACAATGATTTAAGCTAACGATATTGATAAATATTGATACATGAAGCAGTTTGATAAAAAATACGAAACCTTAAAGTCCTAAACTTTAACCAACCCCTTGTAAATACCTGTCTTTACTTTAATCATTAAGATTTCTATAAAATAACTATAAATGCACATGTTTGTATTAATAGTTTCGATTATCGATATACGTATTACTTGTAGAGAGTATATGACATTTCCTGCTTTCTTAAGAAATATTTATGGCAAAATGATTTCTTTAAGTCTGATTTTCGACATTATCACGAACTCTGTAACATTTCTACTTACGATCATAAGAAATCACCTGGTAATGAGTTTCAAGTGTTGTAAAGCTCTACAAAGTTATCAAATACTGAGTATAACACGACATCAAATGACTCTTTATTGTTTTATTTACCATGATCCAGTTACCCGACAGTGAGTGCACTGAAAAATAACCCGAAGACATATAGCATTACTATCATTTAATACCGCTTTTTAAGATCGAGCGCTATGGTTATCAATTTCATAACAAACTCTCACCTAACGTTGTGTTCCGGAAGTTGTAGCTCCGGTCTGTAGAGGAGTTGACATGAATTGTCAGCGTTTTACACCACCGCTTCAGGACAGTCTTTTCCTCCGCCCCGTCTTTTTCTACAGCAATGTCCTTTATCACTTTGCTGTTTATCTGCGTATGGATGATTTTGTCGAAATTTGTCAATTCATTCATCATTTAAAATATTAGATCATCTTTGTTTAATATAAGCTCCGGGAGAGAAGAACATTTTTAGTGTTTTTACAATGACATCTATGTGTAAACTTAATAACACAACAACTACACTGCATGTTTATTTTATTCCTATGAAATACTGTGTATGTACTGGGTAAATAATTTCTGTACGTATTTCTACACTTACTATGTTGGGTCAGATTTTGTTTTCTTTGAGGTAATTTCTTCTCTTCACACTCTCGTGTAAAAATGATTAAAAAAAAAGATTTGAGACTACGGCAAAGCAATGTGTTTCAGTCAGCCAGTGGCTCAAAATTTATCATGCTTACCTTTACAAGTAGGTTAGTGAAGGGCTTGGTAATAGCTTTCAGGATGTCACGTTTCTTTCCGGAAGATTTAGAAAGGTCTAGGCTGTTGACTATGACGTCAGTTAGTTTGAACAGATAGTTGGTTGCGACCTCTAACGGAAGGAGTATGATAACAGTCAACCAATTGAACATGTCATGGACTGTTGCTCCGGCAAATGACCTCCGAAACTCCTCGCGGTTGCCGAACTGTGTTAGAGCAACAAGTGTATTGGTAACAGAAGTGCCTATATTGGCTCCCATCACCATAGGAATTGCAACCTTGGTTGGTATGACTGGGGGAGAAAAGGGAAAATAAACATGCTAATAGTAATCTATTTATTTTAATGACAATTACAACTAGATTTTGACATTTCTTTGGTTTTGTGATAGTCGAATTCCAGGTTTAAAAAAAATGCCATTATTATGGTTAAATGACTGAATGGTCACATTTTAATAAAAGTATGGCGAAATGTATACAAAAAACAATTAAAACGGAAACTCCTGAAAAAGTATAAGAAAAGTGTTCTGGAAGAGTAAGCGTAATCGCAAACGAGAACAATAAAATTTTAATGAGGATCGTAAACTTCCCCAATAATAAAGAAATCAACGATGCCCTTACTTACTTCCGGAGCCGACCATGGTGACGATGATGGAGGTAGTAGTGGAGGAGCTCTGAAGTAGAACAGTAGCCAGTACACCAATCATTAGGCCCGCCACGGGATTGGACAGAAGGTCGTTCTCACGGAATGCTTTACCGGCTGTTTTTCCTAGTGGTAGAGAGATCAACCAAGATATTTTTTTAAATAACACTACTTATATGACAAATTGCAAAGAAGAGATCGTCTTTTTATCAGACTCACTTAACATTTATTCCAAGTACAATGTCGGGTTTTCGTTTCGGATTATTTATATAAGATACCATATTGTATTTGAGATTTGTATGAAATATCTTCTATAAGATGTCTCATATACTTTATAAGGCATCTCACGTATCTTTGTAATGATACTAAGTGGACATTCGATAGACACCAGTACCCTTATTCGTCAAGTTGTTCTCATCTCGTACTACAAAGAACATTCTATATGTCTTACTATTAAGTATCAGGCGTTTTGTTACTGACGACGTTTTTGCAGAAGCCGTTGTTAATAACTGAAGCAGCCCTGATGGACCACGAAATCATAAGTTGTTAGATGTTAAAACATTAGACCGGACGAATATACGGCAATAGATTCCGACTAAAACCGGAAAAGTACCTTGTGTGGAAACTTTTCACCCCGGTATGCCAGCATTATCAACGATCTTCCCAGAAACTGTCTACCAGTAAAATAAATGGTATTTTCCCGGAAACAGTTCGAAGAACATCAACATACTACTGTAACTGGCTGTACAACAGTAAATGCAACAGTAAGAAGAACATGCTTTTCATTATCTTTTCTGTCCTCACCAGTCCCTGCTTTCGCTTCTTTTTAAACTCTTTCTTTACCGATGACAATTTTTTGGCATGTTGGCTTCCTTTGTGTCAACTGTCGTTTATTTAGCAAAATGTTATACACGTATATCATTCAATAAAGTATCTGATATCTGTGATGCTAAAAATAGCTACAAGAACTCAAACTCAAATTCAATAAAACTAGGGCAAAACGCAAAGAAAAGAAAAAAATCACTCGGATACTTTTGTAAAAGTACAAAACGAAAAAGACCAGGTTTTCCTGAAGTGAAAGCGTCTTCTGTTTCATTGACGACACCCACCATGTAAATCAGAATACATATTTATTCCGATATCAACAGGCAACCAAGTGAGTATCAAACATCCAGCTCTGTATCGAAGAAAGGAATTTCTCAATGGGATCTCTATGACGACCGTAAAACTTCCCCATACTATTCATCAAGCTGCATCATTTGAAACCCTTGAACCCTTTGAATTTGTTGGTATTTCTGTTGGATTGTCTAATTGCAATAAACTGATTTCTCTTTACTGTAATATATTACAAAGCGTACTGTTTTCGACCAAGTCATTCATATTTTATACTTTTAAATATAAATCCACATACGACGCATAACACAGAGAAAATAATTTCAACCTAATTCCAACTGGTCAAACGATTGAAATTATTTTTTTCATAAATTGTAAATGATTAAGAAAGAAAAGACGCTGCAGGTTTATTACAAAGTTGTAAGGTTATCAATTACAATAATTATGGGACCGTGCTTGGTTTAGGCGTGATCAATCAATATCGACTTGTAAAGATGATATTTATTACAGAAATGAGCAGGTTGATTTATAAGTCCAACTTACTTTCTAAAAGATATCAAAAAAATATCAACACGGCAACATAATCATAATTCAAACTCAAATTTCATAAAACTAGGACAAAATATGAACTAAAGAAAGATTAACACGCAGACTCCTGAAAAGTGCAAGGATAATAAGATCAGGTGTTCCGGAAGAGTAAGCGTCTTTTGCTTCATCGCCCGCACCCGTTATGTAAACTTTGGTCTATCTAAGTACGTAATGTCACGCTCTCAATTGAGAGCAAGGTATGCAACGACCGAATCGACAGGCATACTAACGAGCATCAAATACGTCCAGTTTCATGTCACACAAAATCTCAATGACTTCACTATGGCGACCAATGACACATTGCTTTTGCAAAGGTCTGCATAGAAAAAAAAACATTTTCTAAAGATTTTGCTTTATCAGCACATTTTAATTCAGCTAGATTTGATAGTTGCTTTATGGAATACATCTTCTAATAATGATTCTAAAGTATGATTACGATTGGTAATGGATTCCACACGATATCCGGGCATAACGTAATGGAAGAGTGTTGAAAATTGAATATAAGTAGTTTCAAAAGGTAACATCACTTGACACCTTTATTATGCTACGTAACTGGAAGGGTGTTGAAATTGAATATAAATCTTTTCAAAAGGTAACATCACCTGACAACTTTATAATGCTGTTATGTGACGAGTGTTGAAACTGGATACAAATCTTCCTAAAAGGCTACATAACTGGATGATAAATCCTCTCTAACATCACCATACACCTTTATAATAAATACACACTGCTGTTAAATAACACTTGTATGTCTCTTGTACAATCTTACATCACCATACACCTTTATAATAAATACACACTGCTGTTAAATAACACTTGTATGTCTCTTGTACAATCTTACATCACCATACACCTTTATAATAAATACACACTGCTGTTAAATAACACTTGTATGTCTCTTGTACAATCTTACATCACCATACACCTTTATAATAAATACACACTGCTGTTAAATAACACTTGTATGTCTCTTGTACAATCTTACATCACCATACACCTTTATAATAAATACACACTGCTGTTAAATAACACTTGTATGTCTCTTGTACAATCTTACATCACCATACACCTTTATAATAAATACACACTGCTGTTAAATAACACTTGTATGTCTCTTGTACAATCTTACATCACCATACACCTTTATAATAAATACACACTGCTGTTAAATAACACTTGTATGTCTCTTGTACAATCTTACATCACCATACACCTTTATAATAAATACACACTGCTGTTAAATAACACTTGTATGTCTCTTGTACAATCTTACATCACCATACACCTTTATAATAAATACACACTGCTGTTAAATAACACTTGTATGTCTCTTGTACAATCTTACATCACCATACACCTTTATAATAAATACACACTGCTGTTAAATAACACTTGTATGTCTCTTGTACAATCTTACATCACCATACACCTTTATAATAAATACACACTGCTGTTAAATAACACTTGTATGTCTCTTGTACAATCTTACATCACCATACACCTTTATAATAAATACACACTGCTGTTAAATAACACTTGTATGTCTCTTGTACAATCTTACATCACCATACACCTTTATAATAAATACACACTGCTGTTAAATTACACTTGTATGTCTCTTGTACAATCTTACATCACCATACACCTTTATAATAAATACACACTGCTGTTAAATAACACTTGTATGTCTCTTGTACAGTCTTCGTACTCATGTTATAGACTATTAAACCAGATATCTTGCGTATAGAAGCGGCCCGTTGGACGATAAAAAATCAAAATCTTAAGTACACAGAAATAACGCAATATATATATGTAATGATGATAATCAACAGAGGAAGAAATTGTGAATCTGTACCGAACAATACCCTACTGGACCGTCAATATTGGTAAAATAAGGATATCGCTATTCGTCACCTATATAAAATTCTTTTCTAAAATTTACTTACCTCCCACGAGTTTAAAAGCATTTCCAAGAAATCCCAGTGCACAGATAAACAAATAAAGGAAACACAAGACGATCAGTATTTTAAGAATAATACTGAAGATTTGTTTACATTTCGGAACATGTCCAGTCCCTGCCATGATTGACAATGCGTATTTTAGTGTCTGGAGCAACCATATATGAGGAAGTAAACAATGAAAGAAACAAGATTTTTTAAGTAGCTATGTGACATTTACCTGCACTTTACAGATTGTGTTGAAATACCGCCAGCTTACTTGCAAATAATATTATATATTATATATCAAAATCTTAGCACAAATTTCTAAGCATGTACCATTTTTGATAGGGCTCAGCCCACGTGTCTCATAACCTCACATAAGCAGTGTATTTGAAATTGATGTAAATCAGTTTGAGGAGTAAAATTGTTAAAGGAGTTAAGTTGTTCAGCGGTTGAAGATATGTACGGCGAGAGTTAGCGAACAAGGTGACGGATTGGAGGGAACATGCCTATCATGGTCGTGCGGCGCATGGTAATTAACAAAACGTATACATACATCACAATAGATTCCCCCGGGTCCTTTAACATGTATCGTCAAAACAACAGATGTACATAATATGTGATGATAAACCAGGAGATATCGGCTGTATAAGGTTGTTAAAGCCTGGCTTTCTTCATGTAGTAGCAGTCATCATAACCATGGGGAAAAAACAATGACAAACACTATAATGAAAAAAAGAATATAAAATTAAAGAATTTATATTTTTTTCTTAATCATACGAAGGGAAACCGAAGACCATATTCTGATTGTCGTTATTTTTATACAAGTTATTTTGATAAAAAAAACACTAATGAATATTTCAAATAATGCTCGATAGTTCTCTGCACTAAGTCATGTTTAATATCAGAAAATCGTTATATCACTTAAGGCATTTAAACATTTAAAAATAATTTATAAATTCGATAAGTTGCCAGACAAATGAAAACAATGTTACACAAGCGCACTTAAGACTGTATAAGGACCATATGTATGTTTTGTAAGATAAGGTTATCGTTACGATCTCTCTACATGTGCTTTCCCAATAGCCATTTTGCCTCCAGAATAAAAAAAGGAAGCAACTTTAATGAAACAAATAACTTTTAAATACATTTTAGTTCAGAAAATCTGTTACTTCGCTACAATTTCATCGATTAGGTTATGTAAACCCCCCTGCAGATATTGGCCTTTAGTTTGATTCTAGAAGTATGGAGACCAATGTGAAGATATTAACCTTATTCAGTTATCTAATTTTATCAATGCAAGAAGAATATTTTGGAAATAAAATTCAAATTATTTGTTTTCATACGAGGTTGAAATTATTGAAGAGATTATCAAAACAGGTCACAAAGTCGTTTAATTTCACTCCCAGAAATATTGATCACGTCTTGTCTTTAAATAGCAAGAAATTTATCAAAGACACGACATGCTCTTCTTTATCAGCTGCTTATCTCGATCTTTTCTTACAACTCTCCACCAAGCTGTATGATAGACGTGAAAGGTTCAATTTCCCTTTTGTGAATTTTACATTTCTGGATAACAATATCCCTGCATTCCCAACCTATGGTATTTGCATGCCACAGTTGATTCGATTAACAAGACCTGTTCCTTTTATCACGATTTTCAAGCAAGAAGCCGTCAAGTGACTGACAAACTAACAGCACAGTTGCAAAACGTTTCAAATTATGGGGAAATTTAATGGTAGCCATAGTGATCTAATTGTGAAATACTCTTCGTGTGATATGAAGCTTGAAGTTAGTTTGCCTGTTGGTTCCGTTGCTGTATACCTTGTTCTCCTTCGAGAACATGACATTACCCTTGGATTGACCAAGGTATACATGACTGTGACATCGACGAAACAGAAGCCGCTTACTCTCCTAGTTTTACTGTATTTATATTGGATTATGATTATGTTGACATGTTGTTATTTTCTTAAACCCATCTGAATGATGATAATGAATTCACTCATATTTCATTACATAGGCCAAACATAGACTGTAATAATAAAAAAATGGCCTCATTAAGCTATTAACAATTGTAAAACTATAAAACTTACTGAATTATGGGGTTTTCACGTTAGTTTCATTCGAGGTCGATTTTCTAGAATTCTTAAATTACTGAGAGAACTTGAAAAACAAACGTATGTGTAACTCAGTTGAATTCATTTCAAAGCTATAATGTATATCATTCTAACTTGTCTTGTAAAATATCTTAGAACATTTTGAAATTGTTGAATGGAAATAGACATACCTGTTTGCCATGTTAAAATTCTTACGAATGGTTTCATGGGTCATAATATACATAAATTTGATTTTACATCACTGACGAGTCCGAGAATGAGGAAGCTATGGTGGCTGATTCGAGACATCGTAATATCGCTTCGTTTAATGGGAAGCGATATTGCGATGTCACGATACCACGATGCGATACTACAATAGCACGATGCGATATCGTGGTATCGCATCGCGCTATCGTGGTATCGCATCGTGCTATCGTGATATCGGAATATCGCTTCCCATTAAACGAAGCGATATTACGATGTCCCGAATCAGCCACCATAGGAAACAAATGTATGATGCAGTCTCATTCGTTATTTGACTCTACTGTATCTAACTCTAAATTTGTATAGAAAGGTGTTATTTACTTGTGTGTCTGTTGTATAATCTTCATCTTCAATATTTTTGACGTTTAGTAGCATCTGGTACGAGTCATAAAGGACGAAACAGAAGTATGGAGCAGTTTAATCAATTCCTTGGCTCTAATCCTAAATTTGTATTGAAAGGTTTTAGCATATTATTGGTGGAATCCTCCATCACCATCTCACCATCCACTAGTTCATCTATTTCGGCGTGTTAGTACAACTCGGTGCCTCATGGTACCATTAATAGTGTCTTAACAGCCTAGCTGTAGCTTTCACAAGGTTGCGTTGATAAAAAACTGGTTTATTAGATCGTTTGCCAAAATAAGCTACCTTTACCTTTTTGTTCTTGTTGTTACTGCGGCTCTTACAACTTCAACAATATAAAAAACTAGCTTAGAACCAGACAGGTGAAATCTTCTTATTGTCAGTTTTACTGTTCTGAGGTTTATAAACCATTATTTTCTAAGTTGCTGTTGAGAGTGTTGATCTCGGCTATAACCACCCAATGTAAACACACACAAGAGAGAGAAAGTCAATGCAAAGGAAAGAGACAGGGATACAATGACGTTGAGTTTGAAAAAAGTTCTGGCCTTTCCAACTAAAACTGATTAATAAGAATTGTGATTTATGTCATTCAATTTCAGAGAGATGCTACAGCACATGTATATGTATATTTACTATAAAATTTGTTAGGGGTTTAAATCAACCTGTATGTCTACAGATGTCGTAAATATGTAAATTAACACATAACAGACACGGCCCTCACTAATTTCTTCACTCGTGGATCCTCGCGTAGGGATACTTGAGACCGCTTCACTCAGGCTCGTTGCGACGTTTTATTAGATAATATATTTAATCTAATGCCGATATAAAATCGAATTTATGACACACTTGACATTGTCGATATCGGATCAAAGAATTCTTGTAGTATTTCAAATACGTATGGCTATACATTTTAATATAGAACCGCCAGGAAAAGTCTTCGAGACTCAAAGGAGTAATTAAAGAAAGGTTCAATTAGATCATTTGAAATGCATTGGAGTCATGTTTCCCCAATGTATATGTAAATCAGTAAGTAGTAAGTTGATATTATATTCCGACAGCACAGTAGAACCAGATTTTATATTCTTAACACTTTCAGTATGAAAATGTATTCATACGAAAGCACAGCGGGACCAGAGTTTAATTCGTTACACTTTCAGTACGAAAATGTCTTCATACGAAAGCACAGTAGAACCAGATTTTCAATTCTTCACACTTTCAGTACGATAATGTCTTAAGACAACAGCATAGTGAAACCAAAGTTTAAATTATTTACACTTTAGGTTCGTTAATGCCTTCAGGCGAGTTCGATGATCTCTGCATGTGATTCAAAGGAAAGGAAATAAACTAGGATCAACTTAATACCTCTAAACAGATTTAGTTATAATATGACTACGTCACACAGTGTTTCGTTCTTCTAGGAATCGTTGGTGATCATAAGGCTATACGGACCTATGAATCATTTTCAGTTATCGGTTTTTTTAATAAAAACATCACACTGTCAAATCCTCATACCCACATAGTATTACACAAATAAAGTGTCGATAGTTCCAATCATTGCCAGTATAGAAAGCTGCCATAAGTCATATACCTCGCCATCAGATAACGACACAATGTTATCGACAGTTTACCTGAGGAGATTGTGTGTAAAACGTAACGCAATTGCGGTTTCAGCTTATAGTCACAGCCTCTAGAAGTAGACGTTACTACCAATCCTAGCTTTCTGGTTGGTCCAAATTGTTTAACGATCTACCAGCGACCTCTAGCGTCAATCGTATACTAAAAAAAATGCTGACATCTTTCAAAGTGTCAAGCATACTGTCGCTATCAGACAATCAAATATTATACCATAGCCTACCCAAAATTCACAGACTAAGTGTTTATGTCACGAACTGATATTGTTCTGGTTTGCAGAATGTTCTCCGTGACAGGACAATATGGCGATACGTAAAGGATTATGGGATCATTGTAAGAAGCAGAAAAATAAAATCAATATCGTTAGCAATATCATAGATGATACAATTTTTTTTTAACTTTCATGGTGATAAATGATTGAGTTATGGAGAGTTAAAGTTTACTCGATCGCTGGCGGCAATGTACGTTGTACATGTGTATCACACTCGAGGACAGCATCTGCAGCTATATCTTAGGCTACTGCATAAAGTAAGAGACAATAAACGATATGCACTAACTATGATTATAATACATTAATATACGAGTTTTCAGTTTCATGTATGAACATGTACAAATACAACGGGTGATTGTGAAGTGTCTTCAGACACAATTGCCTTAAATGCTCAAAGAAGTTAGCGATTTTAAAAGATGTATTTTTTAATATTGATGAATTTACCTCGATTGCCGACGGTACTCGTGTGTGTACAGTGTATACTTGATAGTAGCGATATCTTATTCTTAGTAGCTATTATTAATCAGGGAATAAAATCAATTACAGGAAACAAAAAATCATGTTATAATGGTTATATAACTTTCATCAGGAGCGTGTCTAAAACGTTTCACCGTCTCTGGTTTTATATTCCTCGTCAAACAAAATTATGCACACACAGGAAATTAGGATCCCCTTGAATGAAGTTTTCTTTCATAGTCTGCTGTCAGTATCACAGGGTTCAATTGGAAGTGTATCAAAATTTCAAATTTAGGATAGAAATCTTCTATTTAAGTGTTTGATGATCTTGCAAGGATAATATCTCAAATATAATTATATGTTATCAAAATGTTCAGCTTTTCAGTAATTTCGGTACATTAATACAACTCTCTCTCTCTCTCTCTCTCTCTCTCAGGATAAATGAGCTCCTAATGAAACTGGGTGCAAAGTACATACATATGCATGAGATTATATCCTAAGAGTCCATTTTAGGTGTTATGGTTTTCGTTATACGATATTCTACATGATAAAGGTTTAAGTTTCTATAATACTAGTAGACCCCTACCATTCGAACCAATCCCTTTTCGTTATCTTTGTAATATATGCAATAAATGCTAATGTTATGTTAATACTGTATTACGTTGCTAGAACACTGACGTTCGCCGGTGATAGGTGTCACCTAAACCCATAACTCGCAATTCTTTTCATGTATCACGAGATACAATAACAAAGGTCCTTAAATAATTGAAGACTGTTTAATCCTTGAACAATAACGTACGAGGAGCGACATTCGCAACCTTCCCGTTGTAGTCTTCGTCGGATACATGGATAAATTTTAAGACAAAACAAGAGAAAATCAGTTGGCTCTGCCGGAAGGGGATGTGGTAAATTATACGACGTATTAGCAAAACAAACAAACAACAGTAGGATTATCTGTCAGATACAGAGATACCTGAAGGATAAGACAAAACGGGAAAACAACAGTAGAATTATCTGTAAGATACAGAGATAAAGGATAAGACAAAACAGCAGAACAACAGTTTGATGAACTACATAATTATAAATGAGAAAAATGAATGTTGAGACTAGTGAATTTGAATAGGATGATATTTGAAACAATTATTACATTATTATTATTATGTTAATAACAAAACAATTTGGAAATGGTTAATAATTACTAAAATACATTTCTTATTAAATGTATATTCAAGACCATATTGACCTTTACTGTTTTCTTATATCTATGTATACATATCTCAGTATCTTTTATGTTGATTGCTCGGATGGGTTCTTTTTCTGGTAATTGTCGGATTGGACATGTTTAATGTCTGCTGCAATTTACACAACTTGATAAGGAAACATACAGCCATAATCAGTAGGGGAGGGCTAATATATGCGTTGACATGGAATGAATCCGGTCATATAAAGATTCAAATCTCAATCTCTTTGTGAACATGAACAGACCACGAGTGAAACATTCATTTGTTACCCTCATTTCAAGGTCAACCAATAAGATATATTGTTATATAAATACCGTCAAATCAGGGAACCTGTAAATATGCAAGCCACTTACAAAGGCCGGGACTACTTTATATATATATATACTTTTGTTCTGGGTGGGCGATCACAAAGCCGTTACACACATCAGACGTAAAGCCACCAGGACCGTTTACCTTCCAGGTAATTTTTTCATTCAGTTGATAATACTCTTGATATTTGATGTACACGATGAAAAAGATTCATTTTCATTCATAATCTAATCGGATGTTAATTTGCTGCAGTTTATTTCCAGGAATTAACAGTAGAATAGCATTATAACGTTATGAAATCCTGTTACAATTAACATTAATTGTAAGTATTTTCTCTATTCGCTTGTACTAGTATTTCGGGAAGGTGAACACCAACTCGTTTGATATTCAAAACAACAAAATTACAAATTACAAGGCATCTCAGATTTAAGGTCGGGAATATTCATTCAGAAGTCGTGTACAATACATGGAACCATAATTTGATGTTTTTCCTGTGATTAATTTTTCCCAAATCGCCAAATTCAAGTTGATTGACATTGACAAATCGTTATATTATATGATTGGCTCCTATCCTATAACCATGTGACGGGGAGTGGTATAAGTCTGCATCCACTTTACTTTAACTCCCTCTCTTAGCGACATTCATCTTCTTACGCTGACCTCTTAATGTGTGGCTTAGTATTATTTCAATTACTTCTAATTCTGGTGAATAACATTAATATTCAGGAGAAAAGTCAAGATAACACATAAAACTTCCGGTGGTTTACCATTGGAAGAACATTCGATGTTCGTAGTTTTACCCTTCGCCAAGGTTATATATATAGAGTATGTACAACAACATTTTAACTCATTGTTTTGTTGTTTTAAGTTTCTTCTCATTAGCAGTTTTTACAGTAATCTCAGCTATATTATGTTTTATTCCGATGTAATGATGTAGATGTGCTCGTCAGTTCCCTTAATGTAATGCATTAGAAGTAACGCACGTGCTTTTGTTTTTCAGTTCCATGTAACCAACTTGACTAATGTAATACATGATCGCTGTGAGTGGAATACCAACTTATCACTAAGTTAACGTTTAATGAAAACATTTTGTTTTTAAATTGGGTGTCTGATTTTGATGTGTAAATATTTCAGGGTAAGTGTCATTAAAAAATGAAAAACGCCACAGGGCCCGTAATGGTAACATCTGATGGTGATACCGGAAAATCGTCTGAAGCAGAACCTGAGCAAGCTAAAGTCGACCTGTACGCTCTCACGGACATACCGGACGATGATATCAAATGGAGAGGTATATTGTTTTATAGCGTGACGAGAACTTATGACTTATATATATTTACATAGGCCATATTTAGTACCTACGTACATAGCATGACCTCTCACAATATTTGACCTCAACTGATACCTACCCTCGTCACTGGACACCAAATATCCATGTCATCCTATTTAATGGAAAGAAACTTAATGATATCAAGTTTTTAGATAATGAAAATGTGTCATTGAAAGCAAACTGTTGTATTTTTAATGGTTACCTGTATGTCTTACCCTACTCCCGACTCAGATTCAGTCACCTATATATATATGTATGTATGTATGTATGTATGTATGTATGTATGTATGTACATTTGTTTTTCTTTTTCCTTTTTATTTTAAAATCATACTTACACACATAATATATTTAACTAGTCATCAACAACTTACTATTAAAATTCCTATTCAATTCCATGCCTCCAAGTTTTATTCAGAAAATGAACTCGCAAAGGTGGATGGTGTAGCAATGTGGATATGTATCTCTTTGTATATGATCTTTTCAGCTCATCTATAAAACAAAGTTTATCGCTATGTAACATCATATTAACATGCACCCTTTGTGATTCAGACCTGTCAGATCGACAACGGGTAAAATGGGTCATAACGGCAATCCCGAAACCAGTACTTCTCATCGGACTTCTGTACCTCTTTATCTGCTCACTGGATGCGCTAAGTGCTGCCTTCCAATTGCTGGGAGGTAAGTACATAATTACATAAAGTATAATTCCAGTTTAATTTCTAATATCATAGAGGATAACATATGAAATAAAAATATGCAATCGTCAAAACTTGAAATGTCATAAATAAATACGAATGCAATAAATATTTACATTTGAATTGTATCTTTTATGATTTATCGTGAGATTTATCTTCAAAACGGCGTGACTGAAAAAGAAATATTGTGATTTATATTCATTAGATTTACGTGATATTTAACTAGAAACAGTAAAGATTTTCCGTACAAACTATCGTTATAGACAAATATGCATTTTCTTAACCGAAAATATCTGAAAAGTCAATGAATAGATTTATACGTCACCAACAGTCATCAATTAAACTTTTAGCTTGTGCTTTATTGAATTGTGTTTACCAAACTGAAGGAATCGTTTGCCTAGTATATATGTGTCATTGGTCCTCTACAGGGAAGGCTGCCGGGGAAGCACTGTCCAATAATGAGGTACTTCAAAACCCTGTGGCGGGCCTCATGATTGGTGTCCTGGTGACCGTCCTTGTCCAGAGCTCTTCCACCTCCACATCTATTGTCGTGTCCATGGTATCCGCTGAAAGTATGTCATCACCATTTTTAGTCGTACAATAAATAATGTTCATCAAGAATATATATACCTTTTTATATTGTTACAATTATTTACATTGTTTTATTAGTTAAAGATATGGTATGAGCTATTTAAATATTTTAAAGAGATGATGTAGTATTTAAATAACATTGTGGAAAGGAAGCAAGAGGTAGGGCGAGTGCTTAAGAATAATACTATATCATTTGCGTTTAAAAAAAAAAGATGAAAAAGAAAAGAAGAAGAAGAAGAAAACAAGGACTACATAGCTGTTATGCCTTTTTACATTATTTGCCTTTACTTTGTAATTTGTTTGGAAAGATTGCTAATAAGCTGTTTATGTTTTGTACAATGCACGATGTACATGTATGTTTCTATATATGCAGTTCTGCAAGTAAAGCCAGCCATACCGATCATAATGGGAGCCAACATTGGCACGACAGTGACAAATACTATTGTTGCGCTTGGACAAACTGCCGATCGGAACCAGTTTCGGAGAGCATTCGCAGCAGCTACTGTTCACGACATGTTCAATTGGTTGTGCGTTTTTGTATTACTTCCGCTTGAGGTCATATCCGGGTATCTGTTTGAAATATCAAATGCAATTATACAGACATTACCAAGCACTGAAAACAATGGCACCGGGGACAACCCACAGTTCCTGAAAGCTCTCACCAAACCTCTAACAAGCAAGATTGTATCAGTAAGTATTACCACGTGAGGAGGAACCATATTCCAGCTATGCAAAATATTAATTGGATTTCAAAATCATTACAATACCATTATGAGTTTTACATTTGCCGCTCTCATAAAAAGACAAAAGGCATCGGCGAGTTGATAATAACTTGCAGCTTATAATAATAATATAAAGTTATCAAACCGTAACTTTCCGGATTAACCTGTATAGTTTCACTGCTTGTGTACGGCAATGCAATGTACTTGTACTAATTTAACTACGCCTAAGTGGAGAATAAAGTTTTAAATGATAGGACAAATCTTATTTCGCTTAAGCGGATGTAGGATACAACTTCTTTGCATCATCTGTAGTACATGTGTAATTCTAGTTGTCATAGATTATTGTAAGAGATATTTTATTTGTGCTCTATCTGAATTTGTTTTATATGTTGAAATACAAATAGAACGGTATAGATACAAAAGGGAAATTGAACAAAAATATGACAAGAAAGTATTGTTTGATTCAGGACATGCTAATTGTTTTGTTTTTTATTTTAATTTTAATTCTTGCTGTATGGTGTCTACAGTGGTTTGTGTGAGAATTAGAAAGAGTGGACAAGATATTCTGTTTCTGGTTTAATATATCTTACTAGCAATATTTTATATTTCAGTAAGAAAGACAGTAATAATCATAAAGTCCCATATGAATCACTTGTTTAAATATTATTCTAGTTGGACAGCAGTGCTATAAAAAGAATTGCCAAGGGAGAGGGCGCGGCTAATCTAAGTATAATTAAAAAAGGTTAGTAACAATTAAAACCGCTGAAATGTAATGCACTGAGCTACCCACTACGTATTAGAAACATAACGATTTTTACTGTTGATAAATTCCCCTGCAAGATTTAAACTGAAACAATACAGCCATTACATTTAATTATATGTAAAATCTCAATGATAAAACTTAATTTTACCTCCTCATGGCAGTACTATTTCAGTTTAAAGATGAGTATTGAGAATTATCAATTAATAGTCGCAATTATTTGTATAAATTGCAAACCATGCCTGTAATATGAATAAATCTTTTCTGAAAACACGTTTTGCGTACAGAAAACTTTAACCGGAACATTTATTTAGAGAAATGTTCTTTAAATAAAATTTTCTTTTATAAGAGAAACTCTTTCATATTAAGAACATAAACTAAAATGATCTATTTAGATTGTACATTTCCTGAACATACTTATCGGATAACTGTAAACCCGTTGTTTTCTATAGGGGATCACCTGTTCTCGGACACCACGTGGAGTGACGCCGCCGTGGGTGCGCTGCTTTTGGCAGCATCATTACTTGTCCTTTGTACGTGCCTTGTCCTCATTGTAAAGTTACTCCATGCCATCTTGAAGGGAAAGATAGCACGACTCATCCGTAAACTCTTTAATGCTGAATTTGACGGTTGTATGGCATTCTTGTCAGGCCTGGTAGCCATTATCGTAGGAGCAGGTCTAACCATCCTTGTACAAAGCAGCTCTATCTTCACGTCGGCGATCACACCTCTGGTCGGTGTCGGCGTCATCCACATCGACCGGATGTACCCACTGACCCTTGGGGCGAACATCGGCACGACGGGGACCAGTATTCTAGCAGCTCTGGCATCCTCTGGAAACTTCTACGAATCCTTTAAATTGGCGCTATGTCATCTATTCTTCAATCTAACAGGAGTTTTTCTGTTTTACGTTATTTATCCCCTTCGAAAGCTGCCTATCAATGCCGCCAAATACATGGGCAACGTGATAGCCGAGTACCGCTGGTTCGCAATTGCATATTTGATCCTTCTTTATTTTCTGCTTCCAGGTCTCATCTTTGCCATTTCGCTAGCTGGACCGGAATATCTAATGGCATTCGGTATCCCTGCTCTTGTTCTTATTGTATTGATAACCGTTATTAATGTTCTTCAGAGTAAGCTACCGAAAGTCTTGCCTTCAAAACTACGGACATGGAACTTTCTGCCCGAGTGGCTACGTTCCCTCGCCCCTTACGATAGGTTCGTTGTTCGTGTTGGGAAAATGTTTGTGTGTAAATGTGGAAACAGTAACATTGAAGATAATAAAGACAGTCTACCCGAGGAACAATCCACCAACAGCTATTATCTCAATGTAGATTCATTTCAAAATAAGGCCTTTAGACCTGATGAGATTAAAGGAATACAGATAACGTCCGACACCAAACTTTGAATAAATATGTCATAGTTAGAAGATGTACTTACCGTCCAAAGAAATCCTTGTTGTTAATGTAAATTGTAAATAGTGTACAATATAATAATCGATGTCTGTTTCACTTCTAATATGTACCTGACTTAGTTAATAAACCAAGCAAAATTTCCTTCATCAATTTTACTTTTTAGACCTTTTTGTTGTAGGTTTAATGCCCTCAATACATATTGGTGTGTGTGTTGAAATGAAGCTTGAATCCTAGAACATCACAGTAAGAAAAAAACTGATGTTCTCTACTAAATCATGCCTTTCACAACCAATCTATATAAGGTACACTTTAATACCAAAATTTGATTCAAACTATATATAACATACATGTAGCACTTTCGTCCTTCTAGTCCTCGTCGATAGGTAGGTAGGTAGGGACCTCAAGATCTGCAATCTAGGAGACTAGCTACGAAAATTCAAAATGGGCAGAATAAGTGATAAATGTATATGGGGAGGTGCGTCAACCCTATACATTTATTTGATATATTTTGTAAGGTTAGGAGGGGCTTTTTCTTCAGAGGACACATGAAGAAGGTATGGCACAATAACTCTTACAACACAGTTATCGGAATAAATGATAAAGAAGGTATCAAGTTCAGACAACATATTTCATACCTAAAACATTGTAAATATTGAATATGAGATTTCATCGGGCTCACTATAGTAATTTAAATTAATAGCTCGTTTACAACTTTCGTCAATAAGACTTCATTTAGGTAGTGGTATTGTATCCTCCATACCCCAGAGGGTACGATGTATTTACTCTTGGAACATGTGTTATTGTGGTAGAGTTTAATATGTATGCGCTCAATCGCTCTTTTTACCCCTGGAAAATGTGTTGTTGTTGTTGTAGAATTTGTTTAATATGTATGCTATTGGAAAGAAAGCTTGAATGGATTTCCATGCGTATGACCAATGCCTTTATTGAGGTGCTTGTCCATTTTATAGTTGAGAAGGGAAGAAACTTGCAACCGTCATTCATTTCATGCAATCGTGATAGATTATGATCAAATTCATTCTGTCCCATCAATCGTGTTACAAGGTTATAATGGTTCGTACGTAACAGTACAAATTGACCCTGTTCCAATTTTTAGAAAGTATAATTTGGAATGATTGTCAATGCGATAGCGGAGTAATTTTACGTATAAACATTCAATGACATTTGAAACCCCAATGTTGTAACACCGTTTATAAACATGATGTTTTTTAATTGTATATAAGTAGTCGTAGTTTGTTTTTGATTGTGTTCAGAAGTTACAACGAGAATATTGCTATGAATCAATACACGTGTAAATGATATGAAAAACGCAATGCACGTGCGAATATTTTATGTGGCACTTTTGTTTTTGCCAGAAGTTGGAAATGAAAATTTTTAACGAAGCATTTGATATTATGTTTTCAGATACAATTTTACGAAGTGAAAATTTCTGTTAAGTTTGTATATGACGCGTCAGATTCCTGACAGAGTTTATTGATTGTGTAAAGCATTTCATATCAAATTGTTGTCTAACGAAACGTGTTACTACTAAACCTCGTTGCTAGGGACCATTTCAAGCCCTGCGAAGTCAATTACACTTAATTGTAGTACTAAAAGAGAGTATGAAATTGATATATCATTGATAAGAATAGTTTATGCCCATTTGTAATAATGTCCTACAAGTTCATTTGTACCGTAACTGTATGTCTATGTGTATATATGTATGTAATGTATCTATCATATAAAAGTCAATTCTTTTAAATATGTATTGCTTTTTAAAGTTTTACTTTGGTGAAATATATGATGAAATAACTTTATAGTTCTTGTCAATTATGTACTATAATTTGTGATAACGGTGATGACATTAGGTTGTAAATGTTTTATCCTGGTGCAGGTGTTGAATTATATACTACTGTAATTGTATACATGACAATGAAATAAACGATGTTATAAAATAAATCCCTATGTTATCTGTACATGTTTTTATTCTACCCTAGATACAGGTATGTGAATATCAATACAGTAGCTAGCCAGAAAGTGATTTGTATGACAAGTAATCCTGGAAGTTCTCATACCTTCTATATCACAATGTACCTACATATGTCCTCGATTACTGTTACTTTATTATTTTTTAATTAGATATTTGTCCTTTATGCTATCTTTCTATTATCTCTTCTCGTTTTCCCTTTTCTTATCCCCCCCAAAATTATTGTTTTATTCAGTAATAAAACAAATATATATAATATGTACTTGATTTTCAAGAAGCATCAATATTGTTCAGCACATAATTTGTTTTATTCATGCTGGTGAAATTATGTTACTGTAAACAGTTAATGTATCAGATTTTGTTCGAGTAGTACCATCGTCAGTCAATATGTATTATTAATACAACAATATATAATGAAACAAAGTAATCATTCTTTCTAACCTGGTCATGCTTTCAGCGATTTGTAGGTCTTATTGTATGAAGACAGTGTCGTATTTTCGGCAATATCATAGAAACTCGTTTGGTGATAAATGAACAAAACTGGTCGGATCAGGTCGAACCCTATTCATGTTTAGATGTTGTTTTGTCCTCTTTCTTTTCCCCCTTTTTTTATTTTTTAAGATCCACCCAAAATAATTACCTGTTATTGGGATTACGAGAGAAGTGACATTGACTACATAGACACAATAGGTATGACTTAGTGTTGACATTTTAACTTCCTGAGCAGGTCATTGTGTGAGTGGCGGAGTGCAGGTCTCTGTGATAAGACAGGTCGTTATATTAAGTACAGTTCTTCTTTTGCCTGACCTTCCTTATCGATCGACAATTCGACAGTAAGTATCTCTTAATGGAATTTATCTGTTTATAAAATCTTAGTTGAGAGGGATTGAATGACAAATGAATGATTATTACAGTTTCAAATACACATGAAAAAATATTATATGAAGGGATATGCATTGTACGCTGGAATTGGTAACAACACATAATTGCATTATCAAATCGAGTATGGTAATCCCCACCACCCTTTTTTCAGTGTTAAATTGTACTCTCCCAGCAACACAGCAATTGGTGTTTACCTGTACATTTAATGAAGAGTATGGCGACATTTTTCAGTCACCATTATGATCTCATTGACAAATCTTATATTTTCGAGTGCAAAATTAAGTTAGACATGTTCGATGACCGTTGGCATGCCAGATGGTTTCTTTGTATATGTATCACTTGGATGTGTCTCGTCCATCATTTGGAGAACGTCACATCACTTTTATTGACTAAGGTTTTCTTATGGTCTCCGTGCTAAAGCAGAGCATACTTATCCTTGTGGTATACCTGGTTTTATTCAAGGGTATCCTTGTTATCGTTTATTTTACATCATGATTATGTACATGCATGCTAGTATTCTTTGGTTTATATGAGATATGAAAATGAAAGATATACTACTAAACTTTACACTAGACTAAATTCGCTTTACAATAGGTCAGGGAACTGATTTCTCTTTCTGAATGTTGGCATGAGATGTGTTAGTTCATTTCATTTCAGAATATTTTATCGATATAAATAATCATTATGATTAGACAGCAGGCTAAAGCCTATATATGTCTTCTTCAATGACAACATGATGGGTTAGTTGGTTGGTTACCAGTTTACTGTCACGTTTACTTTTCCTATTTCTAGGCGTTGTCTAACCGACGAAAGTCAGTGTTCTGGAGACGTATGTTTCTTAAATACGCGAGGATGTATTAACAAGAACAAGACACAATCTTTTACAAAAGAAGAATAATCTTAAAATTAACGACAATAAAAACACGTAGCACCACATCAGATTTACATGTGGTACTGTCTGGAGGAAAAGACGCTTATCATTCTGTAACACTTATTCTCCTAGTACATTTTCAGTGATCACTGTTATGATACTTGATTTGTCCTTCTTTACCCCTGATTTATCGATTTTGAGATTACATTATGTTAATCACGATAAACTTGTGGTATGTCTAGTAAGTTTTGTATTTATCACTGACACATAAATCGGCATGTTTTCTATAGACGTAACAAATTGTAATCTCCCCAAACCTACATAGACAATGGTAGTCTGCAAACAACAATTCCAATTATCTACAAAAATAAAATATCTATGTAATTTTAAGTTCAGTTTGGTTGAAACATTGACTAATATTGTATTCATACTCGCATAATCATCATACCTGATAAAATCAGTTTCCACATAAAACTGTATTAAAGTAAAATTTTGAATGATAATCCTGTCATCTTTCTAACCACTCTGACCAGATTTATTCTAGATTAAGTTTATAACTGTCTATCAGAAACAGGGACTTTCAAACTAATACATACAGTAAACGTATAACTGTCTATCAGAAACAGGGACTTTCAAACTAATACATACAGTAAACGTATAACTGTCTATCAGAAACAGGGACATATAACTGTCTATCAGAAACAAGGACATATAACTGTCTATCAGAAACAAGGACTTTCAAACCAATACATACAGTAAACATATAACTGTCTATCAGAAACAGGGACTTTCAAACTAATACATACAGTATACATTTAACTGTCTATCAGAAATAAGGACTTTCAAACTAATACATACAGTAAACATATAACTGTCTATCAGAAACAAGGACTTTCAAACTAATACATACAGTATACATATAACTGTCTATCAGAAACAAGGACTTTCAAACTAATACATACAGTATACATATAACTGTCTATCAGAAACAAGGACTTTCAAACTAATACATGCAGAAACATATAACTGTCTATAAAAAACAGGGACATTTAACTGTCTATCAGAAACAGGGACTTTCAAACTAATACATGCAGAAACATATAACTGTCTATCAGAAACAAGGACATATAACTGTCTATCAGAAACAAGGACTTTCAAACCAATACATGCAGTAAACATATAACTGTCTATCAGAAACAAGGACTTTCAAACTAATACATACAGTCTATCAGAAACAAGGACTTTCAAACTAATACATACAGTATACATATAACTGTCTATCAGAAACAAGGACTTTCAAACCAATACATACAGTAAACATATAACTGTCTATCAGAAACAGGGACTTTCAAACTAATACATACAGTAAACATATAACTGTCTATCAGAAACAAGGACTTTCAAACTAATACATACAGTAAACATATAACTGTCTATCAGAAACAAGGACTTTCAAACTAATACATACAGTACTACATATAACTGTCTATCAGAAAGAAAAGGACTTTCAAACATACTGTCTATACATCAGAAACAGGACTTTCAAACATACATACAGTAAACATATAACTGTCTATCAGAAAAACATACAGTATACATTTAACTGTCTATCAGAAATAAGGACTTTCAAACTAATACATACAGTATACATATAACTGTCTATCAGAAACAGGGACTTTCAAACTAATACATACAGTAAACATATAACTGTCTATCAGAAACAAGGACTTTCAAACTAATACATACAGTAAACGTATAACTGTCTATCAGAAACAGGGACTTTCAAACTAATACATACAGTAAACATATAACTGTCTATCAGAAACAGCGACTTTCAAACTAATACATACAGTATACATATAACTGTCTATCAGAAACAAGGACTTTCAAACCAATACATACAGTAAACATATAACTGTCTATCAGAAACAGGGTCTATCAGAAACAGGGACTTTCAAACTAATACATGCAGAAACATATAACTGTCTATCAGAAACAAGGACATATAACTGTCTATCAGAAACAAGGACTTTCAAACCAATACATACAGTAAACATATAACTGTCTATCAGAAACAGGGACTTTCAAACTAATACATACAGTATACATATAACTGTCTATCAGAAACAAGGACTTTCAAACTAATACATGCAGAAACATATAACTGTCTATCAGAAACAAGGACATATAACTGTCTATCAGAAACAGGGACTTTCAAACTAATACATGCAGAAACATATAACTGTCTATCAGAAACATAAGTATACATATAACTGTCTATAGGACAATACATACAGTAAACATATAACTGTCTATCAGAAACAGGGACTTTCAAACTAATACATACAGTATACATCTAACTGTCTATCAGAAATAAGGACTTTCAAACTAATACATACAGTAAACATATAACTGTCTATCAGAAACAAGGACTTTCAAACTAATACATACAGTATACATATAACTGTCTATCAGAAACAAGGACTTTCAAACTAATACATGCAGAAACATATAACTGTCTATCAGAAACAGGGACTTTCAAACTAATACATACAGTATACATTTAACTGTCTATCAGAAACAAGGACTTTCAAACTAATACATACAGTATACATTTAACTGTCTATCAGAAACAAGGACTTTCAAACTAATACATACAGTATACATATAACTGTCTATCAGAAACAAGGACATATAACTGTCTATCAGAAACAGGGACTTTCAAACTAATACATACAGTAAACATATAACTGTCTATCAGAAACAGGGACTTTCAAACTAATACATACAGTATACGTATAACTGTCTATCAGAAACAGGGACTTTCAAACTAATACATACAGTAAACATATAACTGTCTATCAGAAACAAGGACTTTCAAACTAATACATACAGTAAACATATCACTGTCTATCAGAAACAAGGACATATAACTGTTTATCAGAAACAGGGACTTTCAAACTAATACATAGAAGATATTAATTTATCCTGTCTTAAGATATGTAAAATAACTATAAAAGTTCACAATATCGTTGTATCTATACCTTAAAATTTCCCTTATTCCAGGAAAACTTTTAAATTTTGAGCAATTTAGACCGAGATACGAACTTTATAGCCCGTTTAGGTCTTTCCGCTTGATAAAATCTGTGTAACTTTCTTTCTATTCGTGTACATATTTATGTTCAACAACGGCTTCTTTGGATAAATGTTTAATTGTTGACAAATAATGCACTACAGTATAAGAAATTTGTCAGCTTTATCATGTATGGTACAACAATGATATCAAATATGCAATATAAAAAATCTACAACAAAGAGAAAAATCGCATCTGTACATGCCAAAATACTTATGTGAAAGTCAATATGCAAGATCATTGTGTTTCAGAGGGTTGTATACAAGTAATTAACTATCTATGTTTTCGCCGCAGGAGGTTGATTTGGGTTTAGATAAAGTATTGCTTAAGATTATTTTTACGATTGAAATGTTGTACGTTTATGAATTATTTCTTTTTGCAGTACCATCCAAAAACATGATGATCCTTCCACTGGCAGCAATAAGTATTCTGATAAAGCTCAGTGTGGCAGTTAATCCTTGTACAAATAACACACATTCTGATGGGTGTAGTATTCCCGGCGATCTCCCTTTCTTTTACAAGGAAACATTCACACCCAACTGTAACCAACACGACATCTGTTATTACTGTGTAAGTATTCCTGGTTATCTCCCTTCCTTTTACAAGGAAACATTCACACCCGTCTGTAACCAACATGACATCTGTTATTACTGTGTAAGTATTCCTGGTTATCTCCCTTCCTTTTACAAGGAAACATTCACACCCGACTGGTACCAACGCGACATCTGTTATTACTGTGTAAGTATTCCTGGTTATCTCCCTTCCTTTTACAAGGAAACATTCACACCCGTCTGTAACCAACATGACATCTGTTATTACTGTGTAAGTATTCCTGGTTATCTCCCTTCCTTTTTACAAGGAAACATTCACACCCGACTGGTACCAACACGACATCTGTTATTACTGTGTAAGTATTCCTGGTTATCTCCCTTTCTTCTACAAGGAAACATTCACACCCGTCTGTAACCAACATGACATCTGTTATTACTGTGTAAGTATTCCTGGTTATCTCCCTTTCTTCTACAAGGAAACATTCACACCCGACTGTAACCAACATGACATCTGTTATTACTGTGTAAGTATTCCTGGTTATCTCCCTTTCTTCTACAAGGAAACATTCACACCCGACTGTAACCAACATGACATCTGTTATTACTGTGTAAGTATTCCTGGTTATCTCCCTTTCTTCTACAAGGAAACATTCACACCCGACTGTAACCAACACGACATCTGTTATTACTGTGTAAGTATTCCAGGTTATCTCCCTTTCTTCTACAAGGAAACATTCTTCTTTGACCGTCCCCACATGTCCTTCTATTTTTCTTGATTGTGTTTGCACTTGGTTTCATCGCCAGGTACATATAGTGTTACCCTTGTCTAACATTCTGTTATAATTCCATTCCCATTGATTTTTACTCTTAATTATCCCCGCTTTCACCGAAACGAAGGATATTAATTTGAGTTTCACCACCCGTCCGTCAGTTCGTCTTTCACACTTTTGTTTCCGTGTTCTAACTTCCCCAAATATCATCAATTTGGGTGAAACTTGGTCAGCAGATGCATCTTGGGGTCATTAAGACTGAGTTTGACTGTCAATGTCATCTGTCAATAATTATGCATACTAATGAGGTATCCTTTGATTTCATTGGTCGGTTCATTTCCGTGCTCTAATTTCCCTAAATATCATCCGATTTAGATGAAACTTGGTCAGCAGATGCATATTACAGCACATAAGACATTATAGTTACTAGTATGTAAGTTTTCTTCAATTAGTTCACTTTATTGGTTAATATTTGGTATGTCCAATAAAACATCTACTCTCTATAATCCTTTACATCTTTCTTTGGCTTTATCGCAATACACCATAGCTCAAGAGAATATACCATTCTACAAAGCATTATGACATGTTTACTCCTAACCTCTAAAATATTTACTAACAATATGTTTGGAAAGCGAGGGGATATAAATTTCATGAATTTGCTTGTTTGATACAGATATATAACTGTACACTGGTACGTAGCTGTACCTGTATCATACGTCTGGACAATTAATAGGATCTTTACTTGTAACCACAGTCCAATCATTAATGAAACTCCATGACTGCAGAAATTATGGTTGCTAAAATATTCATTAATATATTTGAACGTTTTATTTTTCTCAGAAACAGAATATCACGAGTAATTGTTCAGTTCTATTGTATATAGGCATTACACTACGGGTTGGGCCGGCACGACTGTGATGATCTATTTCTGAAGAATATGGAGGCTTCATGCAATCATTTGGACCAGAAACGCTTTCTGTTTGGAAGTGACACTAACACTCACCACACCCACCCTGCATGTATGACTGCAGCCTTTGTCTACTATGAGGCAGTGTATTTTGGCGCGGAGAGTCACTTCGAGCAAGCATCGCCATCCTGGTGTGGTGAGAGTTGGGTCCGGCAATGTTTACCATAGCTATACACTATACCATCTATCACAAATGTGTTCATATTAATGCAATAAAACAATATTTTTCATGTCTACAATATGGATTTTGATAATTTTTTTTATTACTTACTTTACATTGTTATAATTGCACTTCAATTAATAGTGTGGTTAATTATTTTAGATAACCTGAGACAGTATTGTGATCGCCTTATTGTCATGTATCTTGCATCCGTAACCATTTTCGACTTCTTCTCAAAAACCACTGAACCAATTTCACTAACACTGTACAGAAACACTCAATAGCCAAATGTGAACTACATAGTTCCCATCCTCCAGGGGCCTGCAGAGCAGGGCCAAAAGGAGTCAAATTGACTCAAATTTCAAAACTCTTCTTCATATGATAGAATAGATTGCTTTGCATGAATGGAACATGTAAGGGCAATCTACCAAAAATTGTGAATTTCATGACCCCAGTGTCTCACATTTATCCCTGGGGAAGGGGGAAAAGTTTACATAGTTTAAATAGGAAAATTATATTTTTCAGTATATTTTGTTTAACTTCCATTGGAAATATTTCAAACTTTGTTAGAATTATTAGTAGAACATGATGGTTTGATGGTAAACGCATATTGATCCTGTCTGGCATCCAGGGGCTAATAGATTGTGCCAAAACGGGTCAAATGACTCAAATTTCAAACAATCTTCTTCTTAATACCCAGATATGCTAGAATAAAATGCTCTGCAGGGATGGGAGGTTTTCAAGGTGCTGTATTAAAATTGTCAATCTCATCACCTCCAGGGCCCGTATTCATGAAACCATTCTCATGCTCAAGCATAGATTTTTGTACTCAAGATAACTTTTTCATAATTCAACTATATCATATCCAATAGTCAAATATAAACATTGAATATAGCATTTGGCTTGAGGTCCTTTCAAAATATTTTCAAATCTTTGACAAAATCAGCCATTTTTTATTCATTTTAATTAAATCAAGATTTGAGCACAAAATTCATGCATGAGCATGAGAATGGTGTCGTGAATACGGACCCTGGTATTGCATTTCCATCTGAAGTAAGGTAAAATTGACAAAAGTTTCTATGAGAAAATTTAATTTTTGAGCATAATTTCTTTTAGTTCAAACTTGAAACAAACTTTTGTAGAATTCTGAATAAATGGATAGGCAGATAATTTAATGCACAGTTTACATTCACATTAAGTGTACACTTTATTTCAAGTTATCTTACTTTATTAACAAGATTATTTCTATAACATGTGACAAACACATTAACAGCTGTGTAACTCTGGTGATAGGTCAGGCCCTTGGGGCCTTTTGTTTACTTGACCATTTATTAGACTACCGGTGTGTAATTCTGCTAGGAAACACTGCACAGTACTCTATGTATACAAAAAATAAAGATATCTGTTAAAAAGTTCTGTAAACATTTATTGTAAATATAAAAAATGCAGCAATACAAAAATAAAGAAAATTCAGGAAAGTGTCTTAGGCAAGCCATCTTTATCCAAGAGACTTTGGTCAGGAGGTAGTTCCTGAGGGCCGGGGCCAGGCATTGTGTATATGATATACTTCAAACTGTCAGCGACGGGATCAAGGGGGAAATAACTCCTATCTTCTTCATTACCCTGCATCAAACAATATCAAGTATTGATAAGATCTTCCTTTGACTAAATAAAGTAATGTGTTCTGTTGTTGCTAAACCTAAGTTCTTTTATGCAACATACTAAAATCGCCACAACCAAATTGTCACAATAGTGTTAATAGCAAATCTGCTCTTAAAGACATACAAGAGATTCCAGAGGGATCTTGGCGCCCACCATTTGAGGATCTATTTTCAGTTCTTGAAGATTTGTTTATTTTTGTTTGTTTGTTACAGGTGTTGTAAATGTTCATGAACTGGTCTTCACTGAATGTACTCAATGATGGCACAAGATATTTTTATTAAGCACTTATTAGCAAATATCATTTGAAAAAGATCCCAAAGTATTATTAGATAGCAGTCAGTTACAGGTGGATAATAGACAATATGCTTATGCTGTATTACTGTCGACATCCAAGATGGCAGCCTGTGGGCCACCTTGATTTCAAATCAGTCCAAAAAAGGTACAATGCACAACTAGGGACCAAGGGAAACCAATATCTATGAAATATCAGAAGGATCCATCCAGTACTTCCTCAGATATAGCGGTAACAAACTTTTACATCCAAAATCCAAGATGGCCACCTGTCGGCCATCTTGAATTCGAATCAGTCCAAAAACGGTACAATGCACAACTAGGGACCAAAAGGAAACTGCATATGAAATTTGAGAAAGATCCATCCAGCACTTTCTCAGAAATAGCGGTAACAAACTTTTACTTCCAAAATCCAAGATGGCTACCTGTCGGCCATCTTGAATTCGAATCAGTCCAAAAAGGGTACAATGTACAACTAGGGACCAAGGGGAAACTGCATATGAAATTTGAGAAAGATCCATCCAGTACTTCCTCAGATATAGCGGTAACAATCTTTTACATCCAAAATCCAAGATGGCCACCTGTCGGCCATCTTGAATTCAAATCAATCCAAAAAAGGTACAATGCAAAACTAGGGACCAAGGGGAACCTGCATATGAAATTTGAGAAAGATCCATACAGTACTTTCCAAGAAATAGCGGTAACAAACTTTTACTTCCAAAATCAAAGATGGCCACCTGTCGGCCATCTCGAATTCGAATCAGTCCAAAAAAGGTACAGTGCACAACTAGGGACCAAGGGGAACCTGCATATGAAATTTGAGAAAGATCCATACAGTACTTTCCAAGAAATAGCGGTAACAAACTTTTACTTCCAAAATCAAAGATGGCCACCTGTCGGCCATCTCGAATTCGAATCAGTCCAAAAAAGGTACAGTGCACAACTAGGGACCAAGGGGAACCTGCATATGAAATTTGAGAAAGATCCATCCAGCACTTTTCCAGAAATAGCGGTAACAAGAATTGTTTACGGACGGACTGATGGACCATGGACGCAGGGCGATTTGAATACCCCACCATCTGATGATGGTGGGCTAAAAAAGACAGAAGGATTATGGTATAATCTTGTCTGTCTGTCAGCCCATCATAAACATTCAGAATTGAACAATTATCTTAGAAGCTTAATCAGCATGTCATGATGTTATATGACCCTGCCAGCTGTTTGATTCTTCAGTTCTTTAAAGAATAATTTCCCCTTTACCAGATATTTTAACATTTTTGAAGACCTCTTCGCTCAGTTTTCACAAGTCCCGATGAAACTTATTAATCATTATATACCTGATATGAAGTTGTGGGGCATTAATTCCACGTTATCAATCCCATTTTTTGTTCTTTCTTCTGCATTTTGGTCTTTTTCAGAGATTTCCTCTCATGGTTTTTAACTTTTCTCTTTTAAGCTGGGCACACCTTATACTTTGGCAGTTTTATAGCCTTTGCATTTTTTGGAGTATTTCAATCTTGACCAGAATTCCATCCTACAGTCTCAATGAAACTTTTATGGGCTGCATCATAATAACTCGCAAATTGACAGGATATTTATTGTTGTATTCATTTCAATGAAGTATACACCTCGTAAAGGGGCATATGTTTATTGTTTCACCAACCAGTATTTTATTGAAGAGTGTTTATGAAACAATTTTACAACCGAATATATAATCAAATATACCTACATTTGACACGGTCTCTGTTAACTCTTCAGTTTTTCCTCTAATAAAATCTTTTTCTTCTGTAGTTGGGGGGAAAAATTGCTTCACAAGATGAAGAAACCTCTGGACATCTTTCTTTAGAAGGAATAGACATGCGTTTGGACCAGCATCAAATGTGTAAGCCACCTGTTAATCAAATCAAGGCAATAAATCCTTTTCAAATAAAATTGACAGATGGTTTGTGTCAGAGCGAATACAAATTTGAAGTTCATTCCCTCCGTGTCTCTGAAGAATATGAGACCCTTCCATCACTTTCTCTATCATCAGGACGAGTTGTGTTTTTTTTTAATCTCTCTACCAGCTGATGAGGAGAAACACTTACCTTAGTTTGCTGACAGCTTCTGTTAAAATGATGCACCAGCTGAATGATTCTTCTGGACACATCAGTTAAGTAGGAGATGGGTGGGTAGGTATCCAGACAACATGCATGCATTTGGTTACTGTCCTGTCAGTTAAAAAACATTCAATGTCTAAATTATGAAACCCTTGAGGAGCAAATTTTCCTTCAATAGTTCCTGAAAATACAATAATAGTTTGAAAATTATGATACATACATACCCACCAAGCACTCACTGATCTCATATCTAGTTCAAATAGATAACCTGGCCACAATCATTTCTACCAATACATCAATATTTCCTTCTATAAGGAATTTGTAAACTATTTCCCATAAATACATAGAGCTCCTTCAGTTAGAGTGACTCAATTACTGAGGATTAAGTAAACAATATTACACTTTCAGTAAAACTGCGGAAAAATTCAAGATCAATATGGTCTCTTACTCCTTTCTACACCAACAACAAACCAAGTCAGAGATTTAGTTAATGATTCAATCCTTCTGAAGTTTGATTTCTAGACTTTTATAATAAAACCTTGCATGCTTGACTGAAGGCAGAAAGAATGTCTGAAATATGAAAGTTTTATATTGTAAATGTAACATGGAATGAAAGGAAAGACAATTTTTGACAAATTGATTGTTAAACTAATTAGACATCACTGTATACCTGGTAACATGTTTCCTTCATGATACAGAGAAAGCTCACATGCTACATTGTGCTATTTTTTTCTGCCTCATCTGAACTCTTTGTTTCTTTTACATGACATGTGATATAAAGTGACATCATAGGTAAAATAGCGTCATCCAATTGTCTTTCTATAACTGAAAAAGGAGGTAATTTAGCAGAATTGAAGAATTCAGAAATGAAAATAGTTTATAAAGTTTTAAGCAATTTTGACACAATGATGTGGAGATGACATTCTGCGACTTGCCGTTCTGGGCTTTATCTCAAACAAGATTTGTTACAGAATGAGGGCTAATGACTGTGATCATTTCATCTCAGTTACCTAGATTACAAGTTTAATAACAGATTTTGTCAGTCCATCCCTAATTCCTTGGTAAACACATGTATCCCTATACATATCACAGACTTCCAGTATCTAAGCTTGACACTGAACAGTTGGTCCACAAACTATGGGATTACATGCCTTCATTGTTATTTCTGCGAATGTTTGGAAATCTCTGTCGTTGATGGCCTGATTGATCTTCTCCACCTTGTCAGGAACACATCGAATTCTCCCCTGCAATAATTCACTAGTTTTCATAGTTATTTGCATTCCTTCTGTACTTCCAGTGTGTTTCTTCTGCTCATTCACCTGAAAAAGATTAAATGAGATGGCTTTAAATTACCTGGTAAGAGTCTGACTACTTATATTATATAATGTCCAGGGCAAACTTTTACAGAAATATATTCATCACTGTAATGGTGAAGTTTATATAGTAGGCTGTCAATGAATAAGACCAGCAAAGTATTGTGAGACACATACATACCACCAGTATAAGTACAGTGAGACTGTGAGACACATACATACCACCAGTATAAGTACAGTGAGACTGTGAGACACACACATACCACCAGTATAGTACAGTGAGACTGTGAGACACATACATACCACCAGTAAAGTACAGTGAGACTGTGAGACACATACATACCACCAGTATAAGTACAGTGAGACTGTGAGACACATACATACCATCAGTATAAGTACAGTGAGACACATACATACCAACAGTATAAATACAGTGAGACTGTGAGACACATACATACCAACAGTATAAGTACAGTGAGACTGTGAGACACATACATACCAACAGTATAAGTACAGTGAGACTGTGAGACACATACATACCAACAGTATAAGTACATGAGACTGTGAGACAAGGTGATACCACAGTATAGTACAGTGACACATACATACCAACAGTATAAGTACAGTGAGACTGTGAGACACATACATACCACCAGTATAAGTACAGTGAGACTGTGAGACACATACATACCACCAGTATAAGTACAGTGAGACTGTGAGACACACACATACCACCAGTATAGTACAGTGAGACTGTGAGACACATACATACAACCAGTAAAGTACAGTGAGACTGTGAGACACATACATACCACCAGTATAAGTACAGTGAGACTGTGAGACACATACATACCACCAGTATAAGTACAGTGAGACACATACATACCAACAGTATAAATACAGTGAGACTGTGAGACACATACATACCAACAGTATAAGTACAGTGAGACTGTGAGACACATACATACCAACAGTATAAGTACAGTGAGACTGTGAGACACATACATACCAACAATATAAGTAAGGTGAGACTGTGAGACACATACATACCACCAGTATAGTACAGTGAGACTGTGAGACACATACATACCACCAGTATAGTACAGTGAGACTGTGAGACACATACATACCACCAGTATAGTACAGTGAGACTGTGAGACACATACATACCACCAGTATAAGTACAGTGAGACTGTGAGACACATACATACCACCAGTATAGTACAGTGAGACACATACATACCAACAGTATAGGTACAATTAGACTGTGTGACACATACATACCACCAGTATAAGTACAGTTAGACTGTGAGACACATACATACCACCAGTATAGTACAGTGAGACACATACATACCAACAGTATAAGTACAGTGAGACTGTGAGACACATACATACAACCAGTATAAGTACAGTGAGACTGTGAGACACATACATACCAACAGTATAAGTACAGTGAGAATGTGAGACACACACATACCACCAGTATAGTACAGTGAGACACATACATACCAACAGTATAGGTACAGTGAGACTGTGAGACACATACATACAGTATAAGTACACCAGACTGTGAGACACATACATACCACCAGTATAAGTACAGTGAGACTGTGAGACACATACATACCACCAGTATAAGTACAGTGAGACTGTGAGACACATATATACCAACAGTATAAGTACAGTGAGACTGTGAGACACATACATACCACCAGTATAAGTACAGTGAGACACATACATACCAACAGTATAAATACAGTGAGACTGTGAGACACATACATACCAACAGTATAAGTACAGTGAGACTGTGAGACACATACATACCAACAGTATAAGTACAGTGAGACTGTGAGACACATACATACCACCAGTATAAGTACAGTGAGACTGTGAGAGACATACATACCAACAGTATAAGTACAGTGAGACTGTGAGACACATACATACCAACAGTATAAGTAAGGTTAGACTGTGAGACACATACATACCACCAGTATAGTACAGTGAGACTGTGAGACACATACATACCACCAGTATAGTACAGTGAGACTGTGAGACACATACATACCACCAGTATAGTACCGTGAGACTGTGAGACACATACATACCACCAGTATAAGTACAGTGAGACTGTGAGACACATACATACCACCAGTATAGTACAGTGAGACACATACATACCAACAGTATAAGTACAGTGAGACTGTGAGACACATACATACCAACAGTATAAGTACAGTGAGACTGTGAGACACATACATACCAACAGTATAAGTACAGTGAGAATGTGAGACACACACATACCACCAGTATAGTACAGTGAGATACATACATACCAACAGTATAGGTACAATTAGACTGTGAGACACATACATACCACCAGTATAAGTACAGTTAGACTGTGAGACACATACATACCACCAGTATAAGTACAGTGAGACTGTGAGACACATACATACCAAGAGTATAGTACAGCGAGACTGTGAGACACATACATACCAACAGTATAAGTACAGTGAGACTGTGAGACACATACATACCACCAGTATAGTACAGTGAGACACATACATACCAACAGTATAAGTACAGTGAGACTGTGAGACACATACATACCACCAGTGTAAGTACAGTGAGACTGTGAGACACATACATACCAACAGTATAAGTACAGTGAGAATGTGAGACACACACATACCACCAGTATAGTACAGTGAGACACATACATACCAACAGTATAGGTACAGTTAGACTGTGAGACACATACATACCGCCAGTATAAGTACAGTTAGACTGTGAGACACATACATACCACCAGTATAAGTACAGTGAGACTGTGAGACACACACATACCACCAGTATAGTACAGTGAGACACATACATACCAACAGTATAAGTACAGTGAGACTGTGAGACACATACATACCACCAGTATAAGTACAGTGAGACTGTGAGACACATACATACCACCAGTATAAGTACAGTGAGACTGTGAGACACATATATACCAACTACATACCACCAGTATAAGTACACGAAGATCTGGCCAGTGTGTATGTGGCTGTATCTGCCTAGCTATAGAATCTGTACCATCATTTTCTTCACCTTTGTTCCACACAACAAACCCTCCATGTATACTCCTACAGGCACTCCCAGATCCACATCTGGAAATATAGCATTTTAAGTGGAGAGAAATGATTGGTATTTACTCCAAGGAAATCAATACCTGAATATACAAATGTACTGCTAATTTGACTGATTTCTGAAAACTGTGACATATCAAATTCAAGAATAAATTGGGAAAAAAGGCAAAAGTCTTTTATTGTTATATGTGTTGACAAAGTTAATCTCAGAGAACCCTGAGCATTATTAGTATGACTACCACAGGATGTTTCGCCTTACCTGGCAATGGCAGAGATATCACCATCTATATCATACAAACACTTGAGAGCATACACTGAAACAGACACAAAAACAAACTCTTCAATACAGTATCATGCTTTAAGATTTGAAAACAATCAGTCTGAGTCAGTTATTCCTGTATTTATGAACAAGCTACCAAAAAATCTTATGTATCCTTGTTGGAAAGCTTTTTCAATGACCAAAGGTCAAACACTGACTATGAATCTATTTGATTTTTGCTGTCAGATTTCAGATAGGAGAAATATTTGCATGATATGATATTTGGATGCACTTGGCAGTTATTGAACAGACTTTGTATTGTCAAGCTTATATGGTGAGGTAGTATTTTGTAAAAGCTAAAAATGCTAAAAATAGCCTTAAATATCCATATTTTCAAGAAATGTACAGTATATATGGGCAAGAATTCTCTAATGAAATTTTAGTGTCAAAGTAGTTTATCCAATAAAAAACAAACAAAATCATGCAAGTATGGAGAATAAACATTGTTTAGATATCAAAGATGCTTTATTTTTATCGTCATATGAAATAACAAATTGATCTAATTGATTAAATAAAAGAAAGCAGCACAAGTTGTACGCCGCCAGTGGATAAATTATAGGCAACAAGTGTGACATTTCTGCAGTAGTGAAACTCCGAGTCGTATTTATTAAATGCCTGAAGAATTGTGGTGCTGTAGAAGTTGTTAATCGACTGCAAAATGATTGGTCTATAGATAAAAACGCTTGTTTTGTACAGGATTTGATTAATGCTGCAAATAAATAGGACTGAAAATAGACCTATGTATGTAACTTTTCGCATCAACAAGCGTTACGTGCACGTTTCCCTCAGTAAATTTGTTTGGAAATGCATCATCGGCACGGCATTTGCAAATTTACGAAGTGTCAACACAACGTACAATATGATTGTCGTAATTTTCATCAATCAACTGGAGTTTGGAAAATATATCAGGTAATAAAACATAATTAATTTTCGTGTCCAAACTACCCCAAAATACCCCCTCTGTTTGGAACAGTTGTATTTCTGTAACAGATCGTGTAACGATAATGTTTTTTGCGATATTTTGACTCACTCCCAGTAACATTAACACATGACGATGCAGCTTTCAAAAATAGCGTCTATCGGTGTAGAGGAACTCAAGGAGACCACGGAATCTGGTAATTTTGATCACATAATGAAGTGTTACGCACACATTCGGAGTAAAATGTGATCTTTGATAATGTTGTGTGATTTTTTCTTTGTATTTTTCAACAAAAAAAACCGAGTAGATCTGGTATTTGAAACAGGTTTGACCTCACAATAGGAATTATTTGGTGGGAACGATTTCCATATGTATCCTTGACCCGAAAATAAATAGTTGCACGTTTTTGGTGTCAATGTTACATGCGAATATTTAAACGATATTATATTTGAGATACGTGGGAGTATAATTATAATTTACATACAGATAGTGTATTGGGGGGCTTTTTATAGTGTCAATGTTACATGCTCTAAATTCATTAATTCTCTTTGTTCTTAACTGAAGTAAGTTTCAAAATGATTTTTTTTTACACATAGAAAGACACCATTTATAGTTATACTTCAAACAAAATTTGTAGGCTTATGAATATTTTTATCTTTTTCTTGCAATGTCACACTTAGGGTTACATTAGCGAATTCTTGCCCATATGTGAAACACTGATTACCTAGACAGGCATATCCAGCAGCTGATGAGGCCAGTCCTGCTGCAGTAGGAAAGTTATTCTTTGAGCAAATATGGATTTTCCAGTTCAACTTCTCAGTATCTGTATCACGGCTACTAACCTTCCGTTTTCTGGCTCTTCTTTTAACTGGAAATCATGTCAAAGCAATTATTACAGTATACAGCTGTGGTCAAGGTCTGAAGGACTTAATGAGAAATTTTCATCCCACTGTGGATTATTTAGTAATATCATGAAGTGAATTTCAAAATGCTGAAATGAAATTTTAAACTCTTGAATCTTAACTCACTTTCTCTGATGACGTTTTGAATCCTTGGGTTGTTAATGCACTGCTCTCTGTAAAAAAAAGGAGACACTTTACAAAAACATATCACTCTGGTCACCATTTCATGCTCTTAATAAGGCTTTAAAGACAAATTAATGTATATATCTATAGATTTTAATTGTGACTGCCATACAATGACTTTAATAGACTTTTTCTGGGGTGCTCTGAACTTATGCATTTTCAAATCTTTGCAAGTCACATACATGCAACCAAGAGGTTATGATGGGTTCTCAAAATTTAGTCCCCTCGACAAATAAAAAATCCAGGATTCAAATAAATGTAAGAGTATCAAAAATTACTTTAGTAACAGTATTTCAAAGAGTTTGATATAACATTGCTAAACTCACTTTCCGTTGAGCCATATCCTGTCCTTCTCAAAATGGTGGCTGACAGCGACACTAGTCTGAGCTTGAAGCTGTGTGAACAAACAAGTATATAGTTATACAGGGATCAACACATAACCTAATTTTACTATGGAGGAAAGTGTGTAAGCTGAGGATTTGATGCATTGTGTGATAATTTCTGTTATTTAATACTCAATAAAGGGAGATAATCTAATAAGATACATTCATAGAATTCACATAATTGTATATACCTCCAATAGTGAAAAAAAAAATAAAAATAATTTACCTCTATTTTGAGCTCTACTAAAATAACTTGTTTCTAAAAAATCAATAGTCTGTGCAGAACCATAGTTTCTTTTTAGAACAAATTAACATTGTCCTGTTTAAAACCTTGCTTTGGAACATTAGCAACATTTTCTTATTATCTGAAATAGTATTGAAGAATTTGCTGTGTCATATAGATCTCAAATAAATACTTCAGTGCTTCATCAAGTAAAGTGTATAACCAATTCAATCATCAACATCTAAAAATCAAGTGTAGAGTGTCTATACAACAACAAATCTTAACAAATCAAAATCAAGTGTAGAGTGTCTATACAACAACAAATCTTAACAAATCAAAATCAAGTGTAGAGTGTCTATACAACAACAAATCTTAACAAATCAAAATCAAGTGTAGAGTGTCTATACAACAACAAATCTTAACAAATCAAAATCAAGTGTAGAGTGTCTATACAACAACAAATCTTAACAAATCAAAATCAAGTGTAGAGTGTCTATACAACAACAAATCTTAACAAATCAAAATCAAGTGTAGAGTGTCTATACAACAACAAATCTTAACAAATCAAAATCAAGTGTAGAGTGTCTATACAACAACAAATCTTAACAAATCAAAATCAAGTGTAGAGTGTCTATACAACAACAAATCTTAACAAATCAAAATCAAGTGTAGAGTGTCTATACAACAACAAATCTTAACAAATCAAAATCAAGTGTAGAGTGTCTATACAACAACAAATCTTAACAAATCAAAATCAAGTGTAGAGTGTCTATACAACAACAAATCTTAACAAATCAAAATCAAGTGTAGAGTGTCTATACAACAACAAATCTTAACAAATCAAAATCAAGTGTAGAGTGTCTATACAACAACAAATCTTAACAAATCAAAATCAAGTGTAGAGTGTCTATACAACAACAAATCTTAACAAATCAAAATCAAGTGTAGAGTGTCTATACAACAACAAATCTTAACAAATCAAAATCAAGTGTAGAGTGTCTATACAACAACAAATCTTAACAAATCAAAATCAAGTGTAGAGTGTCTATACAACAACAAATCTTAACAAATCAAAATCAAGTGTAGAGTGTCTATACAACAACAAATCTTAACAAATCAAAATCAAGTGTAGAGTGTCTATACAACAACAAATCTTAACAAATCAAAATCAAGTGTAGAGTGTCTATACAACAACAAATCTTAACAAATCAAAATCAAGTGTAGAGTGTCTATACAACAACAAATCTTAACAAATCAAAATCAAGTGTAGAGTGTCTATACAACAACAAATCTTAACAAATCAAAATCAAGACTTTGAATGTTACATCCAAAAAATAATGTTTTCAGTCATGTTTACAAATATGAAGTCAGAAGAGAGGGCTTTTATGAAAATGATTCCAGATCCTTTCATTTTGAAATTATCATGAATATCAGTTACAAAAGTATGAAGACAGGATTTTGACAATGCTATATACATGTATCAATTTTTTTGTTAAACTTTTGTGACTGTGCTGGTATGACCTTAATTACTATTGTATTTCGGTGAAAAGAAAATGCCTTGTGGAATTTTACGATAACCGTATCTACAAGGCATGAACAAATATTCAACCTTTCATTTCTTTGATGCGATATAAGAATATTTACAAAAACCTGAATAAACTGTCATAAATTAACAAGTCCACAACACTTAACAGGTTTGATGATGTATCAATGTCATTCCACATGTATCTCAGTACCTAATGTTGATGTGACAGTATTGTTACCTGGTCCTGATGAAGAGTCACACTGACTGAAGAGTTGGCTGGAAGTATCAATGTCTCATCATTCTTACCCCCTAAATATAACAAAAAAGTATGTTTATATTGCCAGTACAAGATCTATAAACAAAATTCAATTAATTCAGACCCTTGACACATTGGTTATCAAAAAGTTGTTTTACGATTTTAGCACATTTAACCCATATGATGTTGCAAGTTGGTGAAGGTCATTTATTTGAAACAAACTTTGTAGCCCTTCATCCCAGTGTACTACAAGGCAAATATCATGACTCTGGGTCTCCTTAATTCGTTTCTGATAAAGAGTCTTTTAACAATTTACAGGTATTACATTTTACCTCTGTAACCTTAGAAGTGGGTCAAGGTCACTTACAGAAATTTGGTAGCACTTCATTTCAACATGCTACATGTAAAATATCATTATCCTAGGCCTTTTGGTTAATAAGAAAAAGATCCATGCTGGAATAGGGAATCAGAAGTAGTTATTAGGTTCACAGATATGAAATAGTTGTATTGCCCAGACATTGGTTCAAAACATTTATGTGTTTCCGAGATGAATCATATAAACTTTTGACCCGTGTAATGAACTTTTGACCTGTATGACCTCACCCTTGAATGATTTTGTTTACTTTCTTTACAAAACAATGTTGTTGAATTGTTAAAAAAATGAAAATCAAACCAATCAAGTTGAAAGCACATCTTATTTCTGGTTTAAGGCTTGAAACACATTTGTCACTTCCCATAAAGGAAAAAGTTCAGAATTTGGCACAAGATTATCATTCTTTGACGGGTTCATATCAAACTATATGCATACCACGGCACAGTATACACCTACAAATATTTTATGGGTGGAAAACTAATGCACGGTTGATCTCGTATACGTGATAAGTAACGAACTATGGTTTTGTGTGCGCGTGTAATGAACGTAAACGTACAATATTTGACAACAGCAATATTCACAGGAGCAGAACATGTTACACAGTGCATCATTTCATCTGAGGAAGCAGTAAGCAGCCGATTCCGCTTTACTAAATCGGTGTCAAACTCACGTTCAAATCTTGAAGGTAATAATGTTTTCTTTTAAAACAGGCAGAAGACTTAGATTGCATTTCATTCGAAAAGTTTCTATTTTTTGCTCACGTTTAAGGGCTATAATTTAAGATGTCCCGAATGGAAAACAAAAATGGCAGCCGCCATGCAGGGGCTCATGGCATCACGTCGCTTTTCATTAACATACAGTAAACTACTACACGGGATATTCCGAAGAGGGGTGAGCTTCATATTGACTTACCGGCTTGAATTCAACTACTGATTTTTTGTTCAATCAATATTTATCAATGATTAAGTTAAGTTGAAAACGGTTGCAAATATCAGCATCTACTGGTCCATGTTTCAAGTCCGTGGTTATCTGATTATATGTCCCTGTCCCCACTCAGAGAATAAAAATCCTTTCAACTCTAAATATTGGGATACCGTTTTTGATATGTATGTTCTCATTATCTTGGCACCAGAGCATACTCACCAGTTGGCTGTTCTCTGCTTGGGGAAAATATTTTTATACATGTTGGTAGGGCGTTCAAACAAACTTAGAGACTTTTGAATTGGCCGCTTAGTTTATAATAATAGAAGTGCAATATCTTTATTCTTTGCCATGACTATATATTTACAGTATGCACAGGATGAACTTCAGTTCCCCTCTGATATCAACATTGAAGAAGAAGTTTTACAAAGGATGGAAAAGGAGAATATTAAGAGAAGAAAACATCCAGGTCGTTTTGCACAAAATAAATTGCTTCCTCTGCCTACAAAGTTAGTGGATGGTGTAGATATAGTTATGCAAAGTAAGTACAAATGCTGGTAACCAAATATGGTAGATTCTTGGTAAATGTTGGTGAAAAATTCTGCTCTTATAATCTATAACACAATTGTAATGTTCAATATGCAATATTGTCCTTTTCTTGATCAGTTTTATTTGGGACCAGGTTTTCAGAGGGGTTCATGTAATATTTTGAATCAGTGAACTCTTTAATATGCCTGTCACACAAAATTAATAGGCTACGGTATACCTGCACTATGATGTTGTCCAGAAAACTTTTGTTTTTTTGCCCAGAAATTTCTTCTATTATTTTTAAGATATCTTTTTTTGAGCTTGATAGGCTTTTTAAACTAAAAAACAACAGGAATTTGTGGGTTTCTTTTTTCAATTAACAGTCTGAATCAAGGATATCCAAAACAGGAATTGTATTTTGTCCATAGTTAGCTCTTTGATCTTCTCCAGAGACCTTCTCTTTTAGTTTTAAAAATAAGGAAAATTGTTCTGTCAATGTCTTCTTCGAAATGTTTTATATGGTCTCTTTTGGACTTGGATGGTTTTATCATCATGTCATGTAGTTGTGCTTCTCTGATTAGTATATTGATGCAATGATTTTGTGAAGGAGTTATTGCCCTTTATCTTTTTCAGCATTTATGGTAGAATTCCTTTCTCAGTTTCCAACCTATTTCTTTGAATTTTATGGCAATATGATAATAACATAAGCTTATTTCTCCTTAGTTTTTTAGTTGCATTTAGATTGGGAAACAATTATCAAAGTTGTACTATAAGGTACCTTCACCATTTTGAATCCTCTTTTTCAGTTAACACAAATGCCATCTGAACTGATGATTATATTTGTGGGGGAACTATGTAGAGGTGTGATGATTATTTACAGTGATATTTTTTTTCTTTCATTTTTTGTTATTTTAAGATAGAAAAGGGTAAAATAGGTGTGTCTAGTGAGTGAGTTTGAGGGTTTCAGGGTTATGTTGTGAATGTGTGACAAGGAGACCTCCAGTGTAGTGCTTTGTACTGCTGCCACTGGTAAAGAGTTCCACTGTGTTGTTGTGTGTGGGAAGAATGAATATTTGTAAGTGTCCTTGATAGCAGGTATGTATTTGTAAGTGTGAGGGTGTGCTTGTCTTGTCCATGGGTCTGTGTGATGTGAATGAATAATGTGTTGAACTTTTTGCATGGACTGGGCTTATATTGTTTGACCTGAAGAACTGTTCTTTGTGCTTCAGGAATATGTCATTAAAAGATTGTAAACAAAAGTTTTGAAAGAAGGAATAAAGCTCAAGTGAACTGTCTGATTTGTATTACATTATGTATACATGAACTTAAGTTTATAAGTGAACACCATCTCAATATTTTGTTATAGAGTATGGCAGGAAATCTACACCGGAGGAAGCAAAGAAACTGGACAATAGTATTACAGGTCGCCATCCTCCACCAGAACCTGAAGTGTTGCGAGAAAAAGTGTCCATGATTAACCAAAAACTGGATAAAAAAAGTATAAATATACACAGTGACTTATATGTGATGGATAAGCTATATGTATTTCTTTACTTAAAGTGCCATAGCTTGGTGTTGCTGAGCTGTTTCATTTTGCTGAAACAAACATTAGATAGCAGTATGTGTATATAGGGAAATATCCTAAAATGGTTCTTTTTCATTATTTATTATTATTATTGTAAAATAATATTTGTATTAATCTCATCAACTCATTATTACTAATATAATGATGTGCATGAAGTAACAAGTAGATTTGAAGTTGTGGCTCTTGACGATAAAGTATCTACATCAGAAACATAGTAAGTGGAACTTCTGGTGCACTACATGTTGGATTACAGATTGATAACTTGACAAAGTAAAACTACATGAAATGCAGTTGTGCATCATAGATATAAACAATTCTCTCACAATTTTGAATATAGGTGAAAATGTTAATAATGTTTGTTGTGGAAAAGTATTGACTTTTTTTATTTGTTTGTGTTTCAGATAAAAGAGATCCATCAACTATGAGCGAGGAAGAACGACAAACATTTCTGGTAAACAGAAAAAGTAAAATACAGCAGATTCTCCGACATACCACTCACTTACAGAAATCTATAGAGTAAGGCTATTGCTATTGTAGAAAAAGCTTCGACATAACACTCACTTACAGAAATCTATAGAGTAAGGCTATTGTTATTGTAGAAAAACTCTTCACCTCAAAAGGTTATTGGAAAAAGTTAATGTATTGTACCAGACTATATGCTAGAAAATTAATGGAGTCAGTAAATTTGCATAGAACTATAAAATTATGTATAATGGTGTGCATTGTGTAGTATTAAAATGTGTTTTTTTTTCTTTTTCTTTATATAGAATATTTTATCAACGGAAAACAGGATGTTATTCTATGTTGTGTGTCTGAAATAAATATCTGTTGATTTATATGTACAGAGTATCATGTTGTAGTGTTTTGATTGGTTGATGTAACTGATCATTAATTCTGTGAATTTTTCAGCTACACAGGTTACAACACCATAGTCTATCTCCTTGCTCGTGTGTCCAAGAATTACAATATCATTCGCACCTGTCTGTCTGAGGTACGTACACTAGATTTCCTCCTGTTATCATCACCAACACATATGTACCGATTATTACAACCTACACGCCTTCCAGTCCTTTTGTTTATTTTTGACCTGTCATCTGTTGTTGTAGATAGAGAAGAGAGATCCAGGTTTTTTGCCAAGTGCTGTCTATAATTTTGGAAGTGGACTTGGAACAGCAGTATGGTGAGGACTTGGTATTAAGATTGTCTTATGGAAATGAAGTTTTTTCGTTTTTCTTGATAATATTTAGGACGCTTTGGATTTTGTATAAATATTATCTATGAGAGAAGCACTAATTGTGGAGACAAAATAAATTCATTTCTATATTTAGCTGAAATTTTATACAAAAAAAACCCTGTAACTATATGTAGATAGATAAAGTGAAACAACTGTCATTTTGAACATTATTGATGCATAGTTGATTTCACATTAAAGTAAGGTAAACATTGAAACACTGTCATTTATCTAATACTGAAGAAATTTCCTGAGGATGATGAGCAGACAGACTGGGATCTAGCAGACAGACTGGGATCTAGCAGACAGACTGGGATCTAGCAGACAGACTGGGATCTAGCAGACAGACTGGGATCTAGCAGACAGACTGGGATCTAGCAGACAGACTGGGATCTAGCAGACAGACTGGGATCTAGCAGACAGACTGGGATCTAGCAGACAGACTGGGATCTAGCTGACAGACTGGGATCTAGCAGACAGACTGGGATCTAGCAGACAGACTGGGATCTAGCTGACAGACTGGGATCTAGCAGACAGACTGGGATCTAGCAGACAGACTGGGATCTAGCAGACAGACTGGGATCTAGCTGACAGACTGGGATCTAGCAGACAGACTGGGATCTAGCAGACAGACTGGGATCTAGCAGACAGACTGGGATCTAGCAGACAGACTGGGATCTAGCTGACAGACTGGGATCTAGCAGACAGACTGGGATCTAGCAGACAGACTGGGCTGATTTGTTCCAGCTAGCCCAGCACAAAATTACAGAAAGACTCAATAGAAAAAACCTTTAGAAGAAGATAGGAATTAAATTTTTTAATTCAAAACCAAAACTATTCAGAGATTTGCCATATTGACTGTTGAAATAGGTGGTGACAAATGTGTGACTTCTGGGTTTTATGTTATTGTCTGCATTAATTAATGAGATATCATTATCGTCCCAAATTTTACTTATCTTCATTTATTTGATATCTATATCTCGACATTACTTTGGAATTCCTCCATGATTCAAAACATTTTTCTGGTTCTGATCTATTATATTCAGGGCGTCTAACACTGTTTGGGGGTCAGCTGTGAAACAGTATTATTGTCTGGATCCAGCTACTGATATGTCAACTCTAGCACGACTCTTACTACAGGGTAAGTCATGTCAGCTCTAATATGACTCAGAGCAAGTGATGTCAAGGACATCTGTACAGTCTGATTATCAATGACTAACTTATGAAATTCTAATCACCACAGCAGCACAGTGGAATATTTGTCAAATAATACAATAAACAGTGATGCGATTTGTACAAAGTACCTAGTTATACTAACCAAGGTGTAACCTACTGGTACATGTTGTACCTACGGGTACTTATACTAACCAAGTTGTAACCTACTGGTACATGTTGTACCTAGTTATACTAACAAGTTATAACATACTGGTACATGTTGTACCTAGTTATACTAACCAAGTTGTAACCTACTATTAAATGCTGTACATAATTTTGATCTATGTCTTAAAGAAAAATACTTAAAAAAATAATGAAGATGGTGATGCTTTTATGTTGTTGTCTTCAGAGGGAGATGAATTCAAAAAGATGGTGATACCTGGAGTATTTTTCAGAAACAAGCCACCATCTCATACCTCTGTAAGTAGTACTCTGCCTTAGTGTTGTCCTTGTTTTCAGCATCAGGATCAGGAAAAAGTTCTGTAAGCTCACCCCTATCTATAACTTTAAAATGGAATATCCCACAAATACCACATGATTGTTTTATAAGCTCACCCCTAACTATAACTTTTCTGTGGAATATCCTACAAATACCACATTTGTTCTGTAAGCACACACATATTTGTAACTTTTCAATAGAAATCCCATTCAGGAACTCCAGGTATGGTGAGAATTGAAAGTCCTGTTATAATGGGTGACATATTGATTTCCATGTTATTTGATAATGACATTTGTGAATGCAGAATTTTATAGGGGAAAAACAGAAAAGGAAAAAAAAAACTTGATAGTATGTGCCATTAGATAAAAACACTGATAATTTTTTTTGGACTTTGATTTAATTTTAATTTAAATGTCTTTGTAAAACTAATTACAACAATATACATGTTCAATATTATATCTTCTTCCATGGTTTCCAGCTGCCGTTTCCACTGGTTGTAAGTGCTTTTACATTGCTTGAACAGCCCAGCAAGATAAAACGTCTGGAGCTCATCGAGCACCTGTGGAACATGACGTCTGATTACCTGGTAACTATGTTTAAAATTTCTTTTCAAAGAATTTTTAGTAGTGGAAAATGATAGGTCAGACAGCTAGAAGCATTGGTATACACTGACTGTCCGTTCTCACAGAGATGTCATTATTCACACAGAGATGTCATTATGATATATCATAAACATTTGTATTTACTGATATTTATTAACATGGTATTATGTTAAGCTTCTCCTGTCAGGGGTGTATTTAGTTCATTCTATGGTCTAGTAAGTAAGTGACATCAATTGTTTTTAGAACTTCATGACTTTGTGAATAGCTTACCAAAACATGTGACATTGGGTATGGAAATTTTGACCTAACAAAATTATCAATGTTCTGATATGAAAAATAAAATTTGTTTGGCCTTACAGTTTCCTTTGATAAGTAAATTATAGTTATCTATGGATGAAATGGGTTTTTGCAGGTGTTGATAGAGAATGGTACATATGCAGGTCACACTGTGATACAGGAGGCAAAAGAATGGCTACTACAGGTAAGTTTTTACTTCCTAGTCTTCAGGTTTCTGATGTACTACATCTAGTAGGTTAGGGGTAATGTTTGAATTAGTATCAAATCAGTGGTATTTAATTAAAGATTTAGATCTACTTTCTGTGTTTCCTCTGTTATAAGGCAAGGCAGACCAGTCAGACTGACCAATTTCTGTAGCTCTGTATTTTTGTACCAATTTCTACACCTGTTATTTTCCCTTTTTTTTTCTTTGTGGATTGTTGACTATAATTATTTATAGTGTCAAGCTATTCTGTGTTTTCTAGTCACCGTTCGAACCTCAATCGCGCACTACTGCTGACGAAGAGCCTCATGTCTTTGCTCCGGTGAGTCAACACAAAAGAATTCCTCAGAATTATGTACCTATGTCTATTCCTCTGCTTCAAAAATAATATTGCTTATTAGGTGATGAGCTGGGTCAATTTAATAGGAGAAACCACTCCTTTCCACCTCCAACCCTCCAACCCTCCAAACTAAATCTAGAAAATGTTAATAATCTCCATTAGAGAGCTGGGAAGGGGTGGAGGGTGAGGGATGCTGTAGTTTTGTGTTGTGTCTATCCATCCTTCTGCTATGTTCTCCAAGCTCTTACCACTACACATATATTAACTATAAAGATTCTGTGATATTTGATTGAGATATTTCTTTTCCAGTGCCCTCATGATAAAAAATGCCCAAAGTTTGCCATCAAGGATTTGAAAATTGCTTGTACGTTTAGTGCCAGTTTTGAACCTCTTAAGCAATACAAGGCAAGTATAAGACCTGTGTACATAAATACAAAAGTAACTTTGTGAATAAATAACCAGAGATGAATGCAAAGCACACATCTTTTTCTTAATCAAGGTTGTCTTGTGGTGGCTGTATGAGGTATTGTAGCACGGTCAAGTTTATTTAAAAGAATTAAGGATACTGTGATGTATGATATACATTTACAACCATTAGGAAAAACAAATTACCCGTGAAAACGTGTGTAGCCTCTGTATCCTATACCCAGAAGAACAATGAATTATTATTAATTTGTCAGCTAGGATTGTATTAGTAAGTATATTTACATACTAGGTGAGCATGTAAAACTGTGGTATGTGTGAGTGGTCTAGGTACTGTACAGCTGTGGCATGTCCGAGTGGTCTGGGTACTGTACAGCTGTGGTATGTCCGAGTGGTCTAGGTACTGTACAGCTGTGGCATGTCCGAGTGGTCTGGGTACTGTACAGCTGTGGCATGTCCGAGTGGTCTGGGTACTGTACATGTACAGCTGTGGTATGTCTGAGTGGTCTAGATACTGTACAGCTGTGGCATGTCCGAGTGGTCTGGGTACTGTACATCAGTTACAGCTATAATATATGTATATGAAAGTCACTTGTCACAATGTATTCCTTTTTTTTTTAACCAGACTGATTTGAACAAACTGACAACTTCATACTCATATGTGATTATGAAACGAGGAAAGGTGAACACTCCAGGTAAGTTTAGAAAAATTTTCTTAAATTTTAAACAAAAGTCTTAATTGGTCATGAAAACATCAGAACTGTAAAATTTCAGTTATTTTACTTATTTTAAGTATCAGGACTGACTTTGTCATCATGTTTTGTCATCCATATACCACCAAAACCATAGTTCCCTGTCTGCCGTGTGTACATTTTTAACATCTTGAACTTATTCTCTTATTCAAATAATCCTGATCCTGATCAACAGATGTCACTTTTCAGGTTTGTCTGAAATCCAAGATGGATCTCATCATGGAAAAACTATTTCAAACTTTATGTTAAATTCTAAGAATGTAAATTAGCCAAAACTTTGTATAAATTATCAAGGTCACAAAGTAACAAGGTGCTGTTATTTTCCAGTTTTTTCAAAATTTGAAATGACCACTATGGCCATCATTTTGAGATGTTAGGTTTACATGTGAAAGGTCCCAATGCTGATGCGTTGTTATTATCAGTGTTTTAGCATACCATCGGTAAAAGCTTAAATTGTTTGTATTCTTTGTTCATTGTCGAATAGCGTGCATCTTTAGACAACATAGTGACTTCTTTTTAGAAAGAAGTACTTGAACCACTAAATGTATTGAGCCTTATTGCTAGCACACTTCTTTGTACTTTGTATATTAAAAAAATGAAATAACAAGGAAACATAATCACCATATCTAAAGTCTGGTCCACTGTATTGTTTGCCTATAGATGCGAAGTGGCCACGAATTGTCCAAGCAATGCCTCAGAATGACCACCACACACACTGTCGTATGTGTTGCCATGATGCTAGTATTAGACATTATGTTGTGAGCAAGAAGAAAACAATGAGGTAGGTCCTTGATATCATCTTTGATTGAAATGTATGACCCCAGGAAATCTCAGTGATAGAATCCTGTGAAACATTGACACCCACATTGATAGAATCATGGGACACATTCTCACTGATGGGATCATGTGACACATTGACATTATTACTGATTGAATCATGTGACACATTGACATGATCATGTGACACTTTTCCACCGACGGGATGATGTGACACATTGACATCACTGATGGAATCATGTGATACATTGATATCACTAATGGAATCATGTGATACATTGATATCACTGATGGAATCATGTAACACGTTGACATCACTGATGGAATCATGTGATACATTGATATCACTGATGGAATCATGTGATACACTGATGGAATCATGTGATACATTGACATCACTGATGGAATCATGTGATACATTGATATCACTGATGGAATCATGTGATACATTGATATCATTATTTGAATCGTGTGACACATTGACATCCTCATGGATAGGATCATATGACACAATGACATCCTCACTAATAGGATCCTGTGAGACATGACATTTTAAAACAGAATCACATGACAGTGACATCTTCACAGATAAGATCATGTGACACATTGAAATATTCGCCAATAGGATTATGCAACACACTGAAATCTTCCCGTTTTGACAAAATCATGTTACAATTAAAATTTCATAAATTTTCTTTTTCCAGACCAGTGTACGAGATTGTCCGACGTTCTCATTGGGGGGACAAAATACCAATTGACCTTACAGATGCCAGCACAAAAGGAGCACTTTATTATTCTGAGGAAGGAGTCAGGTACAAAGGAACACAAAAAAGTAAGAAGAAGAAAGCTAAACCCAAACAGACATCAAAGGACTCCTTACTAACAAACTTGATGCTTGATAATTCTGATCAAATGGAAGATATTATGGAGAAGTGGAAAGAACATTTCATTCCTGCAGATTCAGAAGGAAGTGGATGTCAGTCAGAATCTATTAACTTGACAGAAGACTCCTCAGATCAGGAATATACAACAGACAACCTAAACAGTTCTGTGAAGTTTAGCAGAGGTGATTCTGTTCACCAGGACAATTTTATAGACCCTAAGAAAGATAGCCCAACTTAATCAATTTATTTCACACATGATAGAATAAAAGAGAATTGTATCAACACAGTACACTTTGGTTTATATTTTTGAACTGATTCTCTTTATAGACTGTTAATTACTGACTTGTTTCATCAAAATCTGATACTTGATTTAAGAGAAATCAAATTGTTTTACAATCAGTGAACCCCTTTTATATAGTCCTACCTCTTAGTCATAATACCCCCCTCCCAACAAGTAAAATAGGTGCCACAAAAATGAAATAAGTTTTATTTTACTGAAATTAAAGAAACAAAAACACAAAATGAATCGATGTGATAATTTAATGGCATTATTCTTCAACATAACAATAGCACTCTCAAAGCATCCTCAGCATTCCCATCACAGAAGCATCTGTACACACAGTGTTTCTCACAAACATGCACTGCGTAGATATTCAAACTTACTATCCTACTCACGTTCTGTCATTAATTTTGGCTTTGTGCCAGGAACCATCAATTGACCTACCAAGCTTCACTGCTAAAACTCTGCATGATTTTGACACAATACAAATAAAAATGTTAACACATTTATCTTGTTCCCAATTCACATAAATTTAAGGACATTCTAGATCTGTATCCTCCTCACCTACTGTGTGATTTCCTTCAGAAGTTTTAAAATGTACTGTATTTGTTTTATAACAATTGTGAGACGTTATTCCAATTTGTATTAATCACTCTTGTTGGTCCGGATAGAAGCTTCAAGGGGCTTACTGCAGGAAAAAAAAATGAAGACCCTGGGGAAAGCATATGTGGGCAAGTGACCCTTTACTTTTTCATGTCAGTTTGGGTAATAGAACCCTGAACATCTTGGTGAATGCGTTACCACTGTACCCCTCCCAACCCCCCGGCCACACCTTTAGATGTTAAACACTGAGTGTATCTCTGAGATACAACCAGTTCCTTTGTGGCTTGTAATCTGTCTTCGACGCTTTCAGTCAAGATTTTATATACATGTAGTAAATTCTTTTCCACAATATCTATAATTTCATAAGAAATGTAAACAACAGACTCGGAAAAATTAAAAAGAATTGACTTTGCAAAAATAAGGATTGTCTTGTGCTAAAAGTAATACACCATATATGTACTATGTTTAGCATACCATTTAGAGCAAGTGATGCTGTACAAACTTGGTACAAGTGTAGAGTAACACACTTGTGTGGGGAATACCCGGAAAATACTAGTCTCCAAACATTGCACATTCCCACACATGTAATGTCAGATATTTAGTATCAGTTATGGAAAGGCTGGATGCATTGCTAAATGTGACATTACTTTTACCAAATGCAAGATGCAAGTTACTTTTTGCTAAATGAGAAGTGTATTTTGCTTGCTAAATGTGAATTGTGTTTGGCCAATTACAAATCTGGACCCACAGGAAGCAAAGGGTGCACACGTGCTTCCAAAGCCATTCACATTTAAGAAATGCATCAAGCAAAAAGCAAATTGCATAGCTGTTGGCAAAAAACATTTAGCATAGTGCCCAAGACTTCCTTAATCAGAACATATGTAGTAGCATTACAACACAACCTTTATCATTCACCTCATCAATCTGACCACTGGGAACTGTCGTTGTATGTCACCATGAAAAACGGCACTAAATAATGTTACATTATAAACAAATGCTTTCAAAAAACAATCTGTTGGACGGAAGCATGATTCACAAAATCTAGAAAAAAAGGTCAATTAGAGTTAAAATATTTATTCTTTAAGAAAACAGGACGGATTGATTCTGCAGCTCAGTTAACCAGGTTTTTTTCCTAAAATAAAAAGTGAAAATTGAAAATAAACAATACTTGGATAAACTTCATCAATGATCATATTAAAATATGATGAACACTCTGAAATCTGTACTTTTGCTATCCTAGGGTAACATAGAATGAGTTTCTTATAAAATGAAACCTTGTTTTAGGTAACTTTGATTACAGGTACAATAAAAAATTTAATATTTAAAACATAAAAAAAAAAAAAGAAAAAAAATTTGATTCCTGAAATCTGCATTATAGTAACATCATAGGAAACCCAAACTGATGAGAAATAATTGTGTTAGGTCATGTAAAGGTCATTATGTAAATATGACAATCATATCACACCTGTACATCACAGATCTATTTAATGATAAGTAAACTATCTATGATAAAACATTTAAAAGATTTCATCCCACACAGGCAAATTGATAATCAAATTTTAGGAATACCATGCACAGTAAAGTAGATTTTGATTGGTTTTGATAAAAGTAAAGCACCAATCGGTGAGTTCTGTCAATGATCAATTGAACATCAATATGGTGCATGAGAACATCAATATGGTGACAAATAAACACAGGAAAGAACATAAGTTTCTTTATATTTCTGACAGTAATTGATTGTGATAATTAGAAATATAGTACACATACATAAACCCATTGGAAGTGACAGTAACCTGATGGTCACTGAAAAAGTTCAATGTTAAGAGGAAAAGTTAAATTTTGCATTAGATACTGTATAACTATTTTCAAAAAAGGCTATTCTGATATATTTTACTGTGATTTACTAAATAAAATATCAGTTAAAATCAAAATTGTGACGATAAATAGATTAAGTGAAGTGATTAGGCATACTTGGTGTGAGGATCAAGTGACATATGCCATCTATGATCTTCTAGGTCATCCCCAATGATTCCCACCATGACAACATCATCTTGTTGGCTACCATCAATGGTTCCCACCATGACACCACCATCCTGTTGGCTACCATTAATGGTTCCCTTCATGACAATGCCATCTTGTTGACTATCATCAATGGTTCCCACCCTTACACATCATCTTGCTGGCTACCATTAATGGTTCCCACCCTGACAATGCCATCCTGTTGGCTATCATCAATGGTTCCCACCATGACACCACCATCCTGTTGGCTATCATCAATGGTCCCCACCATGACAACATCATCTTGTTTGCTACCATTAATGGTTCCCACCCTTACACATCATATTGTTGGCTATCATCAATGGTCCCCTCCCTGACACTGTCATCTTGTTGGCTACCATTAATGGTTCCCACCCTTACACATCATCCTGTTGGCTATCATTAATGGTTCCCATCATGACAACATCATCCTGTTGGCTATCATCAATGGTTCCCACCATGACAACATCATCTTGTTGGCTATCATCAATGGTTCCCACCATGACAACATCATCTTGTTGGCTATCATCAATGGTTCCCACCCTGACACTGTCATCTTGTTGGCTACCATTAATGATTCCCACCATGAAAACATCATCCTGTTGGCTATCATCAATGGTTCCCACCCTGACACTGTCATCTTGTTGGCTACCATTAATGATTCCCACCATGAAAACATCATCCTGTTGGCTATCATCAATGGTTCCCACCCTGACACTGTCATCTTGTTGGCTACCATTAATGGTTCCCACCATGACACTGTCATCTTGTTGGCTACCATTAATGGTTCCCACCCTGACAATGCCATCTTGTTGGCTACCATATTGTTCCCACCCTGACACTGTCATCTTGTTGGCTACCATTAATGGTTCCCATCATGACACTGTCATCTTTTTGGCTACCATTAATGTTTCCCATCATGACAACACCATCCTGTTGGCTACCATTAATGTTTCCCATCATGACAACACCATCCTGTTGGCTACCATTAATGTTTCCCATCATGACAACACCATCCTGTTGGCTACCATTAATGTTTCCCATCATGACAACACCATCCTGTTGGCTACCATTAATGTTTCCCATCATGACAACACCATCCTGTTGGCTACCATTAATGTTTCCCACCATGACAACACCATCTTGTTGGCTACCATTAATGTTTCCCATCATGACAACACCATCCTGTTGGCTACCATTAATGTTTCCCATCATGACAACACCATCCTGTTGGCTACCATTAATGTTTCCCATCATGACAACACCATCCTGTTGGCTACCGTTAATGTTTCCCATCATGACAACACCATCCTGTTGGCTACCGTTAATGTTTCCCATCATGACAACACCATCCTGTTGGCTACCGTTAATGGTTCCCATCATGACAACACCATCCTGTTGGCTACCGTTAATGTTTCCCACCATGACAACACCATCCTGTTGGCTACCGTTAATGTTTCCCACCATGACAACACCATCCTGTTGGCTACCGTTAATGTTTCCCATCATGACAACACCATCCTGTTGGCTACCGTTAATGTTTCCCACCATGACAACACCATCCTGTTGGCTACCGTTAATGTTTCCCATCATGACAACACCATCCTGTTGGCTACCATTAATGTTTCCCATCATGACAACACCATCCTGTTGGCTACCATTAATGGTTCCCACCATGACAACACCATCCTGTTGGCTACCATTAATGTTTCCCACCATGACAACACCATCCTGTTGGCTACCATTAATGTTTCCCATCATGACAACACCATCCTGTTGGCTACCATTAATGTTTCCCATCATGACAACACCATCCTGTTGGCTACCATTAATGTTTCCCATCATGACAACACCATCCTGTTGGCTACCATTAATGGTTCCCATCATGACAACACCATCCTGTTGGCTACCATTAATGGTTCCCATCATGACAACACCATCCTGTTGGCTACCATTAATGTTTCCCACCATGACAACACCATCCTGTTGGCTACCATTAATGTTTCCCAACCTAAGCTATCAGATTGGACTACAAAAGATTTATTACATCAAAGGGTTTATTCCTATGAACAGAAAATTGTAAAATTAGACAGTTGTACTGATATTGAAGACCTGTAACACCATGACACCTTATAAACAGACAATAAAATGAAACTTGTTGTAAAGATTGTAGATACTCTCTCACTATCATTAGCTCCATTATGTTGACTGTCATTTTAAGGGTTTTTGGAGACAGAAGTATTAATGACATGAAAACCAGAAAACCAACACTAGATCTAGCCTACTTCATATCATAAGTTCTTCCATCACTTTACACACTAAACACACATATCACATAACTAATGAGCATTGAACACTTGTAAAGCTAAGATCGGATCAGATTAAATGCATTCTTATGATTTCCTTTATACTTAAACAAGCACTATTTACTTTTGGAGTTAAGGTAACAGAATGATTGACAGCTTTTAGACTGATCTTATTCAGTAAGATTTACATATCTTTTCAGTCAACACCGAAATTAACATTTAATTGGAGTTTTATATTGATATTTTCTTTTCTTAAGAATATACTTGTATAGTGATACTGTGGATGAGAGAGATCTTCTTGCAAATGCTAAAATTTTTTGTAGAAGTGAGAATAAAAATCATTTTCTTGTAAGAGTAGAACTAAGAAAAATAGCAAGTTTGGCTTTTGTGTTTATTTCAGTTTTTCTAATCTTTTTATCATCAAATCCACTGCAACAGAAAATATCATTGGATATCTATCATCAAATCTAATGCAACAGAAAATATCATTGGATTTCTAACTACTATCAACAATCTCATCAGCGGTGATAAATTATGATAAGTATCCACTGTCATGGTTAATGTTCCCCTATTTACTATGGTGGTAATGCTTAAACATGATTTGTGTGAGTTCAGGTAGTCACTTATGTCTACATATATCACCAGTGTACTAAATGTGAAAACCTATACAATATAGTGATGTGTTTACACAACTCTTTTTAACAATCTGAAACCCTGATGTTGAACACAGTATAAACATAATACATTCAGTATTTCAATCTATGGCATGAAAACTATAAAGCTAGACATTCAAACATTAATCATTAAAACTTTTATGGGTAAATAAAATATGTCATTAAAATTGTCATAATTAGAAGATATAATTGTCTGTGCATAGATTTCTACCTATGTATATAAATCTTTAAATTTTTATCTTGATATGGCTTGACAATATGGACGGACAACCTTGTATAAATAGGACATCAGCTGTTGTGAACACTCGGAGGCTCCAAAATAACATTGCATTATGACACAAACATATATAAGACAACTTACACATATTGGAAATTGAAACTAAAATAACATAAAACATATATTAAATGATATAAAGCTATACAATATGTTTACATAAACTGTCATATTCCTTGAATTATTTGAATAGACAGCTATAACAGTAAGAGATATTTAAAACAAGTTCAAACATGATGTATGCAGTTTGATGAGATAAAATGCTTTGTGAATGGGTCATTGCAGATTGCACATTCCACTAGCATGTACTTGTAAACAAGTAAACAACAAACACATCAAATATTTGACCACTCGCTCCTTCCTATCTTACACTTCTCGCAGAGAGTTTGGTCTACAAACGTTTCTCTCTATTTGGACATCAAGTCACCCAAATTTCTCTGGGAGGAATAGTAGAGGGAATTTGTATTCAACAACAAAACATTACATTATTGTTTAACAATCATTTACAACCTAGCTGTAAGCCAATCATTATCTGTAAATTAATAATTTACAACTGATACATCAACCATAATTTGTAAATCAGTCATTTACAAGCCAACAAGTTAACAATTACTTGTAGGTCATTTACATCCCACAAAAAATTATTTACAGGAAACAATTAATATTCATATGTTATACCCAATTTACATAACTCTGAAGGGGGAAAGCACTAAATATTGGAAACAAGTAATATTTTTCCCAAAATAACAGCCACATTTCACCGAGTTTCTCTAGAAATCCTACAATGGACCCATTCTGATTTTAAAAAAGAAAACTACATAATGTCTTAGTTCAAGGAATCGATTACCAATCAAAAATCTTGTTACAATACAGAAATATACAAATAGTTTTACTGTGAGAATGAAAAAACAAGTAACTGAATACGATTGTTTCAGCAGTAAACAAATTTATAACAGTCACTTTATTATCTGGAAAGTATTTCCAGGTGTTTATCAGAAGTTATTTTGAATCTTGGCCAGGCTAAAATTTAGGCCACATAGACTCACCCTGTTGTTCAGAAGTCCTGCCTCCTAGTGACATATAAATTGTAATATGTCATCTGTCAACAAGCAGGAGCTATCACAAGTTTCACAATACTGATTGGATATACTCTAGTAATGAGTAATATATGACTTCCAGTACACCGGTACCGGTTTATAATGTTATCTTTGGTCAATGGTCCTACAACCAGCTCTTCTTCTCCTTGAAGACATACAATATAATCATATGTCATGTTTTCTTCCTTCCAGTACACCTGATGATTAATCACTATTATTATGAAATCATACTTGTTTATTTCCTTAACTTTCTGAAATAAATAACAATAAATCACTTGCTCCATCTTCAGTCACATGATCAATCATGTGATGAATCCAGCTTGGCATATGGAATGCTTATACAGTGTAATATAACACCGGGAGTAGTCCCATCTTCTGACCTAGAGAGTATCAATGGCTGTGGATAAGCTCTTCAGTATAAGGATTCTACTCCGCCTACTTTCCAAGTATGAGTGGATGACCCTGTCCTCTGGATTACCCTGAAATTACTCTCAGATTCCTTTCCTGAACCCTTAACAAGAGTGGACTTTGGTTAAGTCCTCATCCAGCGAAGACCATAAACACACAAAATGCTTTTCAAGAATGATCTGTGTCACCAGATGATGCAGGATGTGACCACCTATAAATAAATCACACACATTAGTTATCAACCCTGAAGTACACTATACTGATCCTGTCATGTCTGATTCACTGAACATTTAAACATTAATTAAGCAATTACGTCCAATATAATGCAAAGAAATAAAGTACAATTTAGTCCTTGACTAAACAAGAAGGAAATTCTTAACATAGCACCATACTTTTTTTACATTACATGACCTGTCAACAAGCCTCTTTCAACATTTATATTAAAATGATTAAAGGCATATAGACTAAACCCAAAGTTAAAATGGTTAAAATGAATGTAACCTATGTTGGTGAAGAAATTACAGATCTTACCCGTTGATTCTACTAGCAGGGTCTGCTGGTCGAACCCTAAGTGTTGACTGGAAGGTGGTCATTGTGTCAACAAACTGCTGGCGCTCCTTACCCTGGTCACAAAATTTATTAACAGTTCATTAGATCTACTTAGAACAACAGAAAACAAATGTTTTGTTCTGTAGTTCAAATCAACAACCTAAATAGCATCTTATCAGTACTATTGGGAAATACTTTAAGGAAACATGAAAGGATCTGTTGTCTTTTGCAAGTATTTTGTCAGATAGGTCAACACAGGAGTGAAACTACCCCAGAGAGATCTCAAGAAAAGAAGTACCAATACGAAATATTTTCTTACAACTATTATATAGGTATTGTATAGGGATTATATAGTGACTATGGTCCTGTTAAGGGTACTCCCTAAAAGGATCAACATGCCAAATAATTACTAGTCTAAAATTAGCTTTATTTATTTATCTTTCTTGTCTGGAATTGTGATATAGGTGCTTTAATTTCCTCAACTTTCCTGTCTGAATTTCTGATAATAGTTTTTTCTTCATCTTTCCTCTCTGGAGTTCTGATATCGTTTAGTTTCCTTAACTTTTTTTTTGAGTTCTGATATAGTTTGATTTCCTTACCCTTCCTGTCGTGAGTTCTGATATAGTTTGATTTCCTTACCCTTCCTGTCTGGAGTTCTGATATAGTTTGATTTCCTTGCCCTTCCTGTCTGGAGTTCTGATATAGTTTGATTTCCTTACCCTTCCTGTCTGGAGTTCTGATATAGTTTGATTTCCTTACCCTTCCTGCCTGGAGTTCTGATATAGTTTGATTTCCTTACCCTTCCTGTCTGGAGTTCTGATATAGTTTGATTTCCTTACCCTTCCTGTCTGGAGTTCTGATATAGTTTGATTTCCTTACTCTTCCTGTCTGGAGTTCTGATATAGTTTGATTTCCTTACCTTTCCAGTTTTAAGTTCCGATATAGTTTTAAGGATCTGCTGACGTGACTGTGTATGGGAGATACCAAGCTCATTCAGGTCAGTATCATTCAGGGTAAGGAATGCCTCCATGTCCACCTAAACACAATGATATAGGGTTAAAAACAACACAACCAGTGGTCAATGCCACACCAACAATCAGAGCAATAAGTTGAAATCAATTATTGTACACTAGTGTACAATACTGACAGGTGGTTGTTAAGGATAGGTTTTATCAAAATTGATTTAACTACAGAAGTCTTTCTTCAATCACTTAAAATATCCTACTTTAATCACGTTAATTTCTTGAACATCAATAATCTTAGAGAAAGCTACATGTATAATGAAACAAATTTTATCACTTAGCTTACATTTTTACCATGTTATATGTCCATGTCATGAATGTGATAAACAGAATTTTATAATTGTGTCATTATCACATTGAATTTATTGATCTCATCATACGATTTGACATGACATTCACATTAAGTCTTGTATCAAATTAATTTTCAATTTTTTCAGACATTAACAGCAAAATTTCTCATTTGATTGTTAACAAAATTACCTCTTGTTCTTCAAATATTGGTTGGTATTTCTCCAGTGATAATTTCTTCAAAATACCAGAAAGTTCATCTGCAGAGGAAGAAAATCAAATAATATCACTTCTTGCTGTAATTGTAAGCATGAAGATTGAATAACTAAGAAGGAAAAGTTGTATACTTTCAGATCAACATACACAATGTTAAGTGGAAAAATATTTCAAACTCCGTTTTTAATAATTTGTTAACACTTAGAGTTGGACAAATTTAGTACAGACCAAACAGCAGTGTAGTTTGGAGCTCATTGGTCTGTGTTACATTTGTATTTCATTCCAAATCTAAGTGTTGTGGTGATATTTATCCCCATTCTCAAATTGCTAACATCAAAGTCACTACCTGAACAGTTGCTCTACATGGAGAGATATTACTAATACAAGTGAAAGTGTGCCAATAAACATGACTTACACCTATTCTCCTATAATTGTGAGTCAAATTATGATTTTGTTTTGTAGCGCCCAACCCATCTCACGTAATGACTGCTGATGACATAGGTGAATGACTCTACTGAAGGTCACAGCCACTTTACTTTTGGTATGCAGCACATAAGCCATAATCGTAAGCTGTACCAGCATATGAATATTCTAAACTCTATGTCATCTGGGTTAGAAGTTAAAACCAATATGAACTTTACAATGGAAGGCAGAATAGAATACAGTGAACTGAAGTTTGGCTACAAAGTGAGCTAAACTTCAAGTATAACCTCCAAAGGTAGCACCGGTGAAGGAGTGAGAAATGCTAACATCACAGAAATCTTCATGTTATGTATATTAGTATGAGCATAAAATCTATGTACAACAGAACATAATGGACAACAATGCCATGGCAACTCACCATTGGTGTTACTTTCATTCTCATGTAGAGAGCTGAGTATATGTCCAGGATCCTCTTGGAACTATAAAGAAGAGATGCACACTTGGTACAGTATGAAACATGCCCTGATGACATGTTAAAAATTTTGATCGATTTTTTCACAATGTTACATTATTTGAGCTAGATATACACATAATCTGATGATAAATATTTAGAGGCCACATATACCCATACATATAAAAAGAAAATTCCCCATTCTTTGGGCTGATCAAAATAAAGCAGACTTTTCCTGGTGTTGGTGATGGTGTGAGAATTCACACTGGTATAGCCTACCTTTCCTGGTGTTGGTGAGAGTTCACACTGATATAGCCTACCTTTCCTGGTGTTGGTGAAAGTTCACACTGATATAGCCTACCTTTCCTGGTGTTGGTGAGAGAGTTCACACTGATATAGCCTACCTTTCCTGGTGTTGGTGAGAGTTCGCACTGATATAGCCTACCTTTCCTGGTGTTGGTGAGAGTTCACACTGATATAGCCTACCTTTCCTGGTGTTGGTGAGAGCTGATTTCACACTGATATAGCCTACCTTTCATGGTGTTGTTGCGAGCTGAGTTCACACTAATATAGCCCACCTTTCCTGGTGTTGTTGAGAGCTGAGTTCACACTGATATAGCCTACCTTTCCTGGTGTTGGTGAGAGCTGAGAGAGTTCACACTGATATAGCCTACCTTTCCTGGAGTTGGTGAGAGTTCACACTGATATAGCCTACCTTTCCTGGTGTTGGTGAGAGCTGAGTTCACACTGATATAGCCTACCTTTCCTGGTGTTGGTGAGAGCTGAGAGAGTTCACACTGATATAGCCTACCTTTCCTGGTGTTGGTGAAAGTTCACACTGATATAGCCTACCTTTCCTGGTGTTGGTGAGAGCTGAGAGAGTTCACACTGATATAGCCTACCTTTCCTGGTGTTGGTGAGAGTTCACACTGATATAGCCTACCTTTCCTGGTGTTGGTGAAAGTTCACACTGATATAGCCTACCTTTCCTGGTGTTGGTGAGAGAGTTCACACTGATATAGCCTACCTTTCCTGGTGTTGGTGAGAGTTCGCACTGATATAGCCTACCTTTCCTGGTGTTGGTGAGAGTTCACACTGATAAAGCCTACCTTTCCTGGTGTTGGTGAGAGTTCACACTGATATAGCCTACCTTTCCTGGTGTTGGTGAGAGCTGAGAGAGTTCACACTGATATAGCCTACCTTTCCTGGAGTTGGTGAGAGTTCACACTGATATAGCCTACCTTTCCTGGAGTTGGTGAGAGTTCGCACTGATATAGCCTACCTTTCCTGGTGTTGGTGAGAGTTCACACTGATATATCCTACCTTTCCTGGTGTTGGTGAGAGTTCACACTGATATAGCCTACCTTTCCTGGTGTTGGTGAGAGCTGAGAGAGTTCACACTGATATAGCCTACCTTTCCTGGAGTTGGTGAGAGTTCACACTGATATAGCCTACCTTTCCTGGTGTTGGTGAGAGCTGAGTTCACACTGATATAGCCTACCTTTCCTGGTGTTGGTGAGAGCTGAGTTCACACTGATATAGCCTACCTTTCCTGGTGTTGGTGAGAGTTCACACTGATATAGCCTACCTTTCCTGGTGTTGGTGAGAGCTGATTTCACACTGATATAGCCTACCTTTCCTGGTGTTGTTGCGAGCTGAGTTCACACTGATATAGCCCACCTTTCTTGGTGTTGTTGAGAGCTGAGTTCACACTGATATAGCCTACCTTTCCTGGTGTTGGTGAGAGCTGAGAGAGTTCACACTGATATAGCCTACCTTTCCTGGTGTTGGTGAGAGTTCACACTGATATAGCCTACCTTTCCTGGTGTTGGTGAAAGTTCACACTGATATAGCCTACCTTTCCTGGTGTTGGTGATAGTTCACACTGATATAGCCTACCTTTCCTGGTGTTGGTGAGAGCTGAGAGAGTTCACACTGATATAGCCTACCTTTCCTGGTGTTGGTGAAAGTTCACACTGATATAGCCTACCTTTCCTGGTGTTGGTGAGAGAGTTCACACTGATATAGCCTACCTTTCCTGGTGTTGGTGAAAGTTCACACTGATATAGCCTACCTTTCCTGGTGTTGGTGAGAGAGTTCACACTGATATAGCCTACCTTTCCTGGTGTTGGTGAGAGCTGAGAGAGTTCACACTGATATAGCCTACCTTTCCTGGTGTTGGTGAGAGCTGAGAGAGTTCACACTGATATAGCCTACCTTTCCTGGTGTTGGTGAGAGCTGAGAGAGTTCACACTGATATAGCCTACCTTTCCTGGAGTTGGTGAGAGTTCACACTGATATAGCCTACCTTTCCCGGTGTTGGTGAGAGTTCACACTGATATAGCCTACCTTTCCTGGTGTTGGTGAGAGCTGACTGAGTTCACACTGATATAGCCTACCTTTCCTGGTGTTGGTGAGAGCTGAGAGAGTTCACACTGATATAGCCTACCTTTCCTGGTGTTGGTGAGAGCTGAGAGAGTTCACACTGATATAGCCTACCTTTCCTGGAGTTGGTGAGAGTTCACACTGATATAGCCTACCTTTCCTGGTGTTGGTGAGAGCTGAGAGAGTTCACACTGATATAGCCTACCTTTCCTGGTGTTGGTGAGAGCTGAGAGAGTTCACACTGATATAGCCTACCTTTCCTGGTGTTGGTGAGAGTTCACACTGATATAGCCTACCTTTCCTGGTGTTGGTGAGAGCTGAGAGAGTTCACACTGATATAGCCTACCTTTCCTGGTGTTGGTGAGAGCTGAGAGAGTTCACACTGATATAGCCTACCTTTCCTGGTGTTGGTGAGAGTTCACACTGATATAGCCTACCTTTCCTGGTGTTGGTGAGAGCTGAGAGAGTTCACACTGATATAGCCTACCTTTCCTGGAGTTGGTGATGGTGAAGGTGTGAGAGTTGAGGTGGTGCTCTCCTTGGACGAGGTGCTACGACCATGAGAGTGCGAACGCTGTGGTGTGACAGAGGAACTACCGCTGGTGGAGCTATTTGGTGAGGTTGTGTTGGACGCTGTTCTAAAGGCTGATGGTACAGATGATTTCCTGTAAATACACAATAGATTACAAAACTCCATCAATGGGCAGTTTTATTTTCCAGAAGATATTCAAGCAAACAATGTTTGTTTTTGAGCACTGAATATACTTTGGCTATGTGATGTAATACCTAAATATTCATTTAAATTTTAGTTAACAGAATCTTTTTTCTTCATTATTGTTTACATATGTTGTACACTCTATGTTCAAATGATTTCATACTTCATTGTTGATAGAGAAATATCCACCTCCATCGCAGTGAGTGTTGTCAGACCTAAACATGAAGTCTTACCGTGGCATGAACAGTCGTGATGGTGTCTGTGGTGGCAAGAAAACTAGAGGTCCTTTATTGTTTGTAGGAGAATATATGCCACTGTCATTGTAGTCACCTACAAAACCAAAAACAACAAACTTTTCAGGTAAAAAGTAGAATCTCAACTTATGCTGTCAATGTCGGTTTAATTTTCAAACCATTCATTGATAAAAAACTGCCAAAGCACATGAAAGTAGGGTAGTATCTTAAGAGACATCAGTCATTGTATAATCCTTGCAGCTAATTATATGATTTATATTTATCATATTTCGCCAATGAAATACAGAATTTCATCAATTTCATTAAATCTTGTATCATCATTGCAATGATAATATAAGAAATCTAAAAGCATATCACTGCTTTCTAGTCTCAGCTTGGAATTTTCCCCTTTGATTGCAAATACTTGTGAAATTTCCCCTTTGAGTGCAAATAATTGAAGCTGGCTTTCCATCTTTTTCTTTGCACATATCAGGCCCTGTTCTGATTGAGTGGTCACTTCTTTCAACTTAATATCCTAATAAATGCAACATAAATGAAATTCCAAAATAATATAATAAACTTTATTCATTTTACAACAATTGCGAAGCAAGTTTTTCCAACTTATATAAATCACTCTTTTTGGCTCAGATGGAAGCACGTGCTGGGTCTTAATGTGGGAGGAAGCCGGAGTACCTGGGGAAAACCCACGTGGTCGGGCAGGTGACCCCATACCTTTTCACATCCATTCCAGGAATCGAACCCCGGATGGCTAGGTGAAAGGCGAGTGTATTACCACTGTGCCAACGACCACCCTAAGGGCATATCACTGCTTTCTAGTCTCAGCTTTGAATTTTCCTCTTTGAGTGCAAATAATTGAGAATTTTCCCCTTTGAGTGCAAATAATTGAGAATTTTCCCGTTTGAGTGCAAATAACTGAAGCTGGCTTTCCATCTTTTTCTTTGCACATATCAGGCCCTGTTCTGATTGAGTGGTCACTTCTTTCAACTTAATATCCTAATAAATGCAACATAAATGAAATTCCATCCAGATACTTGTATAGAAATATGTCCTTTTACTGTTTTGCAAGCCTTACCGTTGTTTTGATTGGCTGCCACAAACCTGCCTGAGCTAGAGGGACTGGCAGGACTAGAGCTCAGGTTACTACTGGTTTTGTTAGGCATGAACATCATTGGCGGTTTCATCATAGGACGCACAGGTGAGTGTAGGGTAGAACTGGTGTCAGGGCCTCGGGCACTCAGCTGCTTACTACGCGGGCTGGAGATGTCCAAGTCAAAAGTAGGGGTTGGCAAAAAAGGAGGGATGACAGGCTTTAAAGTCTCACTGGTCAAATTGGAGTTTGGTGGATTTATGTCCTAGAAACAGATTTAAACATAGCTGACAAAACAACACAGCTAACAAACACACTGAATACAAACTTTTTTTTAAGCCTAAGTATAGTATTTTCACTTAAATAACATACATCAAAGTACAACATCATATTCATTTTTACATGGTTTATTGTATGTAAATATTATCAAAATGTTTCTGACCACGAAAATAAAAAAAAAAATCTAACAGCTGTTATACTGACCAGTGTGTACATGGAAGCACTCTTCTTGTTTTCCAGAAGAATCTGATCATAACTTGTGGAGATGTGGGACTGGTCCATGAAATTGTTAGTTTTCCTGGGTGGCTGAAATAGTTAAAGTCATATGTCACAAAGTGTTCAGCAAATCCAAGATCTTTATTATGCAGTAGAGATTATTCATTTTAGTACTAAACTTTCAAGCTTTTTTTCTTTCAGCATGAAGAAACTTTTGCACTTTTGAAATCAATATTGTACAATTTTTAAAGAATCTCCCATGAGTATGTGCTATTTATGTCTATTATGTGATTAGAAGCTTAAATCAGTATTTTTTTATACCTCCAGGACTCGATTGTAGCATTAGTGTATGGTTCAATGGACAATGCAAAGTGTTTAAATCACCTGTCCTCATGTCTAAAGTATCTGAATTGTGATCTTGTTAAATCTGACCAGACAAATTATTTACATCAGAGTTACCAGATAGTATGTATGTCTTATAATTCTGCTAATCTGTTGATCACTCTGTATTATCACTCTGTATTCTTAAACATTCAGCAACAATCACTTTCAACTGACTGCCTCAGCTCAATAAAGAATCACTTGTCCGAATGTCAAGTTATTCAATGCTGTTTTGGACTGATTTCTTAATCAATCCAGCATGGCCTTGTAACACACATATGATAACCAGAGGGGAACACTCACCACAAGTGGACTTTTAGGAATGGTCAAGGTGAGGTCCTGTACAGATGTTGATGAGTGTAGGGCAGTGACGGGAGTGAGACGATTGGTAGAGTTCATAGTACGGCCAAGCTTCGTATTCTTAATTCTACTTGTCAATCTACTCAACCAGGCCTAGAAAAAATATAATTATTGTGCCATCAGACATTGCTGGAAAACAGTAAATAGCCAGGTCTGTGATATCATATCAGTGTTCTTACTAGGATTTTGTGATGGTCAGGTGCTCAGGAAGTACATATATCTGTCACCAATTTGACATTTTTGCATGCTTAAAAAAAACAAAAACAAAAAACACACCATTTGGTTTTATGCACAATTACATATTTTTTTCTATTCTCAACATAGAGTGACATTCACAGGCAGCAAATTAATGGCATGAACACAAGACATTAAAAGTCAGGACAGTACTGAGTAATTTTTCTTGTTGCTCTGAAAAACATTGCCAGTCTTCTCAAAAAATATATGGGAGTGCAAAACTCGCCTATAGCTGACTGTGATGACGATTGTTTGTAAGTTCAACCTGTTTAATACCTAATAGCAGTTAATGGTTGATTTACACTGGATTATTGTTGTCAAATTATACTACAAGAACAGTGGATGGCTAGCCATGTATTTATATGTGAGTTTTTCTTTCATCATGACATACCTTCAGTCCACTTTTGGGTTGTTCATCCACACTGAAATTTGAATAAAAAAGAGAACATTTGATTAATTCTGTGAAATAATATAGATATTGAATGAAAGTAATGCAGGATAAATTTGTTGAAAAACTACAGCCAGTAATGTATTTCCAAAGTAGTAATTTAAAAGAAATACTTTGACTAATAATTCAAAATAATTGTAACTAAGGTACCAAGGGTTAATACACTTCAATGAAAGATCATCATGAAGAGGCAGTCCCTATTTTCATTCATATGAAAAATCCTGCATGCATACATTTTCATTGCATATTTTTACCCAAGATAAAATTGTCTATGAGGGTCAGTAAATAGGACAGTTCAATTACATTTAATAACAAGAGTATCACAAACAATATATAATATCCCTGTCAAACCAAACAGACAATGCAGCATACATATTAACTTAATTATATAAGATAGTGTTTCAGCAGACGTTAGTGTAACACCATTTAATCTCTATTCATCACTTACTGGTTGAACACAAATGGCCTATTAGTTTATATGGACAAACCAGTTTGCAGGCACATTAAATGTAAAATTGCACACAAAAATTTGGACAGATCTGCAAATGCACAATATAAATTACTCAAGTATGCTGCAATCAAGAAGGCTTAGTCAAGGCTATAATGAGAAAGCAAAATTAGACCTGGGCTATTCATTCCAGTAAAACATCTAGTTGACCCCGGGACTCCAAAATCACTTCTACCCATGGTTTTGGTTTTCTGCCTACTATTCCTAAATAAATTATGGAATCCCTTAACAAAACCTGAAGTCTAGAATTGAGATAGATGTTTGTCCTTATTTCATAAGCAAACAACCATGTTCTAACTGATCAAACTAAAAAAGTGATAGAAAAATTTGTATGACCAGAGGATTTACTCAGTCTGCAACAGAAGTCTACTAAGAATCTGTGACTGAGAATACCTTTTATATACTGTTCTGTTTTAACTTAGGAATCTACCCAGTCTGGGTCTGAGAATACCTGTTATATACTGTTCTGTTTTAACTTAGGAATCTACCCAGAGTCTGGGGCTGAGAATACCTGTTATATACTGTTCTGTTTTAACTTAGGGACCTACCCAGAGTCTTTTGCTGAGAATATCTATTATATACTGTTCTGTTTTAACTTAGGAATCTACCCAGAGTCTGGGGCTGAGAATATCTGTTATATACTGTTCTGTTTTAACTTATGAATCTACCCAGAGTCTGGGGCTGAGAATACTGTTATATACTGTTCTGTTTTAGGGATCTACCCAGAGTCTTTTGCTGAGAATATCTGTTATATACTGTTCTGTTTTAACTTAGGAATCTACCCAGAGTCTGGGGCTGAGAATATCTGTTATATACTGTTCTGTTTTAACTTAGGGACCTACCCAGAGTCTGGGGCTGAGAATACCTGTTATATACTGTTCTGTTTTAACTTAGGGACCTACCCAGAGTCTGGGGCTGAGAATACCTGTTATATACTGTTCTGTTTTAACTTAGGGACCTACCCAGAGTCTGGGGTTGAGAATATCTATTATATACTGTTCTGTTTTAACTTAGGGACCTACCCAGAGTCTGCAGCAGTAAATGTCTTTGAAAGGCCATTCTGCTTAGCAGATGACTTTTTCCCTTTGTCCTCCTTGTTGACTGACATTGCTTTTGAGGCCAGCAGTCGTAGCAGCTCAGTATCCACATCCTCTGTTGAATTTAAATGACAAGGACTGATCAAGATATTTTTCAACTAACAATCAACACATTACACAATAGTGAATAAATGCAATACTGTATATCTGTTATCTTTGTGTTTTTGTGACGTACCTAATAATTGGTTTACTGTAAACTAAACACCTATAAGATAATATACATGTACAATTATTGTGATCACTTTGTAGAAAAGTGTAGTTTACTGAGTTAACTATAAGTTACAACATGTATTCCGGAGACTCTATTGAGCCAGAATGAAGAGAACTTCAGAGGACTGAGCCCTCGGCCATTTCATTACCAAGAGTACTCATGATTAAACCTTTAATGAGACTTTAGTCTCAGCTCTTTAAGATAATCCAAGATTATCATATATACTTTAATTCATTGTCTTAATATGGCAATCTGGAGCACTTACAAGTGTTAAAATAATGACCTCATATTATAGGTATATATTCCAGGAGAAACTTGTTTTCTAGATAGACTTAGAAAGCTCATAATTTCTATTATCTCATACTTTATATCATTTAGGTCTTAGATTACTACCTACCTATGATAAGTGCCATGTCAAAAGCTGTACATCCATTCTTGGCCTGTATGGTTACATCAGCTCCTTGTTCAATCAGAAACACTGCCACTGATTTTTTCCTAGATCAAAATTAACAGGAAATGTAAATGTGATTCATATGCTACCTCACCTACATCATATTTCTTGGTCCATCATTCCTTCATAGTATGCATTTCTTCATACATCAAAATGTACATTTGACAGAAACTTAAAAAGTTAAATACATTCATCACATTACCACTTAAACGATCCTAAAAGCAGATAAATAAATAGTATTCTGACTTCATCGTTAGACCAATTCTACATACAATAATATAAAACATATAATCAGACAGCAGTATGATGACTTAGACAAGTATCTGAAGTTAAATTCAATCATTTCCATGTCATATTCATCACAGTGTTTATATCACAGGGATGGAAAAAATTTCTCACTTTAACATACCCATGATATGTGGCCTGCATTAGTGCTGTCCATCCACTTATACTGTCTTGTTTGTTTATATCACACTCGCGGGCAACCAGAAGGCGGGCCACATCCAACTGACCCGTCATGGCAGCAAACATGAGAGGTGTGGCCCCATCCTGGGGGGAGCTGGCATCAATTTGGCTAATGTCCTTGTCTAGTATTGCCTGGATCCGAAGGATGTCACCATGCTTGGCTGCTTCGATAATGTCAGGTTTCACCTCTTCTGGTTCTGCATGGGGAGAAAACTAACACTATTAACATCATCAGAATTCATTTATAATATATAAAGAAGAGAAAACAATCATGAAAACACATGTACAAAGTCATACATATCATTAATACAAAGAAATAGTGGTGGTATCCCAGAGCTATGTTAATTTTGAATTTAACCTGCAGTTTTCAATACTGTGATGTTGTTCTGAACATATGTTGTATGCCATAAACTTAGATGTCAAATTTCTCAGCATCAATTATCTCTCTAAGATGTCAGCAATTAATTGTGATATACATGTACAAAGACAGTTATAAGTATGAAAGAATTTTCTGTCTTTTTTTTAAAATCTCCTTTTGAACTTTTCTTAGGATAAAAATTGCATTCTTCTTCTTAGAAAATAAGTTATTGACCTATTTTTGGCTTGTTAATTGTCTTTCTGTCAAGATAGCTGGCGACCTCCCTCCTACCCCTGCGTGTTGCAATCTCTAATGCAGTCTTGTTATCAACATTTACAACATTTGGGTCACATCCTCGCTCAACCAGGATCTGGGCAGTCTTCATATGGCCATTGAGAGCAGCCAACATCAGTGCAGACTGACCAGTGGATGGTGTCCGATAGTTCACATCACTGCCACGGTCAAGAATGAACCGAAGTACTGCATCATGTCCATGCTGAGCTGCAGCTAAGAGAGGAGTAAACTCACACTCCCCACTTGCACTGTTCCCCGAAGCATTCAGGTCACTTCCAAAATCAACTAATAGACGCACCACCTGCAGGTGACCCCCACGGGCAGCAAGGGTCAATGATGATGCCCCAAGGCGGTTTTTGGCATTTGTGTCGGCCTGGCGTTGCTGTAGAAGGGTTGCTACCACATTGGCATGACCATGACGCGATGACTGCATGAGAGGGGTCCAACCATACACATTGCGTCTGTCCAAGGCTGCTCCTCGCATAAGCAGGAGGCGGACAATGTGATCATGTCCATTGGCAGCTGCAACCTAATATAATGAATACAACAATTTAATGATATAGCATGGAACTTTTCATTATGTCATAAATCACTTTATTCAGTCTTCATCAGTTGCTATGTATGGTTGGAAGCATAAATAGACAAAATTTCAAACAAGCTTATTCTTTCAGTTTAAGTTTACCACAAGAGGAGTCGTGTCCTTGTCTTGTGCTGCATTATGTATGCACTAAGCTTTCAATTAACTTGTTTTCTATGGCTGTTTTTGAACTTTGACACTGTACCAGGTATTGGTGTTTGTGAGATTAAGTGGGTACAGTAAACCTTTGATCAATTTTACAAAATTAAATGAATATTGTTGGACTGTTCAAATTATTATGCTTGTGACAATAAATTCAAATTTGGACTATCAGCATAAACATAGCCCATAATCATACAAAATGTAGTTAAATATCCTAGCATGACAGGAAAATACTGGTCAGTAGGTCTAATGGCATATCCTGATAAAAAAATATGTCAGTTATAATATGAATATCTTTTGAAACACTGACAGTACATGTTATGGTACAAGTTAACAAATCACAGGTTTTATTTTGTTCTTCATCATGTTGTATATCGCGGCAAAGAAACCATGTTAAATGTAGCCCAAGAAGTATACGTCTACTTATGTATAGGAGGAAGTTAGTGTTAACATATCAGTATAGTCTTGACATGATTATCTTATCAAAATGTGAAGTGAAGTACTGGGTACTTTTGCTCTTTGAAAATACACATGCTGACATCCCTCTGTCTGTTTGTAATATAGATTTAGGGCCTCGAATCGTGTCAGCTGGTTCAAGTATGATGTGATGGCAAGATGTGAAAGAAATCATACTGAATCAATGCATATTAAAGGTTCAAACTATCACTAAACAGAAAATTATTGTTTTTATTGAAAAATAATGTTCAAATTGAGCCATCTTTTAGTACTGACCGGAGGTTTACCATATGTTCTTATCACTAAATGTGACATTGTGAAGATTTGTGATAATTACATATAATGGCTTATGGTTTTCTCATCACTACGCACTCATATATAATATGATAGGAGAATAGTTTTTATCACCACACACTTTGATATCAATATGGGAGAGTGAATCCATCACAAGTCTTTATGTTGATATGGGTGGTATTAATGTACCACAGTTACAGATTATATGTCCTTGGTATGGGATAATTAATGTCTGAATTACAGTTCACACAGAGTTTTTTTTTACAAATATTTGGATTACCTGATGGTTGAAAGAGTGGTTTATCATCACCATATACTAATTAGTGATCATGATCCATAACAGAGAGAAGATAGGACAAGCCTGTTAATTTACATTTGAATGGGAAAAACATTGCATAATGCATCCCAAATCCCTTTCAACAATGACATTAACTATTTCAAACACATGGTGGTTGACCATTCTCATTACTAGATAGGAGGATGGATTGTTTTTCATGACTTAACATTTACTGGTGATTTCTCATGCTCACGTATCTATAATGGTAATTATAAGAACTTCAGGCCTAGCTATTTGGCCTTTTCATTACTGGAAAATAGATTCTTGCAACTGATATTGATGAATTGATTACTTTTGATCCTTTACTGATATTAGGGTAAGATGTACATTTTACCGTTGTAGCTGGATAATTTCTGGTGTGTGCTGTATCGCGATCGGTTACTAATATTTTCAATTAAATGTCAACACGACAAGTAAACAATGACAGTGCTAGGTTATTAAGTAATATAACGGCCTCGCATTCAGTCTCTCCCTTGTTATAACAGCCATCCTTTTTTGCTACACCATGTATATGAATTCGATACCTATTGTTAGATTCATACCTGAAGAGGGGTCGTTTCGTCAGCATCCGTGCTGTCTACATCCAACCCTTCATCAAGTAACGCCTGAACGGATGGGATATCGCCATGCTCACATGCACTCAGCAACAAGCGAACACGGTCCATGCTCGCTCTAGCCTCGTAAATTAAAAAGGAGATATTCCATTGTTAATGACATAACTTCCTGGCGACTTCACAGTCGCTCTAACTTCCGATTACTACCCCATCGTCGCACTTTTTCCTCTCATAATGACATTTCGTGGTCTCCATGTTCGCCATATTAGTTCCGTTCATGACGTCATATATATCCCATGATACCCATGTAAACAAAGCCACGTGTTGTTATAAATATGTCACTTACATAGATATGGTCTATGATATGTATCTTATATCTATATGTTATAGTATTGCGTTGTAGTATATTCACATTTACGTTCCTTGTGTACTTGTATCATATGATCACGGATATAGAGAAAACCGGTGATGAATAATGTAAACTGTATTTAGTTTTACAACAAACAATACATTTCCGCTCACACTGTCAACTCTTGTTGGCCCGGACATACGCGCGCGAGGGGTCCTATTGCGGCAGGAAACTGGTACTCTGTGGCAAGCGGTTTAATTTTAATCATATTTCCTCTTATAATAATAAGGTTTTTTTGCCCCTGAAATGGAATTCTTTTTCATGAAGTCTTTTAGACTACCTGACCTCTAGTAGATAAACTAATGCTTCGATATGCCGTTTGTCGTTCTGGCATCTGACGTTCACTTTATGGGCATATTTGGATAAACGCAATTTTATGGACACCCTTGGCAATGGGCACACTTCAAAGTTCAGACGGATAAAGTAACATATAAATAACCAAAACGTCTAGGGTGGGATAGTGGTCCATAAAATGCTGACATGGAGCAAGAAGGAATATCAAGTTAAATCAAATGAGAATTGCACCGTAAGGATCATTCTCAGATATCAGTATCAGATACAAGACGACCAATAGGCCACTTCCTTGACATCTTCGTAAGCCAAATTACTTCAACACGATGCAATTCGTAGGTGATCTAACCTCTGGAAGTTCATGTATGCTTTCTTAGAGTTTACTATCTATGTTTTCTCAGAGTGTACTTGATTGATTGTTCTTAAAATACACATATGCAGTAACCCTTGACAGGTGTGCATATTCATATTTGTGATGAATTGAACAATGATCAGACATGGGTCCAGGAAGGACATTTATATTTTACGCTTTCTGACCCCAATTCTCATTTTTTCCCCTTGATTCTGTTTGTTTTGTATTTCTATATGCATATTTTTAAATAGGATTCTTAATAGGATTAATAATGGACGCCTGCCTCTGCGGGATCACCACCTTATCGTGGTGGGGCAGTTTGTGCGCACCTTTGACTAAGAGATTTGCCGGCGGGAGTACATAATGCTCCTGGTAGGGCCACCCATCTCGGACAGTTCGAGGGGTACGGGCCAGACGAAGCGTGATCCCCTGGTCCTCCAGGTTGGGGGTTGGGCAGAAGGCTAATAACCATTTCCTTTAAAAAATAAACTTATTACAGAAACCGAAAGCAGAACAAATCCATCAAATTCAGGGAATGCTACGGCCTTGCCTCCGATCAGAGGAGACTCCATGACGCAAGAGGGCGAAAGCCAAGAGGAAATCCTCGAGCAGACCAGGCCATTAGTACACCCCAAATCTACAACGAAGATCGGCAACTGGAACGTACGTACACTTTACCAAAATGGCAATGTAGCACAGGTTGCAAGAGAAATGACAAGAAGAGATACAGATATCATGGGTATTAGTGAAACTCATTGCACCGGACAAAGGAAAATCCAGATAGCAGAAGGAGAGACAATCATCTACTCCGGAAGGGACGATAACATCCACAGAGAAGGTGTTGCCATACTTATGTCAAAGAAAGCATCAAGTGCGCTGATAGATTGGACACCAGTAAACGAAAGGATCATCCTAGCAAGGTTTTTCTCAAAGCACATCAAGCTGACGGTTGTGCATATATACGCACCTACAGAAGATGCAGAAGATCAAGTGAAAGATGAGTTTTATGCAAGACTACAGGAGGTACTGGAAAGAAGAAACCGGCATGACATGTTGATCATCACTGGTGATATGAATGCCAAAGTGGGAAGCGACAAAGAGCTCTACAAAAGAATAATGGGGAGACATGGGCTCGGGGTGAGGAACGACAATGGTGAAAGGCTGTGTGAAATGTGCGACCTCAAAGAATTAGTTATTACAGGAACCTTATCCCCACAAAGTAACTTAGATCTCACCAAATGGAACCACCAGGAATCAGATAGACCATGTGTTAGTCAACAGGAGTTTTAGGAATTCAGTTAAGTATACTAGAGTATTCATATCGGCAGACATCGGGAGCGACCATCTGCTTGTGTGCACAACCGTCAAACTGAGGTTAAGGAAGCAGTATAAAGAGAAAAGGTGTGAGAGGGTAAAGTACGACATAGAGAAGTTGAAGGATGCGGATACAGTGAGAAGGTTTAACATTGCAGTAAGAAATAGGTTTCAGGTATTGGACGACGAGGAGTTTGATAGAGAAGAGGACGAAGTAGAGAGAAAGTGCAGAGTAATCCAGAAGACATACACAGAGACAGCAGAAGAGATATTGGGTAGACCTAGGAAGAAGAAGAAATCATGGATCAGTGGAGCCTCATGGAAGCTAGCAGATGAAAGAGGAGAAATAAACAAGAAAAAATTGTGTACACACTCAGAGAGGGTTAAAGGACAGTTAAAAGTGCAGTACAAGGTTAAAGACAGAGAAGTCAAAAGAAGTCTGAAAGCAGACAAGAAGAAATGGATAGACAACATCGCGAGTGACTCTGAAGAGGCAGAAAGGAGTCCGCACATGGAAACTTTGTATAGTCTTACAAAGACACTCTGCAATGAAAGACCTAGGAGTAGTACAGCGTTATTGGACAAGAACGGCAACCTCATTAGTAGCAAAGCAGAGGTGTTATCAAGATGGACAGAACACTTCCAGGAAATCCTGAACAGAGAAGAACCACAGGATCCCATTACAGAAAATGATGAAGTAGAATTAGATGATATATATGAAGAAATTTCAGTCGACATGCCATCAACAGAAGAAGTGCAGAGGGCTATCAAGAAGTTGAGGAATGGAAAGTCACCAGGAATAGATTCAATCACGGCAGAGCTGATAAAGGCAAATACAAACTTTCCAATTACAAACATCCATGAACTAATGGAAGCAATATGGAGAGAAGAACAAATTCCAGAAAGCTGGAAGAAAGGGCTCATCATCAAGTTACCAAAAAGGGAAACCTAAAGGAATGCAAGAGCTCAAGAGGAATCACTTTGCTGTCAGTAGTAGGAAAATTGCTCGGAAGGATCATCATCGATCGCATAAGAGAAGGAATCGATAGCATGCTAAGGAAAGAACAAGTAGGATATAGAAACGGACGGAGCACGACGGAGCAGGTCTTTATACTTAGGAACATCATAGAGCAAGTGAACGAGTGGCAGGATACATTGTATTTGAAGATTTTGAAAAAGACTCCATCCACCGTGAAAGCCATTGGACCATCATGAGGAAATATGGGGTACCAGACAAGATCGTAAGAATAGTACGGTTATTTTATGAAGATTTCCAGTGTGCAGTAGAAGACCAAGGAGAGACAGGAGAATGGTTTAACATCAAGACAGGAGTAAAACAAGGGTGCAATATGTCCGGTTTATCTTCTTGGTAATTATGGACTGGGTGATGAGAAAAGCAGTTGGAAACGGTGAGAACGGCATTAGATGGATCTTGACAAAAAAAATGGAGGATTTAGATTTCGCAGATGATATCTCCTTATTCTCCTCAACTAGACAACAGATACAAGACAAAACCACAAGACTTGATGAAGAAGCAAGCAGAGTCGGACTTAAGATCAACAAAGAAAAAACTAAAGTGACGAGAATCAATGCATGGAACGAGAGTACCATCAAACTAAGAGGTATGGACATTGAGGATGTAGAACAGTTCACATACCTAGGAGCAACAGTGTGCAAAGAAGGTGGTGGAATGAAAGGCATTAAGAACAGACTTTCAAAAGCCAGGGGAGCATTTATCCGGCTCAAGCATGTATGGAACTCAAGCAACATCCCAAGGAAAACACAATTGAAACTGTACAAGGCATTAGTAATACCTGTCCTATTATATGGATGTGAAACGTAGAAAATGAATAAGGGTGATGATCGGATGGTAGATGTTTTCCACAACAAGTGCCTCAGGAGAATTCTCAAAATACAATGGCAAGAACACATAAAGACGGAAGAAATATTGGAAAGAGCGAGCATGAGACCAATTAGCTAGGAGATAAAATGCCGCAGATGGAAAATGATTGGACACATATTGAGACAGGACAGAAACAACGACTGCAACGTTGCCTTAACCTGGGCCCCAGAAGGGAAGCGGAATAGAGGAAGACCGAAGATGACAAGGAGAAGAACAGTGGAAAGAGAGAGAGAAGAAGCAGGCTGGAAATCCTGGAACGAGGTGCGGACAGTGGCAACAGACCGGCAGAGATGGAAGCGTTCTGTGAAGGCCTTATGTGCCACGAGGCAGAAAGTGGATAGGTAACAGGTAATAGTGGACGCAGTCTTAGAGCCTCTATGGCCATATCATACATAAACATTCATAATCAATTATAATTATTTCAGTGTCCATGGCTTAATAATTACGGAGTACATGCACTAAACTACGAAACGATTATTTTTCCAGTGTTTGTCTAACATGACTTCAAATTCGAATACAGTTTTTGTATTAACAGCATCTGGAGGTATAGAATTCTATAAATCTACTACTATCTGACTAAAAAAGTGTTTTCTAACGTCTAATTTACATCGTTTTTTAAAAATCTTCTGATGATGACCTCTCGTTCGGCTGGAGCTATCCATTTGGAAAAAGTTTCCTGTAACTCTGCAATCATATATATTGTTAACTAATTTGTAAACATTAATCATGTCTCCTCTATTCCTTCTATAATGAAAAGTACGAAGATTGAAAGTTTCTAGGCGTTTTGAATAAGGTAGGTTTTTGAGAGCCGGAATTAATTTCGTTGCCCTCCTCTGGACGTTTTCAATTTGCTTGATATCTTTCATCTTGGAGGGGCTCCAAACGCTTGTAGCGTACTCCAAATGCGGTCGTACCAAAGCCTTGAAAAGCAAATTAGATATTGACTCGTCAAGGTATTGAAAGGATCTTCTAATTAGTCCTAAAATGCTATTGGCTTTATTTACTATTAACTGAATATGGGTTTTAAAGTTCAATTGATCATCTATTTTGTTACCCCGATATCTTTTTCGTTGGAGATAATTTCCAGTTGTATTTTTACTCCATCACTCCCATGCATAAAATAATTTCTTTTTCCAGATCCCTTTATCCTTAAGACCTTACATTTGATTGGATGAAATTTAAGCACCATTTCTCAGACCAAAACTGTAGTTTATCCAAGTCGTTTTGAAGTAATGCTACATCATCAGCGCCTTTCACTTGTCTGTATAGTTTTGTGTCATCAGCAAACAATGGTGATGGTGACTGTGTTACTTCAGTTAGATCGTTTATATATAATACAAATAGAATAGGCCCTAGCACGCTTCACTGGGGGATACCACTGATTACCGGATACGTCGCTGAAGTTTGTCCATTGACAATTACTCGTTGACATCGATTTTTGAGAAAGTCCCCTATCGAATTAACTACTTATGTACTTATTCCATATCCTAATAATTTCCTGATTAATTGCTGGTGGGCCACTTTATCGAATGCGTTTATAGAATCTATGTAGATTATATCAATTTCTCCACCATTATCTATTTCTGTCCATTCTTCAAGCACTGTTATCAGCTGAAGTTGCGAAGACCTTCCAGAGATGAAACCCAATTGTCATGGACTTAAAAGATCATTCTTATTCATATGTTTTACAATACTATCCCTAACATTTTTCCAGTATTTTCACAATTATACTAGTCAAGCTTACTGGTCGGTAGTTTCCTGGGTCTGATTTTGAACCTGTGTTTTGTTATGTTAGCCTCTTTCCATCCCTGTGGTTGTGTTTCTTCTGTTAACGATTTGTTATAAATATATGCTAGAGGTGTACTGATGTTACTTCGTAGTTCTTTTAAAACTTTTGGATGCATCTTATCGGGTCCCTGAGATTTATTTTCATTAAGATTTGCTTATAACTTTTCAACAACTTTGGAATTACAAACTATATCTTCAAAAGGCTGAACTTTATGTCTTTCTTCAAATTCTGGCTATTCGTTTGATGGTTCCTCTGTGAAAACACTACTGAAGAATTTTGCTAGCACTTCTGCTTTATCTTTATCCTTCACAGCTATCTTTTGTTCCTCTCCATGTAATCCTTGTAAGTCAGCGATCACAGTTCTTGCTTTTCTTTTTGAATTGACGTATTTCCAAAAACATTTTGGGTTAACTTGGACATCTTCAGCAAAAGCTTTCTCGGTTTTATTTCTGGCTTTCCTTAATTCCCATTTTAATTGGTTTCGTGCTCTAGCATATTCTTTGTGGTTAAGCTTACACCTAGTTTCCATGCCATGCTCTGTTCTTTTTGTTGATTTTTTCGTATGCTCTCATTTAGCGGTATTGCATAATTATTTTTACCGGATACTTGAGAACTTTTTGGTTGATTCTCGGGAATGAATTTTGTCACAGTGTTATTAATAACATCTGTGAACGTTTTGTACACATCTTCAACACTGCCATTTAGAAGTCCATTCCACTCTCTTGGTAAATCTTCTCTCATGCCCTTATAGTTACCTTTATTGTACATTAAACGTGGTTCCGAAATAGCAGAATGAGATTTTTCACAATAGAATTTAAATTTTAAGACGAGATGGTCGCTGTTGCCGACAGGACTACCATAGTCAATTTCACAGATCATTTCCTCTTCATTTGTAATTACAAGGTCTAAGATATTTGGTTCATTCCCTTTTCTACATCGAGTGTAGTAAGTTACGTGTTGGTGGAGGTAGTTATTCCTTAAACATTCTATAAAATTCTCACTTTCTCTGTCATTGTTTGCCGACCATGAACTTCAGTCTATTAAAATCCCCCACGATTAGTATATGACTGTAAGTTTTTGAAGCTGACATCTTATTTATAAGTATTCGTAGTTGTTCTGAGTTTTTTTCGGTTGTATTTGGACTCTTATAAATGCATCCTACTAGAAGACTATTACTATTGGCTAAATTTACTTTAACACAGATACCTTCCTTAAATTAAATTTATTTCTACTCCTTTGTACTTTGATTTCATATAAAGCCCTACTCATCTATGCCTATTTTCAGAGTTGTCGTTTATAAAGAGATCGTAACCCTTGATCATTAATTCTGCCGTTTGGTAAATATTTGTAGTTTTTAGGGTATTCTTCTGTAATACCGATGATATCTGTGTCGTTTATTCTTGACCTAACTTCATCTAGTTTATTTAAAAGACTGTCCACGTTTGTATAAATACAGTTTAGAGATTTGCTTAGTTTTTTTTACTCCTTTCTGAATTTTCTGATGTTTCTGTCCCACGGTGGACCTCGAACTCGGTAGATGAATTCCCTCGATTCTTTTTCATTTTTCTACTTAGCTTCCTCACTAAGTTTGGTCTCTTTCTCTCGTTCTTGTTTCGTTAGTTCGTTACTTATAGAGATTCCTTTGTATTTCTCATGCTTTCAAAGTTCCTTTATGTTCTTGAAAAACTCCCTTTTGTCCTCAGTTGAGCCAAATGCTACAAGGATTGGTCTCGCTTTTCTTCCAGTATCATTGCTTTCCTTGTCATATTTTCCTATTCTGATCATCCTGGTTATTCCATTTTAAACCTCTAAAGGTACGTTGCAGACTTCAAGCAAGTCCTGAACTTTCTTTTCATCTCCTTTGCGATCGCGTCCTTTGCTATCTCGCTGTTCATTAATTCCAAAGATCAGTATGTTCCGCTCTCTTTTCTTTCAATCCTCTATTTCAACCAAGACATCTTGAGTTCCCCTTCTTTTCCCGTTGTTTAGCTCTGATGGAACTTCTTGATTTTCTCTCCCAGACATCTTGACAAGTTCTTCCCTCACAATATCTCGGACTTGTTTTTCCTCACATTTTTTGTGAGTGATTCTATTGATTTTAGCCTTTCTTCGTACTTCTTCATGGCTTCTGTACATTTTTTCTCTATCTCAAAATCTGTATGGATATTCTTCTGTACAGAGACCTGACAAGGGGTACAGAACCTCAATGAAGTTGTTTTGGACATTACGCTGTATTCCTGATCTCCCATGTCAAGGCATC